GAACATTGGTGTGGGCTTCTATATATAGTAAATCAATATGGCTGCCATCAACTTGGATATTTTTTCTCAGTGATGTCTGGGTTTGTTTCAATTCAAATTGTTGACTTTCTTCCAAAATTACCTATTAAAGTGTTATTTAGATTATGATAATGTTATTAATTAATCACACCTTGAACCTTGTTTATGATACTCTTGCAAGTTACAAGGGGTTATTAGGAAATACTTACATTGAAGATAAAACTGCTTCTTGTTCGTTTTGGGAAAAGGAAAGGACTGCCTATTGACTCTATTTTTTTTGTCCATTAAAAATTTAATTAAGTCTCTAGCTATAGCCAAAGAGGTGGAGGATTTGAGGTCATTGGAAATGATAATATTTTCTTTTAAATTTCAGTATCTCATTTCAGGTACTCTTCCTGCTATGACTATTCTATTCAATATATATGAAATGAGCCCAATCTGATAAATATAAGATATATGTGGCAAAAAATTACTTTATAAAACATTTGATATTATGCCACACTAACTATCCTGTCCTTTCAATCACCTTGTAAGTGTGTAGAATGGCCGAGCTTACTTCTTATTTCCAAGAGAAATGAGTGGGTGGTAGAAATCATCAAGAGTAGAGTTATTCTGTTTAAGTTCATCATCACCATCATGTTTCATTGAAAATGGCTAAAATGTGCACAGAATTTTAGTGGCATAGATTTGGTCTGCAAATTTTTGGTAGTTCCTCAATGGCATGGATGAATCTCAAATGCTAAGTCAAAGAAGTCAAATTCAAAAGACTATCTACTGTATAATTCCATTGTATGACATTCAGAAAAAGGCAAAACTATAGGGATAAAAAACAGCCAGTGGCTGGAGATGGGGTAGACAAAGAAATTTGGGGATGTGATGAAATTGTTTAGATCTTGAAAGTGGTGGTGGTGACTTAACTAAATGAATTTGTCAAAACTCAGGATACTAAAAAGGGAAAATTTTACTGAATTTAAGTTATTTAATTTACATGTGATTCTGGCAAATGGCTAAAACACCAGGGTCTCCAAAACATAAGCTGGGAATCACTGGAATAGCATAGTTCAGAAATGCTTGGATGAGTTATCATTAGTGGAACATTGACTCAATGAGTGTGTCAGGCCACAAGACCGGATTTTCAGCATGAGTCTATGTATTAGCGATATACCCATGAGGAAAATAGTGGTAACCATAAACCAAATAGGGTGTGGTCTTTATCTTAATAAAGATAGTCCTTGTGTTGACATGTTTTGTGAGAATCAGACCTGTCTTCTGAATCATGGCCTACAGTACAAGAGAATGCTCATCACCTGACAGACTTTTCAGATCTTCAGGCTAAATACCATTAAAATCCAGTAATAATCCCATCTGTCATGTGGCTTCCTGCTGTTTAGTTGAATAGTTTTTTCTTGCTCCTGAGTAGGGATCAAGCTTTACACATATTTTAAGCAACTGGTCTATTTATATTAAATAGTTCACTTTTGAGAGCACATCTTTTTCTATGAGCAGTATAGAACTTTTCATCTCTTGATGCTTCTGACATCCTTCCCATGTCATTTCTGAGCAAATAAAGGGCAAATAGCTTGGTTTGCCCCAGTTCTTAGAGAGGCTTAACACTGCCTGGGTGGGCAGGTAAACATTGCCAAACATAAGGCTAGAAATGACTTCCCAGCTAGACAGAAGGATTTTCATTTCTTCTATCAATGGAGAATCTTTTGGAATCCAAGGGAAGAATTGGAAGGCAACCACCATGACCACTATAACACAAAATACATTCTCAGTCTACACGGAATGCTGTGCACAGAGCCACAGCAATAACAACGTGTACTGCCCACTTCTGGAAATCCTTGGTCAATTCCTTTCTATAAGACCAAGGTCCATTATCACTCACCACATTAGTAATGATTTGTATTCTTTGGGGGGTAGCGGGGGTTGCCTCATATGTGTTTCATTGCTCTGCTAGATATATTTCTTCTTTATTGACCTTGCTGTTCTGGAATACCCACTTTTAAAAGATTTTTAATATGTTTTTATTAATTTCAGAGAGGAAGGAAGAGGGAGAGAGAGATAGGAACATCAATGATGAGAGAGAATCATGGATCAGCTGCCTCCTGCACACCCTTCATTGGGGGTCAAACCCGCAACCCGGGCATGTGCCCTGATTAGAAATAGAACCGTGACTTCCTGGTTCATGGGTTGATGTTCAACCAGTGAGCCACACCAGCTGCGCTGGAATACCCACTTTTTGATTGACAGCAGGTGCAGTGGGTTTTGCATGCCCTCATATGACAGTTGTTGTTTTTTTTAAACTATTCTGACTCCTTTTTATTACCACCCCTGTGGCAGAAATGATTGATGGTGATGATATTAGTAATAATCTCTGTGAACTCATTTGAAACTAGTTCAGTATACAGATCTGTTTTTCTTCAGCAGCATCTTTACTGAATATTAAGAAATCATTACATGTTTTACTTGTTGCAATATTTGAGATTTGCCCTCTAGAAAAGATGCACATACAAGGTAGGGTGATTTACCTCAGAACTATTATTTCTTTTCTCTACGAAAGAGTAACAACTAGTAAGACTAACACTTCACATATTTTTCTTTGGCTCTTTGCTGTCTTATGACAGAACTAAACTATAAATGTTAAATTGCTAGAAACAAATTATAGAGAATTTAGTATTCATGTTAAAAAACACACAGCGGTTTTAAACTAATAAATGTATCACCTACAGATGACATATTCTAATATCCTATTGTTTTCATATCCAAATTCTTCAAGACATAAAATCCACCATTTTTTAAACCTCACATTTATAATACGTTAGGTAATGAACACAGGACAAAATGGGAGTGGGGAATGTTGGCGGAGAAACAGCAGCAGGAGTTAGACCGGTGGAGTCAGACTGCATCTTGGTTCAGCAACCTTGGTGCTTGAGTTCTGGCTAAGAAAGAACTCAGATCCAAGACTCAAACTACAAAAGAAAGTTTATTCAGCAAGCAAAGCAAAAGTACACTTGAAAGAAGATTTCGGCCAAAGAGCACCCCCGGGGTATTGGCAAGGGCTCCTTGGGGGGGAAGGGGAAGCCTAACTGCTTCCTTCTTTAAGTTGACCCATGGGGCTTGTCCCACTGTCTCCTGTCCTTGTATGGAAATCATGTGGGGCTTTTCTTCAGCCCCTTGTTTCTTCTCTAAGGCGCTCTACCTACATGACTACCTACATGCCAGTGGAGAAAAGGTCAGGGGAGGGTCTGACCTGCATGACAAGCTAGGGAAAGAAAGGGTACTTCAGGGATGAGGTCCTAACTTACCAAACATATTTTCAATATTTGCTCTCCCTGGCTACCCATTGCTAGGTACCTGGGATTTTCTTCTCTGGTGGCATTCGTACCTGACCTATTGTCCTGTTTTGTTTGTGCCTGTCTAACTGCCTACTAGAGGGAAGAGACCAAACCAAGGGGAATTTTTAAAATACGTTTTTATTGATTTTTAGAAAGAGAGAGGAATAGAGAGCTAGAAACATTGATGAGAGAGGAACATCAATAGGCTGACTCCTGCATGCACCCCACTGGGGATCGAGCCAGCAACTCGAGCATGTGCCTGGACTGGGAATCTTGGTCATGGGTTGACACCGTACCACTGAGCGTACCAGCCGGGCGGAGATTTTTTTTAATCCTCCACTGAAATGTAAGCTGTAACAGGTGGACTTTTGAGGAAGGTAACTTGGCAGGGAAGAAGAGGGAAGTGTGGTCAGTGGTTAGCTTGGAAAATTTCAGCATCATCCTAGGCCAGTGATGGCGAACCTTTTGAGCTCGGCGTGTCAGCATTTTGAAAAACCCTAACTTAACTCTGGTGCCGTGTCACATATAGAAATTTTTTGATATTTGCAACCATAGTAAAACAAAGACTTATATTTTTGATATTTATTTTATATATTTAAATGCCATTTAACAAAGAAAAATTAACCAAAAAAATGAGTTCGAGTGTCACCTCTGACACGCGTGTCATAGGTTCGCCATCACTGATATAGACACTCCTTAGGCTGGCATTTCAGATTTCCCACATCCACTGGCACATTCTACACTTCTAGCCTCTCCCCATCTACTCTTTTTTCACTATCTTTCACCATTCTTTACCTGAGCCTTACTTTTTCCTGTACCTGTGCCTTCATGCTAGACTTCCTGCTTGAAATTCCAGCTCCAGCTCCAGCTTCTTACTACTACCCATCTTTTAAAGCCCAACTCAAATGACACCTCTTTCATGAAGCATTGGCTGACATCCACAGCTGGAAGTGGATTTACATGGTTCCTAAATCTCTAACGGATTACATTCTTCCTATATTGTAATTTTTTGTATATGTGGTAAATACACCCATCTGTCTTTTTTTTTACATTGTAATTCCTTGAAGGCAGGTTTTGCATTTCATCCTCAATTGTATCTATACACGCAGTGCCATGTTCATGGTAGACCATCAATGGATATTTGTTTACTCATTCAACAAATATGTATGAGTTTTGAATGGATAAATAAATGAATAGATTTGAAATTGGAAATGGAAGAAAGGAAACCAGAGTGCATTGTTATTATCATAAAGGCAGCAGAAACAATTCAAGAACCATTATAAACAGGAAAAGCTGATGAAGACCTTACACCCATGTATGAAGGGCAGGACTTGGTACTATTTCTCAGCTGCAGCCTCCCAAAAGCCAAACGCTCCATAACTGTGACATATGTTGTTGTGATAATTGCTTATTATCCACGCGCACATGCTAACCAAAGAGAAAGCTAGGAGGAAATATGGCCTTCTAGTCTTAGAAATGTTGTAGCAACCTGCAACAAATAATCATGTTCTCTTTATTTTAATATACAGGAATTCAGTTTTTTTTAAAAATCAGTGAAATTTTTTTTTGTCTAACAAAAAAAAAAGCTGAATCAACTATTGTAGATAGTGGAATTATCTCACTAATTATAAAATCATTTTCTCCTTTTTTAATGAAATGCTTATGAATTTGAATGTACTTGCGCAGGGGCCATGCTTATCTTTTCTGTATTATTCCAATTTTAGTGTATGTGCTGCCAAAGCAAGCACTATTTTCTCCTTTAGTGAACTTCACTTCTTATTGTCTCTTAGGAATGCAAGGCAAATGTGTCTCAAAGCTTTAGGATCCCTTGATGAACGTTTGATAAAAACATATTACTATCATATAATAATCTTATGGTAGAGGGTCACGGAATAGGGAGAAATCCACCTACAGGGTACATTCCTTTAAACCAAACAAATACAGAAAAATCTGTGTTCACAAAGGTTAATGAGGTAATGAATAGTCATTTGACAAAAACATCCACCCTAGTCACCAAAAACCGGATTTACACATCCAGTTTTTCAGAAACTCATCAGCCACAGAAAATGGGGTATACCTGTACTCACAGTGCTCAACAAGCAATGAGAGTCTGGTACCAGGTGTCGGTCTCGGCTACACATAAACAGACATCTTTTCTCCCCAACTTAGTTAAAAGTCAGTAGATAATTTTGGGAGGATGAATATTTTTCTGGTTGCCTCTTAAGGAAATTTTCTTTCTGCTCCATCAAAAATTGATTAAATGTGACTCATTAAACATAGATCCAAATGGAGCAAGAAACAAGAAACACCTTTCCGGTGTCTTAGTCATTGCTTTCTCCTAAATCTGACTCTGTTCCTTAATTTTAGTAAGAATTTTGTTGCTTTCTGGCTAATTTGAAACATTTAAAAGACAATTACCTAGTACCAGGATATGGTAGAAACTTAACATATGAATGTCGAATGAACATAAGGTTTCTTTTACCTCATGTACCAAGATATGTCTTATTGGAAATAATTTTGCCAAGCACAATAAACTATGAAACTTGAGTAACTAGAATATAATATGTATAGAATATAATCAGAACATATAGAATATACTAGAATACTAGTTATTACAGGAATAATAAACAGGAGGAAAAAAACAGCCATGCTGATTCCAATGGTTGGTTTTGTGTAGTAGTTATATGAATTGAATAATGGATTGGTTTATGGTTGCCAGCATCTAATACAGATTTTTATCCAAAATCATCAATAAAGTATACCAACACCATAATGCTGTTGATTGAAAATATCTCCATTGTTTAAATGGTTTTAGTTCTTATTTAAGTTATCATTTACCCTCAGCCTGTTCTGTTTTGATATTGCCTATCTCCTTTCAGTTCAAGCTGGGGGCAAACTTAAATCTTAATAATACACAGGCAGTGGGAAATTAGGGTTCAAAGGTTAAGTGGAATATAGGCTCTGCACTGTATAGAAAAACATCTCCTAGTCCTCCTCCTGTGTCTGTCTTTACTCTCACACTACTACCATACTCACAATACTTCTGACACCAGACATGATGGGGTGGGGGTTCCCACAATGTGACACCAAGCAATTCTCCATGACACTAGCTAGGTGTACTACATTTAACTTTTCAGACACTATCTACCTGGTGAAAATGTCAGATCCCTCCGGTTAAAGGCTGAGTCCCATGAGACTTTAAATGCCAATCACAAGTGGTAGGGCCCCAGGTTACCCACAACTTCTGTCCTATTGGGCTATACATTGGAGGTTCCCATAACCCGCTCCCCCTTGGATTCAGTTATTTGCTCAAACAGTTCACAGAACTCAGGGGAACTCTTACTTACATTTGCCAGTTTATTAGAGGATAAAATAAAAGATACAGATGAACAGCCAGATGAAGAGGTACAGAGGGTGAGATCTGGGAGTGTGCTGAGCACAGGAGCTTCAAGCCTCATGGAGTTGGGGTGTGTCACCCTCCCAGTCCATGGACATGTTCACCAACCTGGGAGCTCTCTGAACCCCACACTGTTGGGATTTTTATGGAGGCTTCATCATGTAGGCATGATCAATCATTTAACTCCTTTTCCAGTCCCTCTTCCCTCTCTGGAGCCACTTATTAGATGTAAGATCTTTGGCCTGGTTACTCAGTTTCTCTGAATTCCACTTTTTTCACCTATAAAATAAAGATAATACATACCTCTTAGGGTTGCTGTAGGGATTAAATAAGATAATGTATGTAAAATGTCTGACACATAATAGACTTTAGAAAACATTAGTTCCAACCTCTCTTCTTTCTTCTTTTTTTTAAAATATGTTTTTATTGATTTAAGAGAGGAAGGGAGAGAGGTAGAAACATCAATGATGAGAATCTTTGATTGGCTGCCTCCTGCATGCCCCACACTGGGGATCAAGCCTGCAACTAGGGCATGTGCCCTGACAGGGAATGGAACCACGACCTCCTGGTTCATAGGTTGATGCTCAACCACTGAGCCACACTGGTCAGGCTCTCTTCTTTCTTAATCATCCAAATATTCATACAATGCCTATATAGAGTTGTTCGCAAATGCCAATTTAAGAACATTTGCCAAATACCAGAACCACCTTCCTACCATGGCCTTTGAGACTGTGTGTGATCTAGCTCCTGCCTCTGTCCAGCTTCTCTTCCAATAGCACTCTCCCTTCACTTGGTGCACTTAAATGTATTGTCATCACTGTTCCTCAAACTCACCAGGCTTCTTCCACTTCAGAACCTTCTCAAATCCTCTTTTCCCTATCTAGGTTCTAGAATTCCTCCTTTCACCTGTGTAATCTCGATTCGACCATCTATCCGTTTAAATGTCACTTTCTTAGCAGGGCTTTTTCTTAACATCCCTCCTCAAGATTATGTCTTCTCTTTTGCTCTTTCATAGTACTCATAATTCTTTCTTCATAATAGCTACCACATTCTTAATGTATATTGGTACATAATTATTTGTTGTGTACATAATTTGTTGTAAATTATTTCCCCCCAGATTCAAATATTAAAGCTCAACCGCCAGTACCTTAGAATGTGATAGTATTTGGGGACATGGCCCTTAAAGAAGTAATTAAGTTAAAATGAGGCTGTTAAGATGGGCCTTAACCAATCTGACTGGTGACCTTATAAGAAGAGGAGATTAGGATATATAAAGAGAGACACCAAGGGTGCACACACACACACACACACACACACACACACACACAGAGAGAGAGAAAAGGCCGTGTGAGGACCCAGCAAGACGATAGCCATCGGCAAGCCAAGGAGAGAGGCCTCAGGAGAAACCAAACCCGCTGACATTTTGATCTTGGACTTCCCACCTCCAGAACAGGGAGAAAAATAATTTCTGTTGTTTAAGCCACCAGAATTTTCGTTATGGCAGTCCTAGTAGGGTATTCCGTTGTTTAAAGACTATCTTACTCCACTAGGCTGTGAACGACCTAATGACAAAGGACATGTCTATGTTTCACCACTGAACTCTCAGCATATAGTTCAACCTCTAGTTCCAAGCAGGAGTGGATATATTTTTGTTTAATTTATGAATTAATAAGTGAATGAATGCTGCAGGGTTGTGTCAATTTCATTCTGTCTGTCTTCCAGATTTTTCAGTGCTCTTCTCCTCTGAGACTGACAGCAGACATGTTGAGTAAGTATTTATTTGGGAAAGTCAGGAACATCCCAGAAAGCAAGAACCCAATAGTGTCACATTCTCAGACACTGGAAGGGTTCTGAAATGTGTGACTCCAAGCAGAATATTGGGAGCTTTGGAGTGAGAACCCCACAATTGGCGCTCAGACCCTTCAATGTATGTCTGCACATAGCAGGGTGCAAACATGCATTGGTGTTTTGCTAAAGGAATTCCATGGCTCCCCTCCAAGATCTTAGAATGATGCCTCAGAATTGGGAATCCAAACCTGACACTGGGTCCCAAGAAGATGCTTATGGCTCCAAAGAAGCACCTGAGTGAGTTCTAAGTTCAGACTTCCCATATTACCTACACCAAGAGTCTCAGCTAGTCTTTAAGGGTCCTGGAAAGCCAGCTGCTCTTCAGGTAATCATAAAAATTATCTAGATTGGTACAAATTGGCCCTCGAGGGAAGTCCAAGGGTTCCACGGAATGCACCTGAAGTGGCAGAGCCTCTGGGAGTCCCAGGTGTATGGAAATTATGCAGTTGCTGATTTGAGGAACAAGAAGATCCTTAACCCTCCCCAGCAGTATCCCTCTCCATTATTTAGGTGGCTACATGCCTGAAATCCTGTGACTAACATGTCACTCTTTGGAGTCAGCATCACTATATCAGGTTGCCTTATATTTTAAAAAATGAATGCCCATTCCAATTGCTCCACATTTTCCATCAGTAACATCTTATTCTGAATTAGTTCACCTACTGTTTCTTCCAGGTGGACTTGACCTGGCTTGGGTCAGAATGGGGGAAAGAGGTCAAAGGTCTCGAACATCAATCATGCCAACTTCACAGTTCTTCTGGGGCTCAGATGACTTGACCACAGGCCACTACATGCCCAGCTATACCACGGATCATGCCTATTGGGATTTTGAGTATTCCATGGCAGTGAGGAAGGGGAATACCAAGTTGTGGCAGTTCTCTGGCTAAAGAAGGTAAGAAGTAATACAAGGGAATTTCCTTTACACTGACCTTAGTTCCATTTCTTCATGGGCCCAGAAATGGTTAATCCTCCTAAACAGGTAGGAGAAAATTTCTGCCTCCTATAAAGTTTGATTCCTGGAGGCAGATTTTTTTTTTAATCCCGCAAGTGTCAGATAATTGGGAGGGTGGAGTAACGCTGTAAACCACGACACACCTTTGTCAGGACTTGTCTGGGAGCAAAGGACTGAAAGAAACAAGGGGGGAGAAGACGTGAACATTTCTGAAAGATCACTCAGCTTTAACACACCTTGGCTGGGTCTGGATAAAAAAAGTGGGAACTGCAAACGTCTAGAAGAAAACATCAGGGGAAGAGAGAGGGGGGATTTATTCAAAGTTGTTTCCCATTCCTTCAGAATCTCAAACGAGGTAAGTAACAGGAAGACTTTGACTTTTCTCCCTTTGCCTGAGACTTTGATTTGAGGTTTGCCATTTAGAACTTAAATGTTTGTTGGAGAAAATAAGATAAAGTTGTTGAATTTCAAGTGTTCTCGTCGACGTGATTAATTGATCATAAGTGATGACTTCGGTTTATGCATTCTGCTTAGAATAAGTCTTTTAAAGGATCAACAAGAAAGATCCATCAGTGGTAACGAGAAGAAAAAGGCTAATTAAGATACACTGGGCTCTAGTGCCAGAATTTTTTGTATTATTTTCAGTGTTATAAAATGGCTTGTGTTAAGTTGTTTTATTTAAAATATGATAAGCGTTCATGATTTCTTCTCTCTCAACCTCTCTCTCGTTCTCCCCACTCCCTCTCTTTCCCTCTCTCCCCTGACAGCAGAGGTGAAGTGTAGGTAAGGGGAGCCTTCGGGAAGCAGCCCCTGAGCACTCAGAGCTGATGTGCTGCCCAGGCCTCTGTGCTGCCAGGTTCTGGTTAAGCTAAAGGCGCTGGGCGAACATTGTTGTTTACCACACTCTAAAATTACTACTTGCCTAATCTAAAGTAACGTGGAAATATCTGCAATGATATAATTAATCCAGGAATTTCCTGGAGTCAAATGTAGAACAAAACAAAAACCAAAAAAATCGTGTGTGTTCATACTTTAACTGGCCAATTTGGGCCCCCAAAACCATTTTGGGGTGAGAATTACCAGCTTAGGAGTCCCACTAGACCACATTAACTACTAACTGACAAATTACTACTTTACTTTCTGAAGTATAAGCAAAGCCTCTGGCACACCACTTCTTTTGAGAAGCAGTTCATCAGTAGCCTACTGGTTGGATTTGTTCTGTCCATAAAATGTAGTGAGATTTTATAAAGTTTCATTTGAAAAGCAGAATAGTTCCTTCCCACCTCTTAGAGCTAAGGCACAGAGCTAAGTCACAACTAAACTAAAGCAGGGGGCCAGCCCCTTCAGAGAATCAGAGGGGCCTGCTTTACTCTCAGCCCCTTCAAAACACCCCAAAAATCTGGGCAGAGTTTACATGGGGAAAGCTAAAGTGAACAGTTCTGATTTAAGCTTAGATAGAAACTCTTTATTTTAGTGAAACCAATCCGACCTGAGAACTGACCACATTCTTAGATGATGCCTGACCCAAAGAAATCTGTGCTTGCCTGCTTTGGCTCATTTGTTGTTATTAACAGCAGTAGGGTTTACCCAAACATGGCTGTAAACAAGCAGCATAATCACAAAGCTTATGCCCAAGCTTCCCCACTCCCAAGCTCTGAAAATCCTAAGACGCCAAATATTGTAAGTGGGCAAACCCATTGCTGGGGTAGAGACAAAAGCTTGGGGGCAATCAACCCCAGGGCATTGGTTTTCTTTGCTGTCAAACTGCTTGGCCCCTCTGTTTACCGATCAGTAGCTGGGTCGTTTTCTTATACTTTGACCATTTTGTTGTTGTTTTGTATTGAAGTGTACAGAGATTGGAGTAATAAGAGCTGTAAAAAACAAAACAAAAAAACTTATGATACCTTACCAGAGTATAGGGACATTTATTATTAAAATAGAAAATAGAGAGAACGTTTAGCTTCTCTAGTCCCTTCTTTGTATCAAAGACCAAGATGTTTAATGAGCCGTTAGAATAAGATGAGGTCTATGCCATGGTTTTCAATTGCTGTCCTTGCTTGTGTGTGTGTGTGTGTGTGTTACACCTCATCATCATTGGACTAGTTTTAGGTGGATGTGACATCATTTAAATGAAGTGAAAAGAAAAAACTCAAAGAGGTAGAAAAATGATTTTGAAATTGCATTTTTTTTTTTTGCATCAGAAAATGGCATGGGATCAGTTCAGCAGAGCATTAACTATGAAATAACCATGAGGCAGCCCGTTAGAGCTGTGGAGGGAAATTAGCGCACTTCTGAAATTAACAACTTGAGTGAAGTTCTCATCCTTCTTCTGGTGAAGCGGCCCAGACATCCAAGAAGTTAAAAACTATTCTACTCGACTGTGCTTCCATTAAGTAGTGTTTTTGGAGGAGGGTGCACTGCTCAGAAAGACAGGATTGGGCTTGTGCCTGGGCATGTAATTTCCTTTTGCTACTGTTAGTTACGCTTTTTAAATCCATCGGCACTTAAAATGTTTAAAAAGGAAGTCTTGTGGAAATACTGTAGATCCCACAGGATGATCCCAGTCTAGGTTTGTGCCTCAACCCCTCGTTTTCCATTTGATAACCCACTTACAGAAAGTTTCCTCTCACATTTGGTTTAAAGGAATCCATCTCCCAACACTTTCCTGCCACTTCAGACTATCAGTCTGGGAGAATTTTGGCAGTCAACAGAGTTCCATCTTGTACATGTCAGGCCCAAGAAGTCATTCTTTTTGGCCATGGGACACACACTTGAAGGGCTTCAGGCTGAGAGAGAGGCAAGGGGCTATCCTGCACCCACCTAGGCCACATTCCATCCCAGCTCTAGGCAAGGAATGAAGCCTCATGGGAAAACTCCCAGGTGGATCTGAGAAGCCACAGAAGGCCTTTTTGTAGGTATGTGCCCTCCCACCCCAGACTCTGAAGAAGGGCATCTGATTTCTTAGCACGATGTCTCTCTGTGCCCTCTGGAAGTTGGGAAACCCTTGGCTTTTTGCTGCAGATCTCAGGGCTCCGTAATTAGGATTTAAGAAAAAGATGGGGGGCGGAGGGCGGGGGAGGGCGAGGAAAGTCTGTTATTTTTCTGGGTATAGAAGCAACAAGAAAACACTTGCCTGTTTTGCTACTTAGACACTTCAACTCTTACCAAAAGGTCATCAGCCTGCCTTGATGGCCACAAGTGGAATAAACCCATCCCATCCCAAATTTGTAGTTGCTGGCAGCAACTTTCATTAAAGAATCAAAGTAAGCAATCATCTGTGGGAAGTAAAAGTTTCCATGGATTGTTATAAACAGTTCCTTTCAGGATAATGTTTCCTATGGATTCAGGTGCCATCCTAGGTGCACCCATCGGCAGCCAGGTGCATTTGAATGTTAATCTTCAAAATGGTTCACAGCTAATGACCAACTTTGTTTTTTTAAGTGGAGAGGGGCTTCAGAGGTACCAAAGCAATTAATGCTTAAACAAAGGATTTCAAAGAGGATATCCAGTTACAGGTTATTGCTGGAATGCAGACTGAGTCACAGGCCAGGTCTGGCCTTCCAGAGAGGCTGGACTCCCTTGTTAAACTGTTTATGGGCTCCTCCTCTAGGCTTTGGGGCACATACCTACAAAAGGCCTTCTGTGGCTTCTCAGATCCACCTAGGAGTTTTTCCATGATGCTTCATTCCTTGCCTAGAGCTGCGTTTAAAAAACTTCGATGAGCAAGAAGTTGGCACATTCAACCCAGCCCTGAAGCTAGCTGTGCCGATCTTGGTTAACTCTACCAGGTGGTTGCATGTGGTCTTGCTTTTCAAGGTGGGAAGTTACTCAGGGTTAATTATGACTTTCATGGGTCCTAGACACTTTTGCCATTGGGACCCCTTCCTCCGTTAAAAAAAAAACCAACCAAACTTTAAAAATTGTATTTATTTTATAACTACATTGGAATAAGGTAATCCAGGTTGGAGTGTGTCCATTTTTCCTTCTGATTTTAAAAATAAATTAAAATAGTTTTTTGGGGCATGTAAAAGTATGATGGTATTAGGCACTAAAGTCACCAGGCAAGAAAAAAAGCTTGAAAGCAGAGATCTTTGAGCAAGGGGTGTCCTGGGCAGAAGTGGCTTGCCCCAGAATTCTAGAATCCAATTTAAACTTTATCCAAAATATAATCTGGGAGGAAAGATGGGTTGGGAGTGTGGGGGAAGAAGACCAAAGGGAAAGCCAGATTTCAAGTTCTTCCAGAACCTGACACTGGAATCTCCAGCCACAAGAGCTCAGTTGGGCTATATAATCATGCATGTTTAGGCCTGAGCCCCATCCCAGCCCACCCCTTGATGTCAGCCCTACCTTATCCCACCCACACTCCAGGACACAATGGACAAGATCTCAATGATTTTCCTTTCCAGAAGCAGAGTAATCACAAAGAGGGACCATAGCTAGCATGTACGAATATTTTATATTCTTACATCTTTCAATAGATTTTACACATGTTTTCTTCATATTATTTTTCTAGTTATGTCTGCAAAAAAGCACACTAGGGCTAGTTTGTTATAAAGAGAAAGTTTCAAATTGTTAAAAGTGTAACGTTCCATACAAGTATGACCATTAGCATGATTATTATCCTGATTTCAATCCATCAAACATCATTCTCACACCCAAACTCTAAATAATAAAGCATAAATGTCTTACGTTCATAGAGCTCCATATAGAAGATTGAACATTATGGGATACATCAAAATGAGTTAGCTGAAAGCACTAAGTGCTTTGACAGATAGATATCCTTCAGTTATTTGTTACTTTGACAAAGAATGGAAGTATTATAGTCAGAGGTCCGGGCAGCACATCATCTATGTATTAATGCCCAGCAGGGGGCAGGCAGCCTGTTCATTTAGATTCTGAAAAATAAGATCTCAGTACAAGGAATAGAATCAAAATTGAAACTATTAAATTACTTGCTATTATAAATGATACAAGAATAACAAGAGATGACTCATAAAAAATGTGCACATGAAAGAATTATGCTTTGAATTCCAGGAATCAAGTTTTAGGTTCTCAGCTTGAATAGTAGGGACCTATGATTAGAAGAAGTGATAATAAGCCTGACTGGCATGGCTCCATGGTTGAGCACTGACCTATGAACCAGGAGGTCACAGTTCGATATCCAGTCAGGACACATGCCTGGGTTGCGGGCTCAATCCCTAGTAGGGAGTGTGCAGGAGGCAGCCGATCAGTTATTCTCTCTCATCTTTGATGTTTCTATCTCTCTCTCTTTCTTCCTCTTTGAAGTCAATAAAAATATACTTTTTTTTTTTTTTTGCCCTAACCGGTTTGGCTCAGTGGATAGAACGTCAGCCTGCGGACTCAGGGGTCCCAGGTTCGATTCCTGTCAAGGGCACGTACCTTGGTTGTGGGCACATACCCAGTAGGGAGTGTGCAGGAGGCAGCTGATCGATGTTTCTAACTCTCTATCCCTCTCCCTTCCTCTCTGTGAAAAAATCAATAAAATATATTTTTTTTAAAAAACTTTAAAAAAATATATATACTTTTTTTTAAAGTGATAGTAAGAGGCATTGTTGTTTATGGTTTTTGGCTTTTCCACAGGTGGCTATGGTATGGATGTGACCAAGAAAAGCAAGCGAGATGGCACCGAAGTCACCGAAAGAAGTAAGAGCATGATAATTACCAAAGTGATTAAAATCTGGAAAGAGTAAATAATTCATCCCTAGTTCCACCATTAACTACTGTATCATTTCTTTCTATTTTTTCTTTTTTGTTTTGTTTTTGTATTTAGGGTGTGTGTTTTTTTTCTTTTTGGCTTTTTAAAGCAACTATCATTTTAAAGGTATTTCTAAAAAAAAAAAACACAAAAAAAACGATTCCTTCCCATGAGATTCCTTTTGTTTATTTTTATTTTAACATACTTGTAATCAAAATGTGTTCTGCTTTTTCTTCAAAGATGAAAACTGCCATTTTGATGAATAATTTTTATAATCAGCATTTTTAATGGTTTCATAATATTCTGTTGAATGAATTTGCTATCGTGTGTTTAACCATTTCCTTATTTAGGGATATAGTCCTGGAGTGTGGATGGGATAAGGCAGGGCTACACCTCCCCAGGAATGGTCCTGCAGATTTTAGAATGAATTATGATGTCCTTGAGACACCCTCAAATTTATTTTTTAAAAGGCAAGGTAATTATCCACTTCCCAGTGAACTCAGCCAGGATGATGCATGGGCCCCAGCTGGACTGGGTGACCATTTGGAAGGGCAGTGCAGTGAAAGAGTGTGACTTGAGACCTTGAGAGTGACTTGAGGTGCTGGTTCTCCTTCAAAGGCAAATCCAAGCCTGGACTGGATGTAATAGTTAAACGAGTGATATTGATGCCATGACAACTCATTTTTCAAATCAATGGATAGCTACCTCCTTTTGGTTCCAAAGGGATATAAATGTATTTTCCAGGTACACTAAACTTCATTGTTATTGTACATATTTTCATGTATAGTGAGAAAGATCATATTCCTTATCACATAATATACAAAAATCTCTGTGGAACCGAATGTAATGCGCTGAGCCTATGACAGATGAGGACTTGCCGAACTACAGGGATTTCAGTGCCTTACATAAGATCTGATCTTTTCCTTGTCTTTTCCTAGTTATCACCGAAACAGTAACTACGAGACTCACATCCTTACCGCCAAGTAAGTGACTATCTCGAGAGCTTCTTCTCAGTGACTTATGTGTGAAGGACTCTGCGCCTAACCTTTCCCAGCGGCCTCACGCTCCAGTAGAGCAAATCCAAAATACCTGAAATCTCTTTTTTTCTTTACAGTTATATTGACATCAATTCGTATACCATAAAATTCACAGTTTGGGGTGTATAATTCAATGGTTGTTAGTATATTTAGAGTTGTGCAGCCGTTGCAACAATCAAATTTTAAAACATTTTCATCCTGCCAACAAGAAACCTCATGGCAATTTGTAGCCACTCCCCATTCTCTCTCCAGTTCCTGAAAACCACAAATCTACTTTCAGTCTCTATAAATCTACTTTCAGCCTGATCTGGAAACTGAAATATTGAAGATATTATCTCCCCTGAGCATGGGGTGGGAGCAGGGAACCACCAGTGAGGTTTCTGTTTGAGTCTCCATTTTCCTCGGGAGGTCTTTATGTGTAGTGGATGCTGTAATGGAGGTCTGAGCCCTAAAGTTAAGCCTGCCCCTTCCAGGAAGCCTGGCACCCAGAGGCGGAGGAGTGTGGAAATCCCACCCATCAACATGGGAGGTTGGAGTATGATGGGCTGCCGGATGGGAAACTGGCAACACAGCGCTGTTTCCAGTCCCTCCAACAATTCTAGGGGCTGCATGCCTGGGGCACTGACCAGGCATTTGAAAAAAGCAAGCCCAGCCCAGACCCTGGCCTCAAGGAGCTTTTTCATCATTTGCTACATTTTCTAATATTTAAATTTCCCTAATAAATGACTTGCAATGCTCCACCCAGAAGACATCCTTTTTAAGTCGGGTGGAATATTTCCTTTTAACATTTGTATCAGAAACAAATGAAATGAGAGCCTGGCAGCTTGATGGGAAAGGGAGCCCAAACCATGAGGGTCATGGTTGGGAAGCTAGGGAAGGCTTCCAAGGGGCAAGGGATAAAGGACCCTCTGGGCTGACTCCACCCAGAAATGATCACCTGCTCCTTGTCTCTGCAGAAGGGGGGACCACCAATGGCTATGCTAAAACGGGCTCCCTCAGTGGAGGGAGCCGGCTGGAGAAACAGAGCCTGACCCATGGCAGCAGCGGCTACATAAACTCAAGTAAGTGCCTGCTGGTGAGGGGTGAGGGTGGGGGAAGAGCAGACTGGGATTGAGTGCTGCAAGGAGAGGGGCCAAACTGTCATCCATCCAAATGACCCAAAGAGCATGTAAATGACACCGAACCCAGAAAAAGTGAGACTTTCACATCATCTGCATTTGATGCCGACCTAAAATGGGGTCAACTTTCATTACTTCCCTAATATAAATAACAATAATTAATTAAGGAGGCTTCGTGGGGAGGTGGCTCCTTCCCCCCTGAATCACTCTTTAAGCCATCTCCTTTAGAGAAGAGTGCACATCTGAGGGCTTACAATTTGAATTAACAACAACCACTAAAGAAACTGAAGGACTGGGTCCCTGTGCGCAGGGAATCTGATCCCACACCCTGAGAGTTTCCACTGGGCAAGCGCCCAACATCGGCCCATTGTTCCCCATGAACCACTCTTTCATGGTAGCTTTCAAACTAAGCAAAACAAAACAAGGCATAGGGGGAAAGCAAGCACACACATAGCCCACCAATACATTTTATTTTATTTTATTTTTAAAATACATTTTATTGATTTTTCACAGAGAGGAAGGAAGAGGGATAGAGTTAGAAACATTGATCAGCTGCCTCCTGCACACCCCCCACTGGGAATGTGCCCGCAACCAAGGTACATGTCCTTGACCGGAATCGAACCTGGGACCCTTCAGTCCACAGGCCGACGCTCTATCCACTGAGCCAAACTGGTTAGGGCACCAATTAATTTTAAAAATCTTGGAGTGACACTAAAGAAGAAGACCCAAGCCTGGCCAGTATAGCTCAGTGGTTGGGCATCAACCTATGAACCAGGAGGTTGCAGTTCGATTCCCAGTCAGGGCACATGCCTGGGGTGCTCAATCCCCAGCAGGGGGCGTGCAGGAGGCAGCTGATCAATGATTCTCTCTCATCATTGATGTTTCTATCTCCCTCTCCCTTTTTCTCTGAAATCAATAAAAAATATATTATTTTTTTTAAAAAGACCCAAGGCAGGCAAATGGTCAGGCTGACCAAGAGAAGCGCCTGCCCTCATCTGTTGAGGAACCTCCCACATGGGATTATGTTCTACTAGTCTCTCCAGCAATGAGCTCAGATTAGTGCCAGGTCTTTAAGAACAACCCTGCCAAAGCCCCTCCATTTCCATACACTGCAGCTATGTGCATCAAGGACCCCCAGCTTGGGGAGGAAGGGCAGGAACAATGACGCTACCCCATTTCTGAGCACCCGAGGGAATGTGGGGTGGAGCCTTTCAGTGCTGATGTCCTCTGGCCCCTCCGTGGGGCCCTCTTTCATTCGGAGCAGCCTGGTGCACGTGGTTAAGGTAACTGGCTGCCAATCCGCTGAAGTGCTATGAGGACTGACACTCTTTCTGGTTTGCAGGTGGAAGCACCCGAGGCAATGCCTCCACCTCCAGTTACAGGAGGGCTCATTCGCCTGCCTCCACTCTGCCCAACTCACCAGGCTCAACCTTTGAAAGGAAAACTCACATCACCCGCCATGGAACATACGAAGGTATGAGAGAGAGAACCACTCTCTTCCCAGTAACTTCACTCATCCTTTGACGAATTGGCACCTGTGTTCACCTGGGCCTGCCCCCTCACCTTTCTCTCCACCCTTCCTTCATGTCTTTTAAGGACTGACATTACCCCTCCGTTCATTCATTCATTTAGTCCCTTTCCCATGTGGTATTTTATCACATATCTACCATGTGTTTGACACCATGCAGAATGCTTTGAGGGATGCTTAAATGAACCAGAGGCTTAAATGGATCTTGTCTTCAAGGAATCTGTAGTCTAAACAGACAAGTTAAGATGACAGATAAAAACCATAATACAAAGTACAAGGCAATTATCATTTCAAGCTGAGTCTCCAGGAAAGTGTCTCTAGGGAAGGTGCCTGTGAGCTGGGCCTTCATGATGTGGAAGATTTTGATACCCAGAGGTGGAGGGATGGGTGCTCCAGGCCGCGGGAGCAGCAGCACAGCAAGGACAGGCAGAAGAGTCAGGACCGTGGTGCTTAGGTAAGAGGGCGGGCTTGAGGGACTCAGCATCAGTGCCAGGCTGAGATGTTTGGACTTTATTCTGTATATAGTGAGAAGCCACAGAGATTTTTTGAGCAAAAGAGTCGATCATATTTGAGGTCCAGGACTAGCACTCTGAAAGCCACGTGCAGGAAAAATAGGGAGGGAAGGGGCTGAACATGGTGACATGTTAGACTGTGCTCAATAGTCCAGGGAAGGGAAAACTTGGCTGAGACCAGGGTGGTGGCCGTGGGAGAGGAGAGGAGGAGCTGGAGGGGAGAGGTATTGCAGAAGGGGAATTGGCCGGTTTGACAGTTGATTAAATGTTGGGAAAAGGGGAGTGTCAAAAGTTCAGAAATTACGGAAGTAAAACCAACGAATCACTAAAATACTAGTTAGTAACAGTGTATTGTGTGCAACCAAAAAGACAGTTTGCAGGCTGAGAGCACTCAAACCAAACATGGAATGAGGCTCCAGGTTGTATTGTTACAAAGCAGCTTATGTAGTTTATTTTTCATGGTGACTGATTATACTGTTAGAATTTCCTTAAGTGATAGGGAATTGGTCAGTGGTTACCTCATATTAACCACAGTTTTCATCTTTGAAAAGCTCCTTGTTGGCAGGAGGAAACAGTTTCAGTTTTGCTTATGATTTTCAGAGGCATAAGCAAGAGGCGACTTAGTTCATCTTTTAAAATTAGCTAAATTACGCTTTGCTTGAATGATTCATCTAGTTTTGTCTGTTCGGGGGATTTTTAAGGCTGGTCTCCCTTTGTTTTTTATTTTAACGGAAGAAAAAGGAGTTAGTGATTCTGCTGAAATTAGAAACACGGGTGGTTGGGTTCATGTTGGTGCCCACAATTACAGCAGGGAGTTCACGCAGATGAATTCAGTTATTGGGTCCTTAAGTAGAACTACTGGCAGGGCTTTCAGGTGGGGTTACCAAGCAGGTAGAGGGACTCATAGGACTTCAGCTCATGGAAGAAGTCAGGGCCAAACACCCCATTTGGAGTCATTCACCAAGAGATGGAAAACTGAAGGAATTGGCTGAGGAAGAGAGTATAAAAAGCAGAAGAGAGCAAAGAAAGGTAAAGTTTGGGGAAGAAAGAAAAAGAGCTGGGGATACAGAGGAAGAAGATACTTTGAGGGGAGCAGGAGACTAGGTACAGGCGGCGTCATTGAAGTCAGTACAAGAAAGTGCTCAGGGTCAAGAAGGAGAAGGCAGGAGGAGGCTACTGGAGGTCTGGTGATCTGCAGAAGCAGGTTTAGTGGAAAACAGACAAGCCAGGCAGCAAATGGGTCTAATAGTGACTGGAGAAGCAGGATTAGGGATGGGTACCCCCAGTAACTGACTTAAGACCAGAACTGCCAGGGAGTCTTGGGGAGCCACAAATCCAGGCTAAGAGCATGGTGTCACCACAGTGCTTTCTGGTGTTGGGCCTACACAGGGGCTAGTACCTTCATTTTTACAGGATCCACACTCAGGATGACCTTCACAAGGTCAGAGACATCCTAGATAACAGCACATCTAGAGGCCAGGCCACCTTCACCAGCACTGGCATGGGGCAAACAGTTGAGGAAGTGAAAACAAAAAAGGCTCCTACCTTCCTTTGTTCAATCCTTGCCCCACTGAAGTAGCCCAGGAACCAGATTGAAGGGCCACAACCATATCCGATAGGCAAAGCGGGTGTAGGTCAGGAGCTCGCTGAAGAGCACCTGTTGTCCTCCTGAACACGCAGGCCGCAAGGTTCATAAAGGGGTACCCGGCAGCACCCTCTCGGGAGCTGTTTGGGTTCAAGTGATCATTGGTACAGGCAGACCTCAGAGATATTGCGAGTTTGGTTCCAGGCCAGGCCACCTCAATGAAACAAGTATTGCAATGAAGCAAGTCGTAGTCTTTTTGCTGGTGGAGGGTCTTGCCTTCAATTTGTAGAAAACGCCAACACCTGTGAAGAACAATAAAGCGAGGTGTGCCTGTACTGAGTGTTTTGTCCTCTCTACAGGGAGCTCCAGTGGCAACTCTTCTCCGGAGTACCCTCGGAAGGAATTTGGTATGTCCCCTCCTTATCTCCTGAAGAAATGGTCAAATGAGGCACTGGAAAAGGGCCGGGGGCTCAGGAGGGGCGGAAGTGGGGGCGGGTAGGGGAAGGAACATCGTGAGTTAAATGGATTCTCCTAAAAGAGTTTAACCTCTGCTGACCTGTTTTACTCTTGCTTTTCATCCTGAAACATTTATGGGGATCGTTGCAGCCTTTGCTCGTGAGGCTACCGAAATAGCAAGCTATTCATGCAAAGCTCAGGCGTGGACAGATAAGCCCTAAGGCCAAGCAACAATTGTAGGATTTATTTCCTTCCATAGAGACCCCCCAGCAAAGAGGAGTGGGGGTCAGAACACACACGTGCCAAACCTCCCAGCACTTCCACCACAGCAGGCTTCTAAGAGGCACATGGTGGGACACGTGAAACCCAAGTATCTTCTGGCCTTAAGTCTTTCATCCACGTTCTTGGATTCTCACTGTGCATATGAATTGATATGATCATTGATTATACAGTGGTTATAATTTTATTTGTTTGCTTTCAACAAAAAAACTAAAGAAAAGATCTGGCAGCCTTTTGATAACATTTGATCAGTGTGTAGGGAGCTAGTCCAAATGGATCATGCTCCTAAATGGATTACCTCAGCTAATTTAGCACTCAAGTGTGAGCTAACTTAACATTCATTTAGCTACCTTAACACCTTAAATGCACTGGGGGCCTTGCAAAACTTTCTCTGCCTTTTGGCTACATGGTCATCATTTAGTAAACATCCACTATCCATAAGGACACCTATCTGGAAAACACATACTGTGAAAACCAGCTCCTCCCCCAACCCAAATAGTTCAACCCCCACATCAAAAATATTTAGCACACCACCTCTTATCTATGCTTAAGATAACTTTTTTGTTTGTTTGTTTCTCAGCATCTTCTACAACCAGAGGACGTAGCCAAACACGAGGTGAGCTCTATCTCTGGGTTCAATTCAGTTCAATCAAGAAGTATTTTCTGAGCATTTAGCAGGGGTCCTCAAACTTTTTAAACAGGGGGCCAGTTCACTGTCCCTCAGACCGTTGGAGGGCTGGACTATAGTTTAAAAAAAAACTATGAACAAATTCCTATGCACACTGCACATATCTTATTTTGAAGTAAAAAAAACAAAACGGGAACAAATACAATATTTGTATTTGCATGTGGCCCTTGGGCCATAGTTTGAGGACCCCTGATTAACTGTCCAGCCTTGAGCCGGGAAATGGGAGGAGTGCAGAAGAATAAATGAGGCCTGGTTCTACCCTCAAGGGGCCTACAGCATCCTGGGAATCTTTTGCTGGCTCCACCAGGGTGGGAAGGGTAGATCTGACTGTAATCTAACGAGCACGTGGAGACAGGAATAAAAACGCATGGTAACCACCTGGGCAGTATTTGGTTCTGCTGTGGATTGTCTGAAGATGCTGGCGCTACATCTTGTTTCACTTCTAATCTCCTGGTTGACTTTAACAAGAGGTGCTGTGAATGCCTTTATGCATCAAAACTAAGCAAAAGCCCTTCTTTTTCCAATTATCCCTGGGGACAAAGGGCTCTGTGACAGTTTTGCACTCTCCACATCTGCCCATGGATAAGGCTATAGGTGGAAAACATGGTCCCGGGCAAGCTGCCCTTATTGAACCTGGTGAGGAGCAGGTGTCAGGGCCACACAGAAGGCAGAATTCTTCGTAGGCTTTGGGAGTTCTCGATGGCCAGCCTAGACTTGAAAAGTTAGGAACATACCAACCAACCACAGCTTTAGGCTGATAGTGGAAAGATGGCAGTCTTCCACCTGAAACTAATAATGTTAAACTACCCACTTTCTGCCCTCTGCATTTCTGAAGAGGCCAAAATGGCTAAGTAAACATTACAAGTTTTAGAATCCTCTCGCTACTGCCTGAGAGACCCTGGAGGCAGGAGAGCAGCGTGGTTCTGGCAACTGGGAAACGGGTGACTGGAGAGGGGCGGGTCATTGATGACGGTGATGGAGCCGCCCTCTTCAGCCTGGGGTTTCATCAGAACATCTCCAGGCGGCTGGAGGTGTGCAGTGGGCAGGCTGGGGTGTAGGGAGAGGACATTTCTTTTTGAGCAGCACTCGTCCTGGGTATACCTGGGTGTCCTGTTCCCAGGACACAGATCTCAAAACAGCCCAAAGATTTACCCATTGCTCAGAGCTCAGTGTCAGACTCTGTGACCCAAATTCCTTCACTCACAGCCGTCTCCTTCCCTTTCCTCCTGCAGAGAGTGAAATCCGAGTGCGACTGCAGAGTGCATCCCCATCTACCCGATGTAAGTGGTCACTGTCTTGCTGAAAAGAAAGGGCCCAGGAATCCAGGGCTGTGTGTGTGCGCTCGTGTAGTCACTCAATCATTAAATGTCTCTGAGGGCCTTCTGTGAGAGAGATCCTGTGCTAGGTGCAGGGGGAAAGGAGCTGAGTAAGTCACAGTCCCTGCTGTTCCATTGTTCACAGACTAATAGGGAGACAGTCAACAACCAGCTATGACAGCTCAGGGAGTGGAGGGAGCAGGGGTCCTGGGAAGCCTTCCTGGGTTAGTGTCACTTGAAGAGCGACTGAAGGGTGGGTCAATTAGGCTCCATGGGATGAGCTGGCAGACATTTGAGGACCATATGATGAGACTTTGGAGAAAGCTTCAGTGTGGCTGAAGGAAAAGCAGCAATCTCAAATGTTAGGGATTCCCTATCTCTGTCTACTGTGTTAGACCTCATTTGTTCTTGTTAGAGGTTATTTGACATTTTGAAATGAGCCCAACTATTAGGATAGGAGCTGAGTGGGTGGCTCAGGAATCAGAGATGGGCACTTGCCCAAAGAGCTCAGTGCCTGGGGTCCAGGAATCTGACTCTAGGCCTGATCTGTCTCATCTGAGCCCTTCTAGGCTTAGGGGTGCTGAGTCCATAGGATGGGGATATCGGGGGAGGGGGTCCTGGGTGGTCCTCCAGGAGGTGTTGTCTGCAAATCTGTCTCCTTTTATGCATTGCCCTTGCACCATGCCTCCCCCTCCTCCCTCCTCTGCTGTTTGCCATGTGGGAAGCACAGGGAGCCTGCTCCACTAGATCGCCTTGCTGCAAATAATACCAGCCAGACGGGCTTGAAATTAACTCACACAAAAGCAGCATAATGTTTAGGAGTTATGGGCCACAAATCCCTCCGACACTGCAGAGCATACAAGGTCAGGGACCCGACACCTGAGGCGTCCTGCGCAGGGGTTGAAATCACTACTGAACCATTTGTTTCAAGGGGCCTGGTTCTCTAACTGCCCTGGGTATAAATTTCCCTTGACCCAGGATGACATTGTCTTTCAGCCACAGAGTCATCCCTGTGGTGTCTGATGAGGTATAATTAGGAAATATCTACCGACGATTTTGACCTCCTTGTAGAGGCACTATATTTATGAGGCCATTAATATTACAAAGTGCCAGGTTATTAAGTGCTATAAATTGACAAAATGCAAAAATTATCAGGCTAACCAAAAATGTCCCAGCATGCAAAGTAGATGCCATCCTCCCTCGTGTTCAGAATGCCATAAATGTAACTCTCACTGCAGCCGGACTTGGGAAATCATCCTGGGCCTAATGGAAAATGTGGGGATTCTTCTACAGGGACGGAATTGGATGAAGTTAAACGTCTGGTCAAGGGAAGCCGATCAGCAAGCGCGAGCCCCACCCGGAATTCCTCCAACACGCTCCCCATCCCTAAGAAAGGCACTGTGGAGACCAAAACCGTGAGCTCCCAGTCAGGTGAGCCCTACAGCCCGGGGCTGCGTGGAGGGAAGGGAACAAGGTGGTATATTAGTCCTGGTCCAGGAATTCAGTCATACCCTGGCAGGCCCTCAGACTATGGCAAAGCACTGCCCTTTATGCAGCATGAAAATGTGGGCTGGTCAGCCATCCCAGGGGCCTGCTGAGTCAGGCTCTACATCCTAGAGATTTCCTCCAAGAGGTTCTTGACATCTCCTGGGAATGTGTTGGCCAGGTTCCCCAAAATGAAGAATATTGGGAAGTTGTCATGTTTTCTTTCATTGATTCATTCATTTATTCATTCAGTGAATGTTTATTATTTGCCTCCTCCATGCCAAGCACCAGGCACTGAGGAAAGGCAGTGAACAAGACAGACACACCCATTGCCCTTGTGGAGGTGAGGGCCTCTGGGGGCAGTCAGATAACCAAGAGATCATGGTCAGATGGGATGAGGGTTGTTCAACACTCATATATCATGTGTCTACCACGTGTAAGGTGGGTTCTGTGGGAGGCAGAAAGAGGAATGAGGAGATCCTTGGAGGGAGATGAGGAAAGAAGCCAGTTCTGCTGGGGTGTAAATGAAGCTTTCCTGTCATTTGCTACTGGGGTGGGGAGAGAAACCTTGAGATTGTGATCTTCCTTTTACCTTTTAATACAACCGAAACCTCAGAGCACTTTATGACCTGCGGGGCTAGCTCCCTCTCGTAGAAGAAAATGGCAGAATTGGCTTCAGATTTGAAGAAGCACCAAAACCCCTTCTTGGGGGCAGAGTGCCTTTGGGTCTCCTTGGCAAGGAGAGTTTAACCAGAAAAGGCTGTCATCCGTGTGGAGTGGCCTTGGAAGTGTGGGCTCCCTGCCTGTGCTTGCTGTGTGCCTGGAATTCTGTGGGCATTCGCTGTGGGGCCTCACTCGCTGCTCCCTGGTATCTTTGAAGGTGGAGATAGGAACAAAGAGAGAATGAGAACATTGGTGGGGACCGCTCAGAGGGGTGGGGAGGGTGGCTTAGAAGGAGAAACGGGTGACCTACTTCAAATTTCATCAAGAGCCAGCAAGAATGTCTAACCCAAGGGATAAGGTTGCACCAGCTCCGAGGCTTCAGGCAGAACTGGGATGAGCAACAGCCCCAGTTTGCCCTAGACCAAGAGGTTGCTGGGATGTGGGACCTTCAGGGCTAAACCAGGAAAGTCCCAGCAAACAGAGCCAATTGGGTCACCCCAGCACAGAGCTCTGGTTTGTCTCTCACTGGGGAGTCTGTCTGTCTGTCTGTTTCCAGTGTCCGGCACCTATGATGCAACCATCCTGGATGCCAACCTTCCCTCCCACATGTGGTCCTCCACCTTGCCGGCAGGGTCCTCCATGGGGACCTATCACAACAACATGACAACCCACTCCTCCTCCCTCCTCAACACCAATGCCTATTCCTCAGGATCAGGTATGTGATGCGCAGTGCACATCCCCTCCCACCCCAGAGCCCTCCTCACCTTTACCTGGAGCTGAAAGACCCTGCTGGTGTCCACCGTCCCCAAGGCTTGCTAGAGGGGCTTTCTGTGGCCAAACATCCCAAGGTTTTTCCACTGGAACTTCATTTCCTTTCAGTCTCCAAGGTGTTTCTTTGGGTGGGTCCTCTATAAAAAGAACTATATTCCACATGCGTCAGAAAAAGCAGTGGGAAAAACATGAAAGCAGGTGCCAGGAACCTGGTTTGACTTCATGTGCATTAACTGTGACCCTGAGCTAGTTATTTACCGTCTCTGGTTTCAAGTTCCTTTTCTGTAAAATGGTCACTAACAAGTGGGCTTTGGCCAGAGCTAATGTCCACTTGAGGCCTGACCAACCTTCAACCAGCCCTTGGCTAAGATCTAAGGCACAAATCAGAGACGAATGTATGGTTCTCTGCGGCAAGGCAAGCGCCTACGATTTTCCTAAAAACAAATTTAACAAAATATAAAAATGCAACCTGTTAATTCTGGAGCTTTTGGGGCACCCCCTGTTCTGGGCGGGACGTCCCTCTCACAGCCCCTCGTCTTCCCTGCAGTCTTTGGAGTTCCAAACAACATGGCCTCCTGCTCCCCTACTCTGCACCCCGGAATCAGCACCTGCTCCTCAGGTCAGTGCTCGCCAGTCCATCGCCCTTTCCAGGTGGTTTGCTTTAATATATACATGCTCCTTCCTGGTGAGGAAAATCTATGGTTTCTAGAGAAGAGGTCCTTTCTGCCCAGGAGGACGAGGACATTCCTGCATATACACCAACACGGGCAGTGGCCCAGGGCTGCCCAAGGTCAGAGACAGGTCTAAGGGTGGAGGGCCGGAGACCTCACTTACATGTTTTCTCTGAGAGGTGGAGAAATGGGAGGAAAGAAGCTAGGTGAGGCCTGGCTTAGGACATTTCAGGTAAAACAAACAAAAAAAGAAAACCACAACATTGTAAAGTTAGAAAGCTCTTTCTTCAGGTCTTTTTATAAATACTGTAGGTCATTGGGAGCTCAAATGTATTCACTCTATTTCCACATACATTGCAACAGCCTGAATGTAAGTCACCAGCCACCTCTTTTTTTAAAGGAATGTGCCTTCTCCTTGTGGCATATGACTAATTAACATGATGATGTTGGCCGCCTTATTTACTGGACCGGCATATCTCTGTTTCAACACCTCCAATTGACTAGCATCCCACCAAACCCAGAAGACACCTGGTTAGGGTTCATTTCTTCTGCCTTTGCTATTCTGTTTAGCCAAGTCCTGACTGAAGATATTAAATCCACAATCTTGTACCCCAAACACGACACAGGATGGAATAAGAGAAAGCGTTAACTGGGGAGGAGTGAGCTTCGGCTTTGAAGTCAGACTAGGGGTGAGGGGAGCTTGATGTGTTTGAGTCAGAAGGAAGAGTTCAAGGGAAAACGAGGTCTCTGCCAAGTCTATGCCTTTGGCCCCCTTGTGTCTGTATCCTATGCCCACAGTTCCCACACTGTGCACCAAGGCACCCTAGGGTGCTGTCGGGAACAGGGAACTCTGGGGTGTTTTTACATTCCAAGGATATTTTTTGAATACAGTGAAATGTCAAACCCTGTGTGAACTACCACTGTAAGCTGTGTAGACCTAAGTATTCAATAGATGGAACCATTCGTAACTTTTAGCCCAAGATGGGGAGGTGGGCATAAAAAAATTGCTGTCACTTAGAATGTGAGAACTGAGAAAGTTTGGGAATCTCTGTCATATGCAAAGGCATTTATTTATCATGAAAGGTATTGGGGTGCCGGGGGTGGAGCTGCCTTAAGCTGAGGACCCTCCTCTCTGCACCTGCGCTCACCTGTCTTCAATTATTTTCACAGTGTTTGGCATGCAGAACAATCTGGCCCCCAGCTCATCCGCCCTGTCCCACGGCATGGCCACCACCTCCACAGGTCAGTAGCTGAGGCTTGGAGCTTAGGGGCTGGGAAGTAATGCTTCTTTGCAGCTATAACTCACAATATTCCTTTCAACCACTGAATCAGAGGGACCAAGATGTCCCTTAAAATCAATCAACCTTTCCCACCAAAGAAACAGCCCCCACTCCCAATCTAGAGATGCCAACCTCGATCATTTGCTGGATCAGACATGTGAAAACCTGGGGGAATATTACTGTGGGGTGTCACCTGTGTAGCCCTGTGATTCACTGCTATCCCTGACTGCCCACTGCCATTGAAAATCAATCATCTGGCTGATTTTATGGTTTGCTCCTTGTGCACACCTGGGGGAGGGTGGACAGAAGAGGCATGAGCTTCCACCCTGGCCCTCAATTTGCTTACTGTTTAGTTGGAGTAAAAAGTGTAATAAACATGAAACTATTGGGGGATTCTATAAGATAACATGAATCAAATTGTGCAGAGCAGGTGTTAGGGTTGTAGGAGTTCAGAGGGAAGGTAATGTGGGAGGATCTAAGAGGACTTCATGGAGGAGGTGACCTTTAGAACTGTTCTAGAAGGATGAGAATTATACCAAAGAAAGTTCCATCTAAGCTCTAATTGCTGGAGAGTTGATTGCATTATTCCTTATTCTTCATGTTCATTATTCATTCATAATTATTATTCATTATTATTATCTTCCTCTCACATGGGGAGGCTGCCTGTCTGCCAGAGCTGGTCAGGCTGCTGCTAAGTTGCGTGGAGCTGCCCTCCCACTCTGGTCCCACTCACTCAGTGGTTCTTCTCTTGCAGCGTACGGGATGAAGAAAAACGTACCCCAGAGCCCTGCTGTTGTGAGCACTGGCGTGTCCACCTCTGCCGGTGAGTGCTGTCCCCAGCTGCCAGGGGCAGGCTGCAGAACCGGAAAAATTGCTCCTTGGTGACACTTAGCATATGGAAGAGTGGATATAACCCATTGGTGGTCTAAGGTCCCAAATGGGCCTCTCGGTAACTTCCAGAAATGAGCAGAGATGAGCATCTCCCTGACCTCATCTTGACCTTTCTGTCCAAGGGAGGCAGGAAGCTTCACCCTCCGCACCGGCCTGGGGTCAGACACTTACACCCCAGCTCCCACCTTTGTCTGGAAGCCCCTGGCCTGCTCCTGTTACCTGTCACCCATGGCAAGAACCAAGGAGCCTGTCAAAGCTGCCACACCCTCCCTACCTTCTGCAGACCCTTTATCGACTTGGGCTCACTGCACAGGGTCAGCCGCTTCCGCCATGGCTCTGATCCTGGGTGTTCCCTTCCGGACGCTGTTCTAAGCGCCTGGACCACAGAATGAACAAGGCAGGCTAGGTTCCTGCCCACCAGCCTGACAATTGCAGTGGACGCAGATAAACAAGTTGGCAAGATAATTTGAAGGAAAGAAATAGGTCAAGAGTAGAAAAAGGAATGTGTGTATATTAGACGGGGTGGTCAGGAAAACCCCCCAGGACGCTAACACCTGAGACCTGAAGGATAGAAATGAACCCAGCAGGTTAAAGAAGGGCCTGTCTGAGAAGAGGACTTTTGTCCATTCAATAGAGATCCTGTAGCATCCAGGTGGAAGGCAGCCCATCAGCCAGCCCCCCAGTACTTCTGACATGGACCCAACCTCCTCACGACCAGGCCCAGTGAAGCAGGGGAGGTTGTCTTTGGTCCCCAAGATGCTTCTTAGCAGCCACTGTCAGGGAGACCAGAGACCCTTGGACACACCCACTAATCTCTCTTTTCCTCCCCCCTCCCCTTTTCCTTCTCCTTCCTCTTCTGGTCATTTCTTCCCTCCACCTCCTCCTGGCACCTTTTCCTTCCTCCTCACCCACCTCTTCCTCTCTAGCCTGTACCACGAGTGTCCAGAATGATGAGCTCTTACACAAGGACTGTAAGTTCCTGATCCTGGAGAAAGATAACGTGCCTGCCAAGAAGGAGATGGAGCTGCTGATCATGAACAAGGACAGCGGGAAGGTCTTTACTGCCTCCCCCGCCAGCATCGCTGCAAGTACGTGGGAGCCCAAGGGACTCAGATGTCAGAAGAAAGGCAGACAGTGTAGGAGACCCAATGTCCTAGCAAGGTGGTTTGAGATGTTTTAATAGTGAAAGCACAGTCATCCATTCAAATGAAAAACTGCCTGCCTAAACAGGGTGCTCCTGGGGTCTGCCTAGAATGCAGACAAGCCTGGAAAATTCTGGAAAAGAGCAACCTCAGCAAGACTCCCAACCGCAAACACACATGGGGGGATTAACCCCAGGAAGGCGGGGTCCTCTTCCTACCCGGCTACCTCTACCTCCCCATGTGGACAGGATGTGGAGTGGGGTTGGAGAGGGGGTAGGGAATAGCCTAGATCATTGATGGCGAACCTTTTGAGCTCGGCGTGTCAGCATTTTGAAAAACCCTAACTTAACTCTGGTGCCATGTCACATATAGAAATTTTTTGATATTTGCAACCATAGTAAAACAAAGACTTATATTTTTTATATTTATTTTATATATTTAAATGCCATTTAACAAAAATCAACCCAAAAAATGAGTTCACGTGTCACCTCTGACACGCGTGTCATAGGTTCGCCATTCACTGGCCTAGATTGTCATGAGTTGTGTGCACAGCTTCTTTTTCAGAGGACACACTAAAAAAGGAAAAGCAAGCTGCCTACACCACTGACACTAAGCTGATCTTGGATACTAATGGTAAGACTACATCTGCTCTCTGTCCACCTTGCCTTCAGCCCATCCACATTTCATTTATGTATTTGTCTCCTGAGACCTCACTACTCCACAGGTGGTCCCTGGACCAGCAGCAGTGGCAGCACCCTGGGAAGCCTGGTTACAGGACGCCCCAGGCCCTAGCCCAAGGCCTGCTGAGCCAGAGGCTGCGTTTTAACAGGCTTCCAATTGATTTGTGCGTGTACAATATTGAAACAAAAGCTTTCCCATGACATGTGTAAAGCCTACAATGGTATTTTTTTTCTCACCTTACTCATCCACCCTTAATTTTCAGAACTAATAGAAAAATGCTTGGCAAAGCACTTGCTAGCTTTATTTTTTCTTCTCAAATACCTGGATCCTCTCGTAGATAAACACATTGCTTCACTGCTGAGTCCCGAAACATCTCTCCAAACCACTGGTTTCAGGGGAGAGGGAAGGGCAGGGTCAGTAAAGGAAGGGAAAAGTACATCATAGGACATTTTTAGATAAATGCAAATGAAATCAGTCCCAGCCTGACAATGCCTAAGTTATCAGTTCCTTACATTGTAGGGGTGGAAATGGGGCGGTGAAGCCAAAAGACCCTTTCAGAATCTGATGAAAGCTGTGAACAACTTTCCCAGAAAATCTCGCACATGCCCACAAACACTCCATGGTCAGATAGCATCAGGAACTCATGAACAGCCCTCCTCCCAGCCCATCCTTGCTGTCGGGGTCCCTCTTCCCCAGGTCAGGAACTTGCATTCCAAGTCCCTTCGCCAAGAAGACCTGGGGGTGGGGGGTCAATGGGGAAAAAAAGGACATCTGTAATACTTTCAACAATACAGATAAATTAAAAATAAAAGTCCCTTCACCAAACAAATCAAGTCATTTCTCTCAAGCACATTTATTGTTTGAGAGCAAAGGTCACTCCTCAGTGGTCCTCTGAAAATGTCTAAGGCTTTACAGGTTTCAGGTCACAAGAGGGTTATGACACTGCTTTTCCCACCATTACTTGTTTGTCAAGTCATGTCTGCATTGATGCAATTACTCAAGGTGCCTTGGGGGGTATATGGGGTACATCTACCTAAAGCCCTGCCCAAAATCTTCACAGAGGCTGTCTGTGGGCTCCTCACATTTAAAAGCTCAAGTCAAGCCCTAGACAGTTTGGCTCAGTGGATAGAGCGTTGGCCTGTGGACTGAAGGGTCCTGGGTTTGATTCCAATCAAGGACACATGGCTCGGGTTGCAGGCCCGATCCCCAATGAGGGGTGTGCAGGAGGCAGCCAATCAGTGATTCTCTCTCATCATTAATGTTTCTATCTCTCCCTCCCTCTCTGAAATCAATAAAGACATATTTTTAAAAATAAAAATACATAAAAGCTCAGGTCAAAACCTCTTCTCGGTGCTTGTCTTTCAGGAGACGTGAAGACCGTGTCCACAAAGGGCAAAGCGGCCTCCACAGGTAGGTGAGCCCGGCGAGTCCTGCAGTGACAGCAGCCCGTGGGACTGGTGATGGTGAGGAACAGATAAGGCCCCCTAGCCTGGAGCCAGTGCACACCTGAGCCACCCAACTCTAAAGAGTGTCCCTGAAGGTTCAAGGGAGCGGGGTGGAGGGCGGTAGAGGGGGCAGGCCGGGCTAGAGTGGTTCGCAGAAGAAGCTTAGTTCAGGGGCAGTTTGCTCACAGCTCCCCCCTCCCTACACACACACACACACACACACACTGCTACCTGCCCTCAGGTCCAGGGGCTCCCCCTGTGGCAGGAGCAGCACAGCAGGACAGCTGTTGTCCACCCCCCAGACATACACACAGAGGCTTTTTTTTTTAATATATTTTATTGATTTTTCACAGAGAAGAAGGAAGAGGGACAGAGAGTTAGAAACATCGATGAGAGAGATCGATCAGCTGCCTCCTGCACGCCCCACACTGGGGATGTGCCTGCAACCAAGGTACATGCCCCTGACCGGAATCGAACCTGGGACCCTTGAGTCCGAAGGCCGACGCTCTATCCACTGAGCCAAACTGGTTCGGCCACACAGAGGCTTTAAGGTGGCACTAATTCATGTACATCTCCAACCCTTTACACTTTCCTCTCTTCCTCCTCTAGCCTTGTAAGAGAGGCAGAGCAACGGTTAGCACCCCATTTTAAATACTAACAAAGCCTTTTACAAAAAAAAGAAATTGACCGGGCATGCCTTAAATGCTGAGTGTCATTCTAGGCACTTGGGTGTTACACACAGAGTTGTGAACACTGCACCATGGAGATGGGAACACCTTTGGTTTGGGCCTAATAAAATATAGGTTGTGGCAGGTCAAAGTTCTTCATCAAGAGTTTTAAACCGAGCCCTAGCTGGTTTGGCTCAGTGGATAGAGCATCAGCCTGCAGACTAAAGGGTCCCGGGTTCGATTCCAGTCAGGGCACATGCCTGGGTTGCGGGCCCGATCGCCAGTAGGGGGCGTGCAGGAGGCAGCCAGTCAATGATTTCCTCTCATCATTGATGTTTCTATCTCTCCCTTCTCCCTTTCTCTCTGAAATCAATAAAAAAATATTTTTAAAAAATAAAATAAAATAAAGAGTTTTAAACGGAGCCCTCTGTGCTACATCCCCTGCTAACTGCCTTCCAGGCCTCTCGTTTCACTCAGCAACTGTCCTATGAAGTAAGTCATCCTTTAAGCTCATTGTAGTTAAAAGAAAAGGAAAAAAAAAGGAAACAGTAGTTAAGTGACCATCTCAGGGTCACACAGCTCAAGCCCAGGGTTGTCAGGCTTCTGCTCTTCAGCCTCATCCTTCATGGGGCCGCACACGAACCTGAAAGACTTACTTACATTCACTCAGGCCCACAGGAAGTCCCCACAGCCAGAGAATTTAGAGGGAAGAGAGCCAAAGCCGCCTGCCTTCACCTTCCCCTTCCTCTCTCTCCCACAGATATCCACGGCTACGGCTACGATCACCATAACGGTGTCGGTGGCGGTAAAGGCGGCGGCGGTAAAGGTGGTGCTGGCGGCGGTGTTGGCGCGGGCCCGTGGGGAGCAGCGCCCGCCTGGTGCCCCTGCGGCTCCTGCTGCAGCTGGTGGAAGTGGCTGCTGGGCCTGCTGCTCACCTGGCTGCTGCTCCTGGGGCTGCTCTTCGGCCTCATTGCTCTGGGTACGTGGTGACGGTGGCAGGGCAGCTGCCCATTCAAAGGGCAGGAATTGGCTGTGTCCCAAGTGTCGGGCATCAGTGCAGAGCTCTGTGCTGTAGGTGGGGAAACAGGCACTGGGAGGACGCCACCTAGTGGCGGAGATGGGATTCTGGTGCAGCTCCGTTGCCCAGGCCCCCATCCCTGCAGCACTGCTCTAGGCTCCCAGCTGCCTGGGGAGTCAGGCCAGGCCTTCTCATAGCAGTTCTGCCCGCCACAGCTCTGTTGGCCTCACACAGCTCCCAGGGAGGGTGAGGGCCAGCACTATCACTCTCTTGAATGAGAAAGCCCACCCACCCAGACCAGGTTTCTTTAAAGGTCAATGACAATTTTGAGTAGCTGGCCGTAATCTGGCTGCTGGCCATAAGCATTCTATCAAATTGTCCCCAACAGCCTGGCCTGTGTGGCTCAGTGGTTGAGCGTTGACTTATGAAGCAGGAAGCCACAGTTCGATTCCAGGTCAGGGCACATGCCCAGGTTGAAGGCTAGATAACCAGTGGGGGACAGACGGGAGGTGGCCAGTTAATTCTCTCTCATCATTGATGTTTCTATCTCTCTCACCCTTTCCCGTCCTCTCTGAAATCAGTAAATATACATGTATATTTAATATGTCCCCAATGGCAAGAAGAAGTTCCCCAGCCCCCAGAGCCCCCAGTTCAGGCTTCCGGGGGGCGAGTGTGTGCTGGGAAGGCACCGGGCTGCCCCTCGGCTGAGCTGCCCCTCTGCCCTTTCAGCGGAGGAGGTGCGGAAGCTGAAAGCGCGTGTGGACGAGCTGGAGCGGATGCGGAGCGGTGTGCTGCTGCAGGAGCAGATAGAGAAAAGCAACAAGGAACGGCTGCAGGGGCTGGCGCCCGATGTGGGCACAGGCATGGGCAAGTCTGGGCTGGATGCTTCCAGTCAGGAGGCGCTCTGGCTGTTCATGAGAAACAAGCTGATGATGGAGCAAGAAAACGGTGAGCACATCGCAGGGCAAAGGGCCAGCCTGTGTGTGGAGTGGTACCTGCTCAGGGGGCTCTCACACTTCCTTCACTCTCAGGACCAGTACTGTGAACCCATTTTACTGTTGGGAAAACTGAGGCCTGGAAAGAATTGCCCACTATCACACAAGTAGCACATTTTAGAATCTGAATGCTAGTCCTACCCTCAGTTTCTCCCCACTTCACCACAGAGATCCCTTTCGTGTCTGTGTGTCACACAGATGTGTAACCTCTAGTAACTCGTGGTTTACTCTCTCTTCTAGGCAATCTCCGAGGAAACCCTGGCCCTAAAGGTACTGTGGTGGGTTGAGCCCTTTCCCTCTCGTTTCCTGAATTTGGAGCCCTGTTTTCTGGGATTAGAAAGCTGTTTTCCAAATTGAAGGATGAGCAGTAGACAAATCTTACAGCATCTGTTGGGAGGGTTGAGAATTGGCTGTACAGTCAGAATATCTCAGGACGGGAAGGGACCTAGGGCATCCTCTGAGAGGCCGGTGATGTGCCAAGTGACACAGATGGAGACTGAGAGGAAGCCACGCCCCACGCCAGCTCCCCCTGAAATGCGGTTCACCTGCTGTCAGCTGGTCTTACAGACTATGAGAGACAGGCCCTTGGGTTCTCACCCCATTCACAATTGTTTTATCTTTCTTATTTTAGGTGACATGGGAAGTCCAGGCCTCAAAGGTAACTTTTACCTTAATTATTAGTGAGGGTTGACGGTTTAAAGCAATCAGCGAGCTCAGAGAACGCCCTGACATGCTCTTGGCCATCGCCCCTCTGTGGTGGGACCGTGAATTGCAGAGCAGCCTGCAGACCCTTGGGCTTTGGTGGGGCAGGGGCTTCGTGACAGAGCAGGCCTGCATCACTGGCCTTCGCCCCTTCTCAGGGCTCCAGGGACTCCCAGGCCCTCGGGCAGCCTGTGTCGAGGGCCTACATCTACCCCCAGCTCCAAAGGGCAGTCAGAGGGCCTGCTACTTCTCAGCTTTCCCAACCCCCTGGCGGTTTCTATAAATACAGATTCCTGGGCCCTGCTGAGAATCAGGTGTTCCTGGAACAAATGCTCTGGGGCTAGACCTACCCTCTACCCGGGTTTTAATTCTGATGAATCAAGTCAGGAACCACCATTCCAAGTGTGCCACCTGCTCTCAGGGGTCTTAGCCGAGGGAAACCGGGGATAAAACCCAACCGTTGGGAACTGAGCCTCCTGTGGGGGTCCAGCAGGAGCACCAGCACCTGCCCCCAGGGGTTCGCAGGATGTAGTCACAGGAGCAGGTGCCCATAGTGCTAGTCATTGGGGACAACCACATGCTACCGTATGTGGCACACATGTATGTGCTGTAAGAAATGGATGTATTTCCTCCGAGAAGTGGTTTGACGATCAATGGGGTGGGCCCATGGTGGGAGGAAGCAGTTTCCAATCCCGGGACCATAGCAGCGCCCCTTGATCTAGCCGAGTGGGGTTCACACACTTCAGTGTGCGTGAGCATGGGCAGGAGATTCTGGGTCCCACTTCCAGAGCCTCTGAGTCAGCAGTCCTGGTGGTACAGGTGGGTGGGGACAGGAGCCTGCAATCCTGATCACCCCAGTTTATTCTGAGAATTGCCGTTGAAGGTGACAGGGTCACCTCTCTGGGCTCCATCTTTCTTCCCAAGAGATCCCTGTGCCGGAGTTGGGGTTCCTGCGCTTGGTGGTCCTCTTCTTCTCTTCAGGGTTGCCTGTCTCCATGCACACGCCTGGGTCACCGCCCCAGCTCCCCTTCCCCAGGACTCCAGTGTGGAAGTCACACCCCCTGACCCTGCTGGGCATGGGGACTGAAGGTCCTGGAGCCCCTGAGCCTGTAGTTGCCAGGAAATGTGGGCTGCCCGGTTAAATTCGAAGTACAGATAATTTTTCACTATAAGTATGTCCCAAATGTTACATGAAACATACTTATACTAAAAGTTTATTCAATGTTTATCTGCAATTCAGACTTCCTGGGCACCCTGTATTTGTATTTGCTGTATTTGGCAATCCTGTCTGAATCCACCTGGTGGCTCCTTTAGGTAATGGCCCAAGTCTTGGAGCTGACTTCTCTCTCTTTTCTCTGTCCCGCAGGAGATCGGGGGCTCCCTGGGACTCCAGGTGCGTAGTCTCTGATGGCGCGGCTGGTAGTGGGCTGCTGGGCCCTGCATCCCCAGTCCTAGGAGGTATTTTCTTGTATCTACAGGTATCCCTGGGCTCTTGGGACAACCAGGTCCAGAAGGACCAAAGGGACAAAAGGGCAGCATCGGTAAGAACTGCTTCTCCACCCACTCCTTCCTCCCTCCCTCCCTCTCTCAGTAGACATTTATTCAAGTGCCCACTGTGTGCCAGGACATTTTAGGTGTTGGGGAGACATCAGTGGGTAAAACAGAAACTCCTGCTTACGTTGGGGTGGGGAAGAAAGATAATAGATAAATATGTGAAGTTCATAGCAGGGTAAGAGGTGGTTGGGAATGGGAAAGGCAGAGGCTGGTGGGACATGGGGAGTCCTGAGGGAGCCCTCAGGAAAGGCCTCCCTGAGAAGGGGCCATGTGAGCCAAGATTTGAGGGGATGAGGGAGCCGGGCACGCGGAGAACTTGGAGTAACCTTCCAGGCAGAGGGAGCAGCCACAGGCCTCGGCACAGGTGTACCCACTGGTCAAAGAGTAATGAGGAAGAGGAAGAGGAGGAGGCGGAGGAGGAGGAGGAGGAGATCGTAGGGGCCTCAGCTAGAACCCAGAAGGGAGCCGGAGAGTCCAGAGAGAGGGTAGTGAGCGAGGCTGACCACGTGGGGCCCTGGAGGCCTCGTGAAGACTTTCCCAGCGAGGAGAAAAGCCACTTGCAGGTTTGGGGCAGAGGTGGGACATGATTCTCATGCATTTTCAAGGGTGGCTCTGGCTTCTGGGTTGAGCCTGGGCTTCAGGGGACCAGTGCAGAGACTCCCGGCAGGCGTCCTACCAGCGAGATGCTGCTCACGGAGCCCTCAGGGCCCTAACTCTCATATGGCCATTTCTGTTTCTAGGAGACCCTGGCATGGAGGGACCTGTGGGCCAGAGAGGGCGTGAAGGCCCCATGGGTCCTCCTGGTGAACCGGGACCACCTGGGTTTGGAGAGAAAGGGGACAGAGGTAAGAGGCAGTTCCTTCACCAGGAGGGTTAGTTACATCCATTTTTCTCACGAGCATTTGCGGGGCATCGTGAGCCAGGTCTTGGCCAGGCCTGGTGGAGGGTGTGGGCAAGGCCATAGGTCCCGGCCTCAGGCCGAGAACCTTGCAGAGCTCAGAATGCAAGGAGAACATGGTCACGGGGAGAAAGGGTCTTCCCATGTGGGGTGGCGAGGAGTCAGGGCTGAGCTGAAGAGCTCGGAGCAGGCCTGGCGGGAGGCGGAGTGCGGTTCAGATCCTCAGGCCTCTCTTGGCTGGAACTAGCCAGGAAGGAGGCATGGGAAGCCCCAGACACAGGCCCAGCCCCGGAGAGGTCCGGGAAGATTTTGCAATTAGATTCCTAACCATGAGTCTGTTTTTTTTGTTTGTGGTTGTTTTTTTTTTCCCAAGAAAAACCAAGCATAGGCCCCAGAAATCCTCTCAATGCCAATAGGTTATGAGCTGAGCAAGAAGCATAATTTTTAACTTCCCTTTCTCTTAAAAATATTGCTCAATAAGGCAACAAACGTGTATCGAGTATCTAGGGTGCCAGACTTCATGGAGCATAAAGGCTCTGAGGGTAGAAACTGAAGGTGTTTTGCTGATTCATGGTTTGGGGAGGTACCCAATGGCTCAGAGGCCACTGGCAGCGTGGGGACCACCCCCCACTGACACCCGCAGGCTGGGTGGACTCTCTCAGAGTGCTCATTTCTCCCCAGGGTCTGGTGAACCGGGTGTTCCTGGCCCACCTGGCGTCCCGGGTTCTGTGGGTCCCAAAGGTAAGTCAGGTGCCCAGGATGGTACCCAAGTTTGCCATGTCCTGGATAGATAACAGAGGTCCAGGTGCTAGGATCCCAGACAGCCTTAACCCTCTGCTCCAGGCCTGTGCAGGGGCGATGGGCCCACAGAGGGTCCCCTACAAAGGAGTGGGGTCAGGGCTGGGGCTGGTTTGGGCTGCATGGAGGATTTGAGGCCGCATTTCCATCTGTTTGCAATGGCCCCGTTATGTGGCCCCTAAGTGGGTGGATGGGTCAGGAAATCAGAAGTCAGACCATCTCCTCACCTGTCTGGGCCCAGATACACACATTCAAAATGCAACGTGTCTGAACCACCCGGGAGAGAGGGCCTTCTCGATCTGATGCCCACGGCTCATCTCTCCTCCCTCCTCTGCCCCAGCCCAAATGTTTTACTCTGACTGGGAAGGAGCAGGGCTCTCTTGATCCCACCAGCTTCAGCTTCCTCCCTGAGGATGACTTTGCACTGGACTTGGGTCATCTTAGACCAGCGGTTCTCAACCTGTGGGTCGCGACCCCTTTGGCGGTCGAACGACCCTTTCACAGGGATCGCCTAAGACCATCCTGCATATCAGATATTTACATGACGATTCATAACAGTAGTAACATGACAGTTATGAAGTAGCAACGAAAATAATTTTATGGTTGGGTCACAACAGGAGGAACTGTATTTAAAGGGCAGGAAGGTTGAGAACCACTGTCTTAGACCCACTGGCTCTGGGGTCCTGGCAAGAACCCAGACCGTGTGGGTGGCTTGCACACACAGCCCTCGCTGGGAAGTGAGCCCCACGCCTCCCCCTGGCCTTCCCGTGGGGTCAGCTCCCCGGCCTGGGTCTGCCCCTCTGATCACTGTTGTTCTGTCGTCCTTCCAGGTGCCAATGGTTCTCCAGGCCCACAGGGTCCCCCAGGTCAGTACGCTGCTTATAACAGATGTTATTTCTGGGGCAAAGGAAGGGCTGCCAAAAGGGAAAGCAAACGTTATTTAAGCAAAAGAAGCGAATTTAAAGAGCACCTGGAGGTACAAAATCCAGGTCCACACTGTCCCCTGCGGCTGAGGTCAGGTACCAGGGAGCCCCGTGAGATGGCCTGGGGCCTGGGCCCTCTGGCGGCTTCAGCAGCACGCAGCTCCCATCCTGCCCTCACCTCTGAGCAAGTGCCTGCCTCTCCCTCATGTCTCCTGGTTAGGTCTCGTCCTGCTGTCCTGGGAATCTCGAGCCACAGCCCACAGTGTAGTGCAGACCAGTGTCTCTGTCAGTGTCCCACGAGGTGCCCTCTGACCAGGGCCTAGTAGTCACAGGGGCAGAGAACCTGGACCAGGACGACGTGGAGGGAGGTGGGGGGGTATCTGCAGAGAGCAGCTCATGATTTTCACTCCAAAGTGTGTGTGCAAGTGCCCAGGTGTGTGCAAACATGTGTGTATACATGGTTATGTCCCGTCTGCCTGCATGCATGTGTCTGTGTCCATGTCCGAGCTGGGGCACTCACCCTCCTGCATGGTTTCCTCTGCTCGCAGGCCCTATAGGTCTCCAAGGGCCCCGAGGTGAAGTGGGACTCCCCGGCGTCAAAGGTAAGCTGGTGGGAAGGAGCTGGGTAGGGGGAGATGTCACCCTGTAGGTGCCAGTCACTCAAGAAGAGGTCTTGGGGGGCCAGAGGGGGTCAGATGGACATAACCAACAGCCTGTGCAGGCTGACAGGCATACAAGGAGAGGGGAAGTCAGGATGGTGGGCGGGATGCCTGTCTTCAGACAGACACTGCCCTTCCTGTCTTCCTTGCCAAGGCTCTTTATGTCAGGTTGGCCATTACCTTTTCAGGTGACAGAGGTTCTATGGGACCACCAGGACCTAAAGGTATGTTGCTCCCCCTGCTGCTCAGACATCACTAGAGCCTGCCTGACTCCTGGGAACCCAAATGTGACTTGTGCCCCGGCATCCAAGAACACAGATGACTCTGGCTCCCGGACCCTGGGGCTGGGAGGGACGTGCCTCTCATATAGGGAAACTGAGGCACAAAGAGGAGTCACAAAGCACCCACATTGCAGCACTGTGGATGGGTAGTCCTTGGAGTGGCGAGGATGCAGTATTGAGGTCCTCCTGCTCTGGCCATCCTGTGCCCAGAGCACCCACTGTATGACAGGGCCGGGGGCAGCGTGTGGGTGGAATCAAATGTGCCCCTTTGAGTTCATAAATGATGAGTTCTCGCCCAGATTCTGCTGACAGCACTTCCAGGCACAGTGAGAACTGTTCTGCAGCAGGGTCCCTCTAACGGGGTGAGAATGCTTTCCTTGCTCCTGACTGATGCTTCCTGCCCCCCACCCCATGTTTGTTTTAGGTGACCAGGGTGAGAAAGGACCCCGAGGCCTCACAGGTCAGTCCTACATGGGAATCCACTCTGATCATTGAAAGACATTTTATAACTCTACTGGGCACTGGAGGTGGGAAAGAATACAGAGGTATGAGATAGAATCTCTGTCTACTTCAGGGAACTTGCAATCTACAAAACACAGATGAAGCGCTGGCTGGAGACAAGCCAGCATCAGGCTTGCCAGACAGTAAACATCTGGGCAGAAAAGGGAATTAGGATTGTCACTGGTTCTTTTGGGAAATCCAGTTGAGAAAATTAAGCTCTTCCCAAAGTGGCAGAAAGTTGACACCACTTGTCCCCCCCATCCACTTACCTACTGCCAACTCGAATGATTAAAAAGGAAATCTATATATATATGTATAAAAGCCTAATATGCAAATTGTCCCCATGGGAGTTTGCTGGGAGACTGATCACTCTCTATGACATGCGCTGACCACCAGGGGCGGTGCGAAACGAAGGAAGGCCCCGGCCGGCAGCCAGAAGGCCCTGATCGCCAGCCAAGACTAGGGACCCTACCTGTACATGAATTTCATGCACCGGGCCTCTAGTTAATAATAATGATACTTTAGCGACAAGGAGCTGCTCTCTGTTGCCAAGGAAATAAGATTCAGACACACTCAGCTGCAGACCAGGCTCATGCCTGCTGCCTGGGTGGCCCTGGCCATAGAATCTAAGTGGACACTGTGTCCCCAACCTCTCTGGTACCCGAAGCTCATCTGGTTGGGGAAGTGGCAGGCTTAGAGGTGGGCAGGGAGGGAACAGCATTCTACCCTGGTCAAGGATGCAAAGCTTGAAAGCCTCTAACCAGCTAGGCCCTTTCCTTTGCAGGCGAGCCAGGCTCCAGAGGTCTGCCTGGTGCTGCTGGGGAGCCTGGAGCTAAAGGAGCAATAGGTGAGTGTCCAGAGGAGTGAATGCAGCAAGTCTGTCCCCTTCCGGTCATCATCATGGCTCTGGAGTTGAGATCCTTCTAGAGCCACCTCTCCTGTTCTCTGACCCACCCACCCCCTGGTAGAGGATCTGCTTACCGACCGTTTCTGGGCCTGCATATCCCTCCTGGGGCTCAGAGAGCAGCAGTCTCCGTGGGTTTCTCACTGCTCTGGCAAGGGGGTCTGGGCAAGACATGGCCCCCACCCTGTCCCCAAGCCACTCAGGCCCCTGGAGAGGATACGCAATGCCAGGGTCCTCTGGAACCCTCTGTATTCCAGACATAGCCTTGACATCCCAGGACTGGTCTCACAACCAGATCCAGGGGCATGGAGCTGACCAAGGGCCAGGTGTTTAGCACCAAGTCCCAGGAGGGATTAAACCCCATCAGTGGGGGATGTGATTTACCTTCTCAATCATTTAAGAAAGTGTTGTGGTTGAGCATTGACCTATGAACCAGGAGGTCACAGTTCAATTCCCAGTCAGGGCACATGCCCGGGTTGTGGGCTTGATCCCTAGTAGGGGGCATGCAGGAGGCAGCAGATCAATGATTCTCTCTCATCATTGATGTTTCTATCTCTCACTTCCCCTCTGAAATATATATAATGAAATTGTTAGGAAGTGCAATTCTATGCAGGACCCTTTGCTGGGCAAATAAGATGCTTCCCCTCCCTCGAGGGGAGAGAAAGCCTGTAGGAGGTGACAAGTGCCGTGAGAGGTACAGAGTGTGAGGGGGAAAGCTTGCACCCAGAAAGGTGGAGGAGGCAGCATTTCAGATTGTCCTAAAAAGTACAAGAAGATTTTGATCATGGTCAACTTGGAAAATTCCATGCAGGAACAATAACATAGTCAGGAAAGACAGAGATGGGAAAAGCAAGACGTGGTCCCAGAAGGACCTCAGGGAGGTTGGCCTCACTGGAGCGGAGGAGACAAGAGCTCGGAGGAGCTCGACTTCCAGGACCTGGAGAAACAAGGCCGGCATCTGCTTTACTGAGCATCTGGTGTGGGCCGAGTCCTGCCCAGGGCACTGGCGATGCAATGGGAGTCACCGAACAGTTTTAACGGGAAGAGAGAAGTTACTGGTGTGGGGAAGAGGGCAGGGAGAAAGCCGTGACAGAGGCTGGGCTGTTCCACCTTTGGCGGCCATGGAAGGGGCCAGCTTGGCGCGAGCTTGATGGGCAGCATAGGGAGGGGGTCCCAGAAGCAGCTCCCAGAGTCCCTGATGAGCTGTGGTTCTGCTTTCCTAGGACCTGCTGGCCCCGATGGACACCAAGGCCCAAGAGGTAGGTCACTGATCGGCTCTCCTCACTGTCACCACCTCCCCTGCCCCCACTCCCTGCCCTGCCCGCGCCTTCTAATCATAGCTACGAGGCACGCGCCACGTAGAAACATACAAAGCCGGGTTTATTGCTTTCTCCTCCCCACCTGCCTGCAAGTCACTCAGTAAAACCCTAAGAAAGCATCAGCTCAGGTCTGCTGGCCAGTTCAGCGCTCCCAGAGGAAAACATTTGTACGTTGGTCATACTCTCTCCAGGTGAACAAGGTCTCACAGGGATGCCTGGGTTGCGAGGCCCACCAGGACCTTCTGGAGACCCAGGAAAGCCAGGTAACCGCGGGAAGAGGGAGCCACACCCTGCTGAGAGTGTGTGTGTGTGTGTGTGTGTGTGTGTGCGTGTGTGTGCGTGTGCGCTCGCGTGCCCATCTCGTCCAATTTTCCTCCAGCAGCTCAGCAGGTAACTGGCACAACTGCGGGCTTGGCTTTGTGCGGGGGCTGTGTGTCCTGACCCTCTGAGTCACCAAGTCTGGCAACTGGGAAGAGAAAGGTGGACCGGCTGAAAACAAGGGGCAGAGTTTCCCACCACCTCAGCACCTTGCTCCTCGGAGCCTTCCCTCTGGCCCACCTCCCCTCGGGCCATACCTGGACCCACCAGTCTGAGGAGAGAGGCCGTCTCCACGAAGGCCCAGCAGAAGCAAGATGCTCAGGGCTGCAGGAGAAACAAATCAAAACACACTGAGAAAGCTGTGAGGGGCCAGACATGCATCAGTGGTGGGACAAGCAGGAGGCCTCCTGGCTCCTCTGTTGGGAACACCAAGGAGAGAGCCGGGGGGCAGCATGAGGGGGCCAATGAGTGTGTGTTTTCTGGGTTCGTGGCTCTCAGATGCCAGAGGTCTCTGACCCCAAACAGACTGAGAACCGCTGCCTGAGGGAGCAGTGGGCCACTTCACTGCCGAGTCCAGTGCTGGGAGGACCCCAGAGTCAGGCTGCCCCAAACCCAGGGCTTGTCCTCCTGCCCCACCAACCCCATGGGCTCCTGCATTCGAGGGTGTGGCTCCTCAGCCCTTCAACTCTCCCTCATGTGTTTCTTTCCCGTAGGTCTCACAGGACCCCAGGGACCTCAGGGTGAGTCACTGGGTCACTCCCATCCCAGCCTTCCAGCATCCAGCAATGCCTCTCCTCAGTGCCCTTGAGTCTCCTCTCCTGCCCTCACCCTCCCAGCGGAAATGGGCGCAGATCCCTTTGGTGTGCATCTTGAGAAGCACCTTAGGAAGGAAAAACACGCACCGAGCAATCTAGAACGGCATCCTGGTAGAAATGGAGTTAGCGCTGTGCCCGTTCTGCCTGCCTGTGCCCTGCTCCCCTCCGGCTCAGGCCCAGGAGTTGGCTGGCCCTGCGGCAGCCCACATCCCCTGGCGTGGAGAAGTGGGAGCTCACCGTGCAGCGGGGCCCAGTTTCTCTGAGACAGCCTCGGCGTCCAAGTCCATCCTATAGTCGGGCCCATGTGCGCTGGCACCACACCCAGCCCCAACCTAAAGGGAATTGAGCAAAGATGTAAAAAGAAATCAAGCAGCAGGTCCCCCGAAAGCTGAGCACACAGGGACGCCCTGCAGATGCTCCCTGCTCCCTCGTGGAGTTCAGGAGATGCGAGGCAGGAGCACAAGGCAAAGCCAGGGAGGTCTGCAGGTAGCGGTCAGCGATTGTGGCCATGCTGAGTGACAGGGCGCTGGCCAACCAGAGGGTGTCGGAAATTGCTGGGCCTTCATTATCCTGACTGACTTGTTTTCAATCACATCAGGACTTCCTGGAACCGCTGGCCGACCAGGCGCTAGAGGTAAGTGACTTTCCAAACTAGATTTTCTTTCTTTTCACTGGTCATGTTTGTGGGAGGGGAGGTGCTGGCAGGAGTGAAGCCCTGTCTGGGCTGAGCCCGGATCAACAGTGGCATCTAGTGGCTGTGAGGCTGGGAGCCAGGGATCTGCTCTGCTCAGTGAGGCCCTGAATCCTGAAGCCTCTGTCCTTCCACCTCTCAGTACTTTTCCTGCCCAAGCCCGTTCCCAGTGAGATCCTGCGACACCACTGTGGGAGACGAGAGAGTGGGAGTGGGAATGACTCTCAAGTCAGCCTCATTTCGGCGTCACTGAACGACAAACTCTGCCCCTTCAGGGAGTCCCAGCTCCTTCCAAAAGGATCAATGCTCCGGCCTCCAGGGTGTCCGTGCAGAGACTGGCGCTTAATGCATCCTGCACACTCCCCTTAGTTCGTTAAAATGCCCTTAGCCTGCAGGTGAGAGGCCCAGGAGTGGGTCTCAGATGCAACCAGAGGCCTTGCAAATGAGTGACTGGGTCACTAATTGATCCTGGAAACAACGCTCTCCTCTTCTTCCCCTCCCAGGTGAACCGGGAGCTCCGGGCAGTATCGTGACGGCAGGTAGGCAGGCCCTGGACTGCGCATTCCCATGTGCCAGCATCTGCCCGGGCTCTGCCCTAATGCCCTCCGAGAAGCACCAGTCTGAGGACACAGTGCTTGGGCAGGATGCAGGGCTGGGCTCTTCGGGTCAGCAGTGAGGCCATGGGCGGAGCTTTGACGTAATGAGAACAAGAGAGGAGGGCCCAGCCCCACTCACAGCCTGGCCTGGGTCCAGCACCTCGGAGCCAGGACAGTGGGCTCAGTGTTGCCTGTGTCTTCTGTTTTCAGAGGGGTCATCGACTCTCACTGTCCCAGGCCCACCAGGCCCTCCTGGAGCCATGGGACCCCCAGGACCACCAGGTGCTCCAGGTCAGTCTGTTTTCTTGCTTTGCTCCCAATCAGCAGCAGGCCTAGGTAGCGTTTGACAGTACCCGGGTTCAGTACCTGAAATCCAGGAAAGGAACCGAGGGAGGAGTGTGAGGAGGAGCTGAGAAAGCCCCTCAGGCAGCCTAGCGAGGCCTCGTCACACACCCGCAAGTATCGCACACACTGCACAGGCCTGGCTTCCCCAGACCCGACAGCACGTGTCAACCGCGTTCCCAAGGTCGCGCAGCTAAGAAGTTTCCTCTTAGAAAACAATTTGATACTATGCATCAAGGGCAACAATTCGATACTATGCATCAACACTATGCATTCCTAAAATGCTAGGAATCTATTTGGAGAAAATTTCCCCAAATTGTTCAACCATAATGAAATTGCTACAAAAGTATGAGGACTTAGAAGAAAGTAGCTAGGGGTTAATAGTATTATTGAAAACAGCAGAATGCTCGATAAAGTGTGCTCTGTGGTTGCAACAATATTTTTACAAGATGCAAAAAAAAATGTATAGGTGATATTTTCTATTTTTTCCAAAAAGCCTGTTATTCTGCTATATAGATGGGTTTGAACTGTGCAGGTTCGCTTATACGCAAACTTTTTTTTGGAAATTTGTGACAACTTGAAAAAAAAACTTGCAAACAAACTTTATGACTTTCTTAATAACATTTTCTTGTCTCTGGCTTACTTTATTGTAAGAATATAGTATATAATATATATAACATATAAAATATGTTAATTGACTTATTGGTAAGGCTTCCAGTCAACAGTGTGCTATTAGTAGTCACAGTTTTTGTAAAATCAAAAGTTATATGCGAATTTTCAACTGCGCAGAGAGTCAGCACCCCTAATCCCCATGCTGTTCAAGGGTCAACTCTATTTTTTCATTATCTAAAAATGTTCACATGTAAATGAAATACATGATTTAACATGACCAATGCAGGTATGGACCAGCCTTCCCTCCTGATAAGCTCCAGTGAGGGAGGGGGCCCTGGGGCGCATGGAAGTCCCTCGTTGTTGAAGAACAGTGTCTGAGAGGGTGGTCCTGCCCATCCCAGGGGCCCAGTGCGAGCTGACCTCTTTGGGTTACTGTCCCATGCCTTGTGAGGAAGCTAGGTGTGTACCCAGGACCCACCTTGTCTTCAGCTCTTTCTAGAACTGGGACCCTGGAGGTGTGACAAAGCCCTTTCTTCCCCTTTTCTTCCTCATTTCCAGGCCCTGCTGGCCCAGCTGGTCTCCCAGGACAGCAAGGTATGCCACGCCTGAGGGAGCACACACCTGGTGGTCTCAGTCGGGAGGGCTTCCTTCCCAGGCTGGACGTGAACCCCGGACTGTAAATAAAGCAAGACATGCAATTGGAGAAAGGGGGTGAGGGGGTGACATGGTTCTTCACCAAGGGCTTGCAAAGCCTCCGCTGCAAGGCAGGGGTCCGCCGGACAGGGCAGTGAGGCTCTGTGGCCACTGGTCAAGCTCAGCTGTTTTCACTGGCCTCAGGCCTCTTGTGACCAGACCCTGATTATGGTGTCCAGAGACTTCTCCAAATACCAAAACACACACAGTAGGGCTCGGGGAAAGCCAGTCCACTTCCTCCTGTTTGCAGTCAACGCTCTGGCCTGCCGTGCCCCAGGCACCTGGCTGCAGCAGTCACCGGAGGGATTTCTGCTGGCGGCATCCACCCTGACTCTGTCTCTCCCACAGGCCCTCGAGGGGAGCAAGGACTTGCTGGTGAATCGTTCATTAGCAGCAGCAGCTCCATCTCTGAAGTCCTCTCTGCCCGTGAGTGCCCTGGGCAGGTGCGGGGGGCGGGGGGCAGTGGCAGCGAGGTCAGGACATGGGCCTGTGGCAGCTGCACCAGTGAGTTGTCGGGGCCCCAGATTCGGTGAGGATGACAGTCCTCTGGAATGCAGTGCCGGCAGCAGGGGCTTTGTCAGCGTTGGGGGTGATTCACGGGATGGGGCAGCTGTCAGAAAGGGTCTCAGATTTCAGGGTCACACAGGGCCTCCGAGTGAGCCAGACACTGGCCAGTGTCGCTGGCAGCAGTACTGCAGCCCCTCTCACGGGGACCAGTGACCAGGGTTCTCAGCCTCAGGCCTGGCCTGGGAGGGTGGACTCCTGGTCCTCCTGGTCCCGAAGTCCGTTAAGGAGCCCAGGTGGAGATGCTGCTGCACCTGAGCGTCTACACAGCCGACCCTGGTCCAGCAGTCACGTGTACCAGACATTGTGCCATGACATCCACCGAGTCCTCCCAGGTCCCCTGTGCCGTGGCATGTCCTCACGGGGCCCCGTGCTATAGGCCATGTGCCTCTGGTTTACAGAGGAGGAAGCTGTTGCTGGAAAATGTTGAGAACATGCCCCAAGTCACCAACTAGAAGTTCGGAGCAGAGATTTGAACTCAGGCTCTCCGACACTGAAGCCATGTTCCTGCCTAGCACTTGCTGCACCCATATGAGCTATCAGGGAGTTTGACTGTAGCCCTGCCCTGCCTCTGAGCAAGGGCACCACGGCAGAGGGGGTCTGGTGTGTGGGTATGCATGGAGCCCAGGGTCTGGCACTGATGATCCTGGTGAGGGGAGAAGCTGGTGGGAAGCACCCCTGTGTCAGCTTTTGCTCATTTCCGTTTTCTTCTCCCTACAGAGGGTCTTGATTTACGAGGTCCCCCAGGCCCACCTGGACCACCTGGGCCTCCAGGTGAGCATCTCAGGGATCTTTGGAAGGTGGGGAATCATGGGGCCCCGGGGAATATAGGCACTTAGTGAGGAAGCAGGCCCTGCTCCCAGGTGCAGGATCGGCTCTGTAAGTTCAGCGTTGCCTTTTCCTCACTCTCTCCTGCAAGACCTTCCATTCCAGGTCCCCCAGGCCCCAAAGGAGACCAAGGTGGGAGCCGTGTCGTAGGGAGTACAGGAGCCTGCATGTGCCCAGCATGCCCAGCTGGTGGCCAGGAGAGTTTGGATGAGGCTTGATGAGCTGGGGCATTTCTTCATTTTCTTGCCATATCCCTGGAGCATGGGGTGGGGGAGGCGTGATGTCAGAAGCTGTACACAGGATTCCTGCCTCTGCATTGGCCAGGTGGGAGGAGAGGCAGGAGGAGCTCCAAGCCATGTCTGTCCCAGCCCTGGAGCCCCATCCCCTCCCCATGGGCCCCTTGAATTCACAATGTCTGGCTCTATGTATCTCACAACTCTGAGCCTCCTTCCCTCGGGCCCCCCAGGCTCCTGAGGACACCAAGGTAGAGCAGAGCTGGCATCAAACAAAACCTGGGGTGGGGGTGGCAAAAGCTGGTGGTCCAAGAGCCTTTGGCCAGAGATCAGTGTGTGTCTGCATGAGTGACTGAGAACTTATGTGCTCGTGGGGGGGGGGGGGTGCACTACTCTAGGTACTGTGCTCGTGGGTATGGGTTTGGGTGCGTGTGTGTGTGTGCATGTGTGTACTACTCCAGGTACTGACTGTCTATTCTGTCTTCCTCCGGCGAGCAAGGCATCCCAGGGTTCTCAACCTCAGGTAAGTGCTCAGCCCTCACCGCCCCCCCCCCCACCGCCACCCCCACCCCCACCCACAATGCAGGCTCTGGCTAAAGCCACTCCCAGCCCTGGCTGACGGCACTGTGTATGGTGTTGGCTTCCAGGTTCCAGTTCTCTGGGATTCAACCTGCAGGGACCACCAGGCCCACCAGGACCCAAAGGTGACAAAGGTCAGTAAGGGAGCAGCCAAGAAGGCAGTGAGGAGTAGGAGTAAGGCTGACTCCCAGAGCCCAAAGAGTGACCAGCATATATGTATTGGTGCTAAAGCCTTGAGGGGAAGAAAGGAGAGGCTGAAGGGAGGAAGGGATGGGGATGTGGGGACACACACAGTCTCTGCCCAAAGGGAGCTTGTGGTATCATTGAGGAAACAGAGATATGAGACAACTGTTGAGCCACATGCTGATAGGTGTGGTTGGGCTTAACCAAGGAAGGCTTCCTGGAGGAGGTGATGTAAAAAGGGCTTCTCATTTTGGATTCCAGGTGATCCTGGAATTCCTGGTGGTTCCTCTCAAGGTAAGAATGAAAGGTGACCAAAGTTCCTTTCCCCTTCTTCAAGGCTGATCATTGCCAATGAGGACATGGATTCATTCATTTATTCAGCTATGACTCAGTGTTGATTAGGCACTTTCTCCACATGCTAGGATCTCTGAGCTGCCTTAAGGTTACATGTTAGTGGGGCAGAAGGGAAGAACCCCTGTGTGTGAAGGTGACTAACAATGCCAATGATACGAGATGGAGATAGAACAGGCCCTGGGAGCTGGGGGTGTTCAGAGATGAGGGAGACTGTGGGGTGGTGAGCAAGCTGCCCAGAGAGGAGTGAGGGTTTGGCCTGGAGAGCTCCCATCTCTGTGCCCCTTGCAGACAGTGGCTGCTGCAGGCACTCCTATCCTCTCCTTTTGGGGAGCCTTCTCTTTGCCACTGTCCTTTCTTCTACTGAGAAAGACCCTCCCTCAGATGGTGGGAGCAGTGCCTGGGCCCCTTTGTCTGCCCCTAAGGTGGAGAAATCAGCTCAGGCTTTCTTTCTTCCAGGGGGATCATCATCTGGCACCATGTTCACGCAGGGCCCCCCAGGCCCCCCTGGACCGCCTGGGCCTCCGGGCTCCATCAGCAGCTCTGGCCTAGAGATTCAGCAGTACATCTCTGAGTACATGCAGAGTGAGTGCCGGGCCAGTTGGGCAGTGTGTGTGTGTGTGTGTGTGTGTGTGTGTGTGTGTGTGCGCGCGCGCGCACGCGTGGGCAACTGCATGCACAACTGTGTTGGAGGTCAGCAGTCTGTATGGCCAGGCCCAGGTCTTCCACCCCTGCATCCGAGACAGCAGGGCCATGAGCTCCTGCCTGCTAGCTGCCCACACACACGACCTCAGCCTCACCCCAGTAGACACTCGCATACCAACACGCTTGTCCACATGCATACACAGCTACACACTCACTTTCACATGCGTTTATTCCCGACCACATCCCTGTACTCCCCATGGATGTGATTTCCACAAATGTGGGCAACAGAGCTTTGCTAAAAAATGGGCAGCTGAAGTCTTGTTGGTCCACAGCCCCTGAGCACCCCCTGACCAGCCGAGGCCACTGCCTCAAGTTTCTTTATCTGTAAGGAGACATCTAGGCTCCCTGCTTGCTCTGCCTTGGGCCCGAGTGTGGGGTGTGGTAGGCATTTCATCCGGTGCTTCAGGTCACCTCCATGGGAAGCACATGCCCACCTGGGCACAGGCTTGACTTTGCTTTGTTTGTTGGCAGGTGACAGTGTTAGGTCTTACCTGTCTGGAGTTCAGGGTCCCCCCGGCCCACCTGGTCCCCCCGGGCCTGTCACCACCATCACTGGTGAGACGTTCAACTACTCAGAGCTGGCGAGCCTCGTCGTGAGCTACTTACAGAGTAAGCCTCTCCCACCCCTGAAATGACCCTTCCCCGAGGGCTCACTGTTCCCGGAACCTTGTCTCTTAATTTGCTGTTGGCTTTGCCTTTCTTCTGAACATGACATTCAAATCTGAACCCAGGGTAATCAGGCCCCCCAGGAGCTGGCTTCAAAAAGACTTTGTCAGATGAAGAAATGCTGCATGGCCATGTTCTGTGAGCCTTCTTGCGGCTGAGGGCTGTGTCCTAAATATGTGAAATGGGATCCTACGGGCTGGCGGGATCTGGTAGGCCTTAGGCTAAAGTACCTAGATAACAAACTGCATTTACCCAACAAAATCAAAAGAATAACCGGAAGGTGGAACCTTTCCATTATTTAAAAACAACCTCCTAATGCCCCCCACTTGGTTCATCTCCCCCAAGTGGAAACAGCCCGTTGACCAGTCTGATTCTGGAGTAATGCGGGTACTGCTCCAGTACAGATACGCAGGTAACCCCAGCTTCCCTTCCCGACAGCTTCCGGGTACAGCATCAGCTCATTGTCGGCTGCCTCCATCACTTCTGAAGACATCCTGGCTGCACTGCAGCGTGAGTCTCTTGCAGGGGCTAGATGTGGGAGCCCCTTTGCCTTCTCCTGACCTCCCTTGTCAGGCACATCTTGTCCCTCTGAGCCTTGTGAGGGCTGCATAGGGATAGGGGAGGTGGTCTTTCAGGACAAGGAGCCACTCTCTCACTGCTCCCAACCACTGACGGAAAGGAGGCAGCAAATCTCCTTGCTTCCAGAGCCAGGCAACGGACAGCTGCCCCTCAGATACCTGGAAGCTTGCAGATCCCCCCTCCATCACCCCTTCTCCCCCCCGCCCCCGGGCCTGAGAACCAAAGCTCACATGTCACTTGGCAGCCAGTCTGTGCGGGGAGACCAGACTGTCCGGTGGCCCAGGTGATGCTACCACATCCTTTTCTTTCAGGGGATGACGTGCGTCAGTATCTACGTCAGTACCTGATGGGCCCTCGGGGCCTTCCAGGGCCACCAGGGAGCCAGTGGAGATTGGTCTCTCCAGTCTTTGGACTATGCAGAGCTGAGCAGCCGCATTCTCAGCTACATATCGAGTAAGTATCTGTCCTTTGCAGGCCACGGTGGTTAGTTCAGGCTGACCTTCCTTGAAATGTCCCATGACCCTCTCCTGCACAGACCCAGAGGGAGTGAGTGGCATTCAGAGCTATTCAAACCCGAGGCCGCAGAACAGGTCAAAGAGCCTGATGAGGGAAGCCAAAATGAGTGTTGGGCACTGTCCTGCGTGGAATTTGCACACGACTCCCACACTTCTCTATAGACCAGCCGTGGGCAAACTACGGCCCGCGGGCACACTTCTCTATAGACCAGCCGTGGGCAAACTACGGCCCGCGGGCCAGATCCGGCCCGTTTGAAATGAATAAAACTAAAAAAAGAAAAGACCGTACCCTTTTATGTAATGATGTTTACTTTGAGTTTATATTAGTTCACACAAACACTCCATCCATGCTTTTGTTCCGGCCCTCCGGTCCAGTTTAAGAACCCATTGTGGCCCTGGAGTCAAAAAGTTTGCCCACCCCTGGTATAGACACACAGTTCTCTATATACACACTTCTCCACACACACACACTTCTCGATACACATTCTCTATACAAACACACCTCACATGTACATTTACAGACACACATCTATACATATAATCACACACACTCCTGCATACATACACATACACCTCCATACACACATCTCTCTCTACACACACTGGTAGGATGGATATGAGCCCTTTGTAACCTATGCTCTTCCCAGGACTGGGGCCCCTCCTTGGCATCATTATCCTGGGTTGTATCTCTGTGTTCCTCTTTCTGCCTGTCCCTTCCTACTGCCTCTTCCCTGTCTTGCCCCCACTTCTGGTTACATTGCTTGTCTGGCTTCCTCTCACAGGTGTTTCTATCTGCCTTCCCTATCTGATGTGAATCCATCACAACTTGGGATTTTGTTCCTCAGGTTCTGGAATTAGCATTGGACTTCCTGGCCCCCCGGGGCCCCCTGGCTTGCCGGGAACATCCTATGAGGAGCTCCTCTCCTTGTTGCAAGGTAAGGCTGAGCAGGGGACATCTGTCCAAGTGGTTTGGGATGGAAGGCAGAGCTGCCTGGCCCCGGCCATGACCAACTCCTTGCTTTTCTTTGGCATCTCAGGATCTGAATTCAGAGGCATTGTTGGGCCACCAGGTCCCCCTGGGCCACCAGGGATCCCAGGCAACGCGTGGTCCAGCATCAGCATGGAGGACCTCTCATCTTACTTGCACAGTAAGGCGTGGGGAGCAGGGGTGAGGAGGGCAGAGGGCTACATTGTTTTTATAAGGGCAGCTGTGGAGTTAAATCCACCTACAGTTACCAAGTCCTCCTGCAGCATGTACAGGGCTGGGCCCTGGGGGCCTACAGAGGGACGTATGAGCTTTGAGGTGCTCAGTCTGTCAGCGGGCAAATTGGGGAGGGACATTGCTCCCAGGCGCAGCACTGCCCTCAGGGCAGCTCACGAGCCAGTGTGTCATCCATGATCAGGAGCCAGGCAGAGTTCAACCCTCAGGGGCAGGAGGGCTGAGGGGTGGGTTGAATGCAACTTAGGATTGGGAGAGGGAGGGCCAGTCAAGGGAGGTCATTCCCTGGTGGTGCCCTGGGTGTGAGTTGTTCTCTCCTCGCCCTCTCCTTCCCAAGAGGGGCCCCTGAGCTGGGAATTCAGCATTCTCACAGAGCAACGCCTGACCTTTTTTTTTCTCTTGCCTCCTGCTCAGCTGCTGGTTTGTCCTCCATCCCAGGCCCGCCAGGCCCTCCGGGTCCCCCAGGCCCTCGAGGGCCTCCGGGTGTCTCAGGAGCACTGGCAACCTACGCAACTGAAAACAGCGACAGCTTCCGGAGTGAACTGATTAGCTACCTGACAAGTAAGTGCCCCTAATGCTGCTGTCCTCTATGCCCCCTTCCCAGACCTTGCTTCTCCCTGTCAGCGGAGCAGAAGGCGAAGGACCCTGGGAGGCCAAATACATGACAGACACTAGTCAGAGAAAGCCCAGTGCCTTGAAGTTCATATCCTGCTCAGGAGTGTTGAGACTCTGAGAGATCCCCCTTAACTCCCGCTCTTTCTCTCCACCCAGACCTGAGCTCCCACTCATGCAGCTTCCTCCCCACAGGTCCTGATGTGCGCAGCTTCATCGTGGGTCCCCCAGGCCCTCCTGGGCCCCAGGGACCACCTGGAGACGGCCGCTTGGGGTCCATGGAGAGCTCCTACAGTCAGGGCGGCATCTCATCGGCCAGCAGGAGCACCTCCTACAGCTCTTCCATGGGCGTAGGAGGAACCAGTGGAGGCTCTCTGGGTGAAGGGGGAGCCTTTGGCTCGGAAGGGGGCGTGTATGGCAGTGACAGCGGACTGTTCGGGGCTGGCTTTGCTGGAGGTCTGGATTACAACGAGCTGGCTGTCCGGGTGTCCGAGAGCTTGCAGCGTAAGTTGGGGCACTTAGGCCTCTGTGCTGTGGAGGGAGCGGGAGCATGTGAGCCGTTCCCCATCTAGGCTGCAGAAACTCACCCTCTCATTTTGGAGCACCCAGGTTGTGAGGCCAGCAATTCTGGAGTCAGAAGGACAGGGACTGAAGACAGGAAGCCCCAACCTAATTCTCAGTCAGCTTAGTTCAAGGGGCCCCAGACAAGACCAGAACCTCTGCTGCAGGGAAGGGAGAATATTGGGGTCTTTGTGCTTCGCTTTCCCACTAACTTGTGTGGGTCTCAGAAGTCTTTACGACTATGATGGTTTCTGCTGGGGCTGAGGGGAGGTTGTTGGCTAAAAGGCTTCTGATGAAAAGCCACAGCACAGAGAAGACAAGGAAGCCGCAGCGCTTTCCCTCCTGTCACTTAACCTCCTCTAATTGCGTTGGGAGCTAGACAGTCAGAGATGCTGTGCTCCCATGGTGAAGAGTGTGCCCACACTTTCATGCTTTACAGGTCAGGGCCTGCTGCGAGGGCTGGCCCACACTGTTCAAGGCCCACCTGGCCGGCCTGGGCCCCAGGGCCCCCCGGGCATCAGCAAGGTCTTCTCTGCCTACAGCAATGTGACTGAGGACCTCATGGACTTCTTCCGAAGTAAGGGCCTCCCCGATTGTTTTCCCAACACACACCTTGCTGCACAGTCTCACATGGAGCCTGCTCCACAGAAACCAGTCTCCTGGAAAACCCCATTATTAACACTGAGATGCTAAAAATCTGACAAATTCTAAACTTTGTTTTCCTCTTACAAGCTCAAACTCTGCCACTACCTATGGGTGAACAAATTCCTTTATCTCCCCAACTTCATGGTGACTGCTAGTCTAAGGCCTGTTTTTCTCCTTGCAGCTCATGGAGCCATTCCAGGACCCCCTGGGCAAAAGGGAGAGGTGGGCATCTCAGGACCCAGAGGTAAGTGGTGGCAGGAAATGGCCACCAGGATCCTGTGTAACAACCTCATGCTGTAAAGCAGCTCCCTTGCCAACGCGATGCTGGGCTCTGCCGCTCCTCCAGGCCCCACACTACTGCTTTACTTAGCATCTCTCTTTCCTCCTAGGTGAGAGGGGCCCTGCTGGGCCACCTGGCCGGCCTGGGCCACCTGGCCCTCGAGGGCCCAAGGGAGAAAAAGGAGACAAAGGTAAGCCTCCACTGCCACAGAGATTTGTTCCACAGCATGCCTGGAAAATTAAGGCAAATGTGAATTACTAAAGGCAGACCCTACCAACAATGTAATCTGCACAACAATCAAACAGCCAGCAGGGGAGAAAAAGAGAGAGCCAATGCAGGGAGGAAAAGGAGAACCAATCTGGTAATGAAAGAGGGTAAACAATCTAAATAAATTGATAGTCTTACGAAAGAGTTTATCTTTCAAGCCAGTTTTGCAAGTAGTCACAGTTGCCATAATTGCCCAAGTTAAAGCCCCCACAGGCCACAAGATATTTTTTAACTTCCTACTCATCTTCTAACTTTCATCTTCTAACTTTCAGGTGACCAAGTCTATGTTGGGCGGAGAAGGAGAAGCATCGCCACCAAGCCATGAACTACCTTTGGTGGAACAGCCCCCAGACCAGTTCTTGCAATGGCTTATGGTGCTTAGATCAAAATCTCTCCAAAGGATGAAAGCTGGAGTCTCAATGCCTACTGATACAGCACAGCCAAACAGTCAACTACACACTTTTTTTAGTCTGAAACAATATATACATATATAAATAATTCAAAGACACACCATCTGCAACAGCTTCGTTGGGTAGACTTGAGTAGCTGCAGTGCTGTGGCAGCAGACACACTTCTCTGCTATCTAGATGTGAGCTCCTTGGCCTCATTAACACTAGTTCGAGCCCTAACCTAGGAAGCCAGTTTCATACAAGTTGGCTCAGGAGTCCTTGAGCTCTGCCTGTAAATGAGCCCAGAAAATGGAAGATGGGGATGGTAGGGGGCACCTTCCTGTGGGCCACACTTAATGGGGGTGCATTCTAATTAATGCTATAAAGCTGTGCTGTCAGATCCTTCCTCCCCTGTTCACTCCGCATTCTCTAGTCACAGAAAACAGTTGGCTAAGGAGCCACTCTTGCAACTGAAAAAGTTAAGAAATTCACTTCTCCTGAAGGTGGCTATGGGGTTTCTAATAGTTATTTCTCGCTACATATAGTCCCACTTGCTTAGGAAGTTTGATGGTAGCTATAATCTATGTCCATAGGTCCGTGCTAGAGTTTATAGATTCGTTGTACTGAACTGGGCTGCAGCAAATAGAAAAAGAAGGGCAAGGGGCAAGAAGAGAAAGAGGGAGGGAAAATAGACTATCTACTGCTAGGGCAGGATGTCACCTGTTCTGCACTTAGCAAATGGCATTGGGTACTGGGTGCAGTTGGTTTTAAGCACTTTTCAATGTCTAAAAATGTTAATGTGGTCTATTAGATGAAAAGTCATTTCAAAAGTAAAATTTCCAATTAAAGGATTTTTTTCCTTTTTTAATAGTGTAATGTGATCCATCTAACCAAAGTTAAGAAAAAAAAATATTTTGGGTTTGGGTTTGACTCTGTTACAAACGCAATATTCTGGGACACAGTTTCTGGTATTTAATCATTGAGATAATTAAAGGCAGACCTTCATCTGGAATTAATAACTCAATTTGGGCAATTAGAAAGCATTTGAAGAGTTTCTCTATGCATAAATTACTTGAAATAAACACATGCAACAGATGAGCAACAAGATTACTTTCAGCTAATGTAGTGATTTATCCTGGGGCAAAGGAATTATAATGGCAGAGCAAGTAATATGGAATATCAAAACACCTATTAAGGAAAAATAAACATCAAATGCCCCACAGAAATGCACAATAAACTCAGACATGCAAATTCAGAAGAGGCTACCATTGGCCCACTTTTGAATTTGTTGCAAACTGTGATGCTCAATTACTGGATAATTTAAAGTGGGGTTAAATGAAATCTACTTCTACACCTCTATTCTTCTAAAAGACTGAACCATTTATTTTTTATGTGGCCTCTACTGAGTATCTCCCATATTATCCTGGGGGAAAACATGACACTTAATTCCACTATATCAAACAACTGCTAGCAGCAACCACTAGTCAAGCACCAAACATTCTATATGGTCTTGTTTGCCTCCTTTTTCATAACCTGATAGTTACTAGATGTGAATCAATATAGGAATTCTAAAAAAATGAGTTCATAAGGCCTTCAGAATTTCCAACTTTTTACTTCCTAATGAAAACTTATTGTGTATAATAAATGACTACATTGTACCTTTTTAATATTTTAGTTTTACCTAAAAAGTCTTACCTAAAGTCTGAGTCCATTTAGTTTTGTAATAGCAGTTTTAAGGGTATTATATCCCCTTTAATGATTCTTATCTTGATTACTCAGACATATGAGTTTTTCCCCTACTTAATAGATTTACCTTTCTAAGATATCCAAGGTCTTCACAGAATCCTAAGACCATGTGAATTAGGTGAAAGTCCAAACGTGCTTACCTTCTCCGGACAGGACCCAGAAAAAAGCAGGCAGATATGTCCTCAGCTGGATGGCAACGACTCTGAGCCTTTTTGTTTCTATTTAAAAACACACACAAAAGTTAAGAATGAGCTCAATAGTGTACGATACTCCTGGATTAGAAAATGACATGCTTTGCCTCCCTCCAGCCACGCTGAACACTTACCAAATGATGCTGCCTAGTGTCTACTGAATCTTGCATGAACATATCAATGACAAAAAGAGGTTATTTTTAGCAAAAGTGAGGTCATATGGCTTGTGAAATATTTGGTGAGAAAAAGAATCCATCCCAAGGGGGAAAAGGGAAATAAAAAATATGTATATATACATATGTTGATGGAAATATTGTAAGCACCTCTAATAAGTCTGAAAGGCCAGAAGACCTAGAGGACTGCAAGTGTTAAAAAACGTAGGCCCAAAAGAAGCTGCATACTGTTCTCACATATGACAATCCTGTTTCAACGGTTCTCAATAAAAGACTGCTTTCTCAACATAGATTAAGAAACAACTTTATTTTTCATTTGTCAATCCCATGATTGAAAAGACACATTGCTCCCAAGTAGACAAGAGGCATAATCTGGAACAAAATTTTGAAAATTTAGTTTGTGAAGTTATTACACTGCAAATCAAAGAAGGATCACAAAAAGCTGCAGCCAACATTTAAAACTGGTATAACATTCTACCCGAAGCTTAGTAGCAGAAAGTGTAAAGCTATATCAAAACCATGTCAGCCACAGAAAAGCAACAACAGAGGCATTAACTGTTGTGCCTTAAACTTAAGCATTTAAAATATCCCATTTCCCAGAAAAGAACATTTCCCAGAAAAGAATTGATTTATTTAATCAGAAGACTATTAGCACTAGAACTAATTCTCCCTTTCACCTCAGTTCTAGGTTTCCTTTAATACTATCTCTAGCTAATCATTTGACAGAATTTGGCTTCTCAGAAGAGACTGTCATTTAAGCACAGTGTGGAATGGGAAAAGTGTGTAGTTACAAGGGAACTTAGAAGAGTACAAAAGACAGTTACTTCTGAAATTCGCTGATGCTTGAGAAATCAGAGACCCTCCATTAAAGTGGGTCTCATATGCCTGAGAGCTTTGTGCTTGAGGAAACACTACTTAGAGGTAGCTCTGGTTCTGGTTTATATTTAACTACAATTTGCTGTATCCTGTTAGAGGAAAGTTCTAATATTTTCAGCAAAGTATAAGCACTCAATTTCCTCCTGACCCACCCTATAGCTTCCCCATAGAAAAGGGTAAGAAAAAGCTTAATTGTGACTCCACATAATATAGCAGCTAATTCAGCAATTCACTCAACTATGGATTGACAGGACTAGGAAAGGCAACCTGGTGCAACGAGCTCTAAAAGCTAGACCTGCAGAAGTGTGACGGTCTGGTGTGTCTACAGCACACAGGGAGAAGAGGGGAGGGTGAGCAATTAGGGTACATATATGAACAATTTCTTTTATGCATTTCACAGCACATTCTGCCACAGCAACAACAACCAAATCAGGAATGGATTTGACTGTACTCTTTGATTTCAAAGAAGTCTGTGCCCCTCCCCCACTGCCCAGCTACACTACATGCAAGAAAGAAAGATCACTATTATTTATTTGAATACAGGGCCTAAGAAGAAATGGGCACGGATGGGTACAAACAGCATATTCTGTAACAAAACACTTTTTGAAAAGATTTATGTAACTTTAAGTATTAAAATGAATGTTTCACCTCTATATATGTATCACTCTGTAGTCCTGCAGACACATGAATATGGTCATATTTGAAAGAAGACTCAAGCATAAATACTGAATCCAAAGGGCAGTTTTAAGGGAGATACCAACAGTTGCAAATAAACTTACCAGAGTGTCAACCGTTCTACTCTGAACCTCTTTCCTTTACTCAATACTCTGAATGTCAAGTTGAAAGGAATAAAAAGAATCAAATATTCAGACCAAAATGAATTATGTGCCACAAACTATTTAGCATACAGAATATAATTTAAATGATACTAAAAAAATGTCCACTGAAAATTTCAAAGGAGAGCATTCCTCCTCTTTCCCTCTTAAAATAAATCATTAAATACACTGAGTAACTTTATACTGTCATTTTTATCATAATATAAACAATTTCCATCATCCTGAATATTACTTTATAAAGATATATATTTTAAAAGGCTTTCAAAACATTTTTCAACCCAGCATTTGAGAATAAAGCATTAAAGGAGTTTTGTATACAGTAACACATTCATGTGATAAGTGTATGAATTTACAACCATACATAATATATATATGTGTATATATATATATATTTTTTTTTATATATATATAAAAACAAACTTGGCCAGAAGTTAAGGCTACCTACAAAGTTGTCAAAGTAAATTATGCTTGTCAAAATAATTACAAAATGAAAATCATACATGCATTTAAATCATCTAAACCACTAACAAAATAAGGTTCAGCATTCAAAGTTTTCAAATTAACTGCAAGAAAGTGCTACAGATATTTACATTTCCTTAATAAGTGTTCCCACAGTTACATTTAAATTTTCATCAGCATCAAATGTAATGTAACAAAAACTGAAACTTGTACAATTTGGTACCTGGTACTCTTAAAAGAGAAAAGGTTGCAAATGGCAGGCAGCATCACTTACTGTCTCACACAGCACAGTACAGTTCATAATACTGTTTGACCTGACACATGCTTGAAATTTTAAGCCTCAAGAGGGACTAGGAGTGATCATTTCATTAATAATTACACATATCAGCAACCACATGGATAAAGGTTTCAGGCTTTCCCACTCAAATAATTTAAGCATGGAACAAAATAAAACCAAAATATAAATGACTATTTCAAAACAACTAAGTCATTTCCAACATTTGCCTAAATATTTTACTTAATTTTTAAAAAAAGTATTCTGAATAAATGCCTCTTTTAAAATCAATTTTAGAAAATACATTTATAAATATAACTCAGCCAGAAGGCCTCTGACAGTTTTCAATGAACAGAATTTGTTGAGATGGGAAAAGTCATTTAACTAGCTCATGTATTATTTTAAAAAATAAGCTGGGAAAGCTAAATCTTTTTTTTTTTTTAATTTGGTGAATACATTTCCAATTTGGACATCTAAAAATTCTCTTTTTTTTCATGTTTTCAACCATGTACACCACGTTTAGGATGAAAATTTTTATCAAATGGTAAAAGTACCAAGATTTTAAAAATTATAATGCTTAATGCTAAGGATGTTTTGTCCCTGTTGAATTAAAAAAGAAAATCCCATTTTGGACTCAACTGAAATTTAGTGTTTTAAGCACTATCTTAATAAAACTAGCACCCTTGAATACTAGCTCAGGCCTAAACAGGTAATTATATTAGATTACTGAAATATTTTTTCTCTTTTAAAAGAGTTTGTTGATATTTTAAAGATAAAATTGATTTAATGAATCAGTATTATATTTTGAGCAATTCCTAGGTTTTTCATGAGAGCTGATTCACCAAAAGAAAATTATTCCAACTCTCTACAGCAGAGTTCCAACTACAGAATTCAGGCATCATTGAGAAAAAGATATTTACTAATACTCAGTGAAATAACAGGTTTTTTAAAATAACTTTAAACATTATATTTCTAAGAGTTTTTTTAGGTACCAGCATCTAAAGAACACAATCTTTAAGATTAATATACAAAATCACCTTAGGGAATTACTGCAAAATGCTTCTATGCCAACATGGCCCAGCATCTGTCTTAGTTCCTTTCCCTTCATCTTTGCTAAATAAACAAAACAAACAAAAAAACTCCTAGAAGGTGAGGCAGGTGATTGTCTTCATGCACTCTCTAATGTAGACTGTGGCAGAAGATGAAGAGAACAAAATGACATATTTCAAAAGCCAAACTAGACCACAGAATACTTCCCATTGTTACGATCCAGTGGAATGCAAGCTAGGGATAGGATAGAATTTGGAAATTCGGCTCTGTGTTGATGGGTTAAGGCATTCAGACTCCCCAGTCATTTTAAAGAACACTTCCTGTTCCTGCAGTTTCCTGGCAAATTCTTCTTCCAGTGTCTTAAAAAGGAAGGGAAAAGGAAATTAGGTACTGGTATTTCAAACAGAATTTACTCTGGTGGCCAAGATAAAACTATTTGCCCCAAACCCATTCTCTGTATATTATTCTACGGAAGACCAGACTGCTCAATAGTTAGGGTCAAAGGCTGTGCACAGCCCTAGGTTCAATTCAAGTCTTGGCTCAGCCATACTAATGGCTAACTTGGGTCAATTACTTAACTTCTCTATCTTACAGAATCATTTCATTCTTCTGCTATAAATAGGGAAAACACCACCCACCTCACTGGGTTGCTGTGTGAGGATTAAATGTGATGATGATGTACTTAACACATACTTGGTACTCAATAGATGGCACCTACTATTATCTGTCACTCCCATGTGACTTACCATTTTCTATTTTTTATTTTGATTATTTATGTGCATGTTTCTTCTACCACACTGGACTATAAACTGTTTAAAGTTAAAACCTAAATCAGATTCAACATTATATCTCCATAATACAGAGCAAATATAAGTGCTTGATAAATATCTGAGGTATCAATGACTTTGCAGAAAAGTGATTCAGGGATAAAGTGCTGCTACAGAGGTACAAAGTATAGAAGAAGATGGAAGGATACAAGGTTTCTCAGAAGAAATGAAACATAAATTTAGTCTTGAAGTCAAGATAAGAAATTAATAGACGGGATGGGGAAGGCATGCCAGACAAAGAGAGCTGAAACAATGCAGAGGCAGGAAACTGCAAAACTGGTTTGAGTAATGGTGATTATACCCTATTAGAGGCCCAGTGCACAAATTTGTGCACCAGTGGGGTCCCTTGGCCTGGCCTGCGGGATCAGGCCAAAACCAGCTCTCCAACCGCAATCCCCCAAGGGGTACCGGGTTGTGAGAGGGCACAGGCCAGGCCGAGGGACCCCACCAGTGCACGATCAGGGCCAGGGAAGGACGCAGGAGGTTGGCCAGACAGGGAGGGACCGCAGGAGGGCTCCAGGACATGTCCGGCCTATCTCGCTCAGTCCCGATCAGCCCAGCAGCAAGCTAACCTACCGGTCAGAGCATCTGCCCCCTGGTGGTCAGTGCACATCATAGTGACTGGCTGACCAGTGGACTATCTGCCCCCTGGTGGTCAGTGCACGTCATAATGAGCTGTTGAGTGGCCTTAGCATATCATTAGCATATTACGCTTTGATTGGTTGAACGGATGACCAGACGACTGGACACTTAGCATATTAGGCTTTTATTATATAGGAAGGAGGATACTGAAACGTAACCTGGGATCAAAGTGGTTAGAGGAAGATGAAGCTAGAAAGGTTGACTGTGGCCAATGTGTGGCACTATGAAGGCTTAAAAGTCAGACTGAGCCCTGGCCAGTTTTCTCAGTGGTTAGAGCATCTGTCTGTGGACCAAAGGGTCACAGGTTTGATCCCTGACCCCAGGTTTGGGAACGTGAGGAAGGCAACCAATTGATGGGTCTCTCTCACGCTGATGTTTCTCTCTCACATTGATTTTTCTCTCTCTCTCTCTTCTCCCCTTTACCCTCCCTTTCACTGAAAAATCAATGGAAGAAATCCTCAGGTGAGGATTTTTTTTAAAAAAGTTAGATTGAGGTATTTACATTTTTTTCTGAAAGAACTAAAGATTTATCAGTACCACTATGACAGTATCAGAAATGTTCTTGAGGGTAAATATTCTGGTGATGGTAGGCAAGTAGGAAAAAAGAAAAGAAGCTAGAGACCGGAAGGCCATTAGGACATTATTGAACAATGTTAAGCAAGTAGTAAGATGATAATATGAAAAAGAGAAATATTATGATTGAATGAAAATGAAAAATAATTCAGGTTTCTAGCCTAGATGTCAAGAGAACAGGAATGTGGGAAGAACATCTGTTGGTGAAGGGACTACGGAGAGAGGGAAAAGGTGAGACATAGATGAAGAAAAAAGGATGTTAAGTTTAGTTTTATCTCCCCTGAGTTTAGAATCTTTAGTCAACATTCAACAGGTGTATAATGACCATTATAATGTGCAGGAACTATTCTAAAAGTTAGGGATGTACCGGTGACCAAGTGATAATGTCCCTGCTTTCAAGGAGCCTATATTCTTGTGAGAGAAGACAAACAATAAACAAATGTATCTGGTGGTGATGAATGCTATGAGGAAAAACAAAGAAAGGTGAGGGGATAGAGAGTGTTTGAGGTGGGCATGGAGTCTATTTTATATATAGCGATCCAAAAAAAGAACCTTTGATGAAATGATATTGGAACAGAGGCCTGAATGAAATGAGGAATGGAACATCCAGGTGGAAAATGGGAGCTCTGAGAATGAACCAATAATAATAAAACAATAAACAATCTACACTAATAAAAGACAAAGATGCTAATTGACTGTACCTTCGCTATGACCAAGCCACGCCCACCAGCCAATCAGAGCAAATATATGCAAATTAACCCAACCAAGATGGCGGCCAGCAGCCACAGAGCTGGAACAAGTAGGAGGCTTGGTTGCCCCAGCGATGGAGGAAGCCAAGCTTCCTGCCTGCGGCTGTGGCCTCCGCAAAAGGCAACAAAGTTTCAATTATAGAAGCTAAATAAATCCCAAATACCTGCTTACAGCCAGCCTCCACTGGGAGCTTGGGTGGCTGGGGGCCGTGGCCAGCCTGCAAACAGCCATCAGCCCCTCACCCAGGATGGCCACACCCTCATGGGGTGAGGGTCCCACTGGGGGCCTTGGCCAGCCTGCAAACAGCCATCAGCCCCTCACCCAGACTGGCCAGGGACCCCAGCAGGACCCCCCACCCTGAAGGGGGTGTGGCCAGCCTGAAAACAGCCCTCTGTCCCTCACCCAGGCTGGCCAGGCACCCCCAGTGGGGACCCCCACCCTGAAGGAGCTGTGGCCAGCCTGCAAACAGCCATCAGCCCCTCACCCAGGCTGACCAGGCACCCCAGCGAGGACCCCCACCCTGAAGGGGGTGTGGCCAGTCTGAAAACGGCCCTCAGCCCCTCACCCAGGCTAGCCAGGCACCCCAGCGGGATCCCCACCCTGATCTGGGACACCCTTCAGGGCAAACCAGCTGGCCCCCACCCATGCACCAGGCCTCTATCCTGTATAATAAAAGGGTAACATGAAAATTGACCCTAACAGCAGAGGGACTTGGAATCACTGTTCACTATGATACACACTGACCACCAGGGGGCAGACGCTCAATGCAGGAGCTGCCCCCTGGTCGTCAGTGCACTCCCACAGGGGGAGCTCTGCTCAGCCACAAGCCAGGCTGACGGCTGCCAGTACAGCGGTGGTGGTGGGAGCCTCTCCTGCCTCCTCAGCAGCACTAAGGATGTCCAACTGCAGCTAGGCCTGCTCCCACTGGCAAGTGGACATCCCCCGAGGGCTCCCGGGCTGCCAGAGGGATGTCTGATTGCCAGCTTAGGCCCAATCCCCCGGGGGAGCGGGCCTAAGCCAGCAGGTGGTCATCCCCCGAGGGGTCCCAGACTGCGAGAGGGCACAGGCCTGGCTGAGGGACCCCCTCCATGTGCACAAATTTTTGTGCACCGGGCCTCTAGTAATAGCAATAATAACCATTCATTGAACCCTGACCACGCTCAAGTACTGGGACTACTGCTGTGCATGCAGCACTCCCTTTAACTGTCTTAACCCCACTAAGATAAATTTTACAAATAAGGAGAACTAGACTTAGAAATGTTAAATAACAAAATTAATCAGTGTCAACAATGATATTGTAATCCAGATCTGTATGACTTTAGAATTTGTGCTCTATACAATCCCTACTATACAAGTTTTGGTATTGTCCTTAAATATGCAACAGTTGAAGCCATGACTAGCTACGAGGACAGAACTAAGGATGTAAAACTGGGAAATGTTTACACTTCAGGTGCCTGGATGACAAAGAAAAGGTGATAAAGAGCACAAAGAAGAGAATATACCACGAAAGTGAGGCAAGAAGAGAATTTTAAGAAACAAGATTTATAATCAGAACAATTAGATAATGTCATAGGACCTGGTTATTACCAACTCACTTGTGACCAGTTAAAGTTCAATTTGGGAGTTTGAAGTGAAAGCTAGACTGCAAAGAGTTAAAAGAAACTAGAGAAGAGAATTCTCACTGTTTACCCTTCCATGCCTTTTGAATTCTGAACCATATGACTGTATAACCTATTCAAGAATTTAAAAATAAAATTTAAGTTAAAAAGCCACACTATCAACTGACTTGGTCATTTCACTTCCTCTAGAAATGTTAACACATAAAAGGTGCTAAATTCATATTACTGTAATTCATTGATTGGATGAATAGAAGAAAGGAATGGTTGAAATGTACAGCAGGCAAGAAGCCCAAGAGAAAATAAAGCTTTAAGTTTGAGAGTTAACAAAGGGAGAGGATCATATAGTGATAACAAGAACTGAATGGTTGACCAACTGGACCAGGCTATCAGACAGCCAAGTGCAAATAAGGAAAATGGGTAGCTGGTTAGATAAAGGCAGGGAAGCCATTCCTATGTTATTAGATTGTCAATTTACATAACACCCCATGGCCTTGCAATCTGGCTCCCTGTCAACCTGTCTAAACCAAGCTGTCATTACTTCCTTCTCCCCTTCTCTAATGCCTAAACATATGAACACACTCCCCCTATGGGGAGCTACTTATAATTTCTGTACACATTACCTTCAGTCATTTTCTTCTCTGTGCCTAAATTGCCTCGTCCCACCCCAATCTGTCTGTTCACCCAATAAGCTCTTACTCATCCTTCAAGCCCCTCTTGGCTTACAAGGCATCTCCTCTCAGAAGCTTCCCTGAGTCCCCCACGAAGACCTAAGCACTCCTCCTCCTTGGCTTGCACACTGTGCACCTCTCCCCTGTATTTTGAACTTAGCTCCTTCAGTACAGCAATGATCCTACTGATCTGTAATTGCTTGTCACCAGATTCTGAACCTTTGGGGGACAGAGATTTTGTCTCCTCTCCCCTGTATCTCCTGCATCTGACACTCCTTAGGTAAAGAGCCAATAGCTGGGAGGATGAGTGGATGGATGGATGGATGGACGGACGGACAGACGGATGCAAACATTTTAATTAAAGCTTTTAAAATTACCTTTTTCCTAGGTCTCAATTTCTCTCTCCATTCCTTTAATTCCTGGCTGTGCTCCTCATCTAACTCCTTTAGTTTCTGAGTCTCATGCTCAACCAATAGATGGCATTTTTCATTCTGGAAATAAAGTTTGGGTTAAAAAACTTCAGATCAACAAAGTAACTTTTCACAAATACATTATCTTCCAAAATAATAAATTATTCATCAAACACTAGGCTACTACTGAGGTTCAAATTCTCCTCTAAAAACCAAGAGCCAAGAATTAGGAAATGAGTCATAGCTTCATCTTTGCAAGTTTAGAAGCTAGGTCTATTACCATATGAAAAGAACTTAACTAGGTAGCATTAGTTTGATCCTGCTTTTCCTTTCTAAGGTTTACTCATAAAACTGACACTTCAGAAGGCAGCTTGTATGCATTTTACCCGTTGTTACCAAAATATAGGATTCAGAAATCTTCCATTCTGGTAAATTAAGCAAATATGTAGAGTATCCAAAATGCATACACTACTCTGAAATTCTAAACATTTTAGGCTATCTACTAGATTGGGTTGCGTATTCCAGGTAAGGTTCAAAAACAGTCCTCTCTAAAGTAATCTTTAAATTTCTTAGGGAAAAATTCTCATATATTTAGTTTATCACCTTTTTCATGAACCTAGAAGAAAATAAGCTATTTCTCCCTAAATCAAATTTCAAATTCAGAATCTGATAATGAAACTGCTTAGATCATTTTGAAAACTTTGTTCATCTTCTTTGCAAAACATACTAAAAATACTCAATACTACTTTTGAAAGACTCAACTTCTTAGGTTATAATTTAGCTTCATGCTATATTATAGTTACATATAATACAAACAAGTGCCTATGATACTAAAGTGATCTTACTTTCGGTCTGTAATAGGAAACAGATTCCAGCATTTTCATGAGTAAAGTGAAGCTTACTTTGGTTAGCTATTATTTTCCCAAACCCGGTGCTGCTCATCTATTACCAGCTTTGTCTTAGAGCTTCCATATCTAACCTGCAGCTGATGCAGCTCTCGGACATTGGCTTCACACTGCAACTGAAGATCCCGCATTTGATTTTCATGTTTTTGATGCTGAGCCATCCTCTCATTTTTCTGCCTCTTTTCTTCTTGAGCAGCAAACTGTAAATAAGAAAAATAAAAGCAAATATGGTTAACAAGCAATGTAATTTCTGTATCTTCCAAAGGTATAATTAAGAAATTTACTAAAGCTTAAAGTACAATAAATTAAAGATGCATGTAATAATATATTGTGACTCAAGCTGGAGTCTATTTTATGGGGAGGGGAGGACTTCTAATTACAACCTTGTTCCTCCCATCAGCTTAGTGACTGACCTCAGTTAATTTGTGTGTGGGACTTCTGAAATATAGTGAAGTCTTATGTTTTTACTTTAAAAGCTGTCCAAGTCATCTCATTCCCAAGGCTAATTTTAGGACCAATATAATCCAGGACTTGGTGTGGGGCATAGGAGGGAAGGCTCTGCCCTCTGTGGGCATCACCCTAGGAAGACTAAGTTGGTACATGCCATATATCTAGCCCCAACCCACAGAGCCAAAGTGAACATCAATAAGTGCAATAAATGTTTACAACACAATCATGTGACCCTTCTAAAAGTCATTCAAATATTCTTAACCTAAAAAAGAAGACAGTAATTTGCTTATTTACCTGTTTAATTTTTTCCCGGTCCTGATCTGGTGTGGCCGTTGAATTAATTCTCAAACTTTTCTTAAACATGGCCATTCGAGTCTTGGCTTCACTACGTTGAATCTTAGGCAGTCTTGCTCTTTCTTGAGTCTGTCTGTTTTTCAATTCCTCAATAAGTCGTTGATTGTAACGCTGCATTTGTTCTGTTTCCTAAGAAAGTTTTAAACAGAATCCAGTTGATGTAGATATAATTTAACACTCAGTACCCACGCATATGTTCAAACATGCCATTTTGTTGTTGTTGTTTCCCAAAATTACTCTCTCTCTTATTGCATAAAAATCAGCAAAATATTAGCCAAAAAATAACTTCTAGGAAAAATGAAGCTATTAGTAATAAGAGTCTTATGTTGAAGCTCTCTTTTACTAAGTATAGGGAGTCCACATTTTTAAGATACATGAACCACAAATAGAGCCACAATAGCTACTTTTGAGAGACCAAGATGAAGATTATCAAGGCCATTAGGCATTATAATTAGTTACCTTCCATGGAATTTGTAGAAAAGAAGTTTGCAATCATGATCGACATACAATTAATTACTCCAAACTTCATCAAAGACATTTTAGGATAAAATAAAGAAATATGAAACGAATTCTCTAAGACGTATAAGTTTCAAAAATGAAATCCTCATTCTGCAAACTTTAAAATGAACAAAAAAGTAAATAAATTTTCCTTTCATTAACCTTCTCATGGCGCTTCAGTAACTGATGTCTTTGCATGAAATACTGATCTTTAAGTTGCTGTTTGAGCAGCTGGTGTTTTTCTTGTAAGTGTCGTTCTTCAAGCTCCCAAATTGCAGCTTCTCGAGCTAGGAGAAGAAAGCAATTTTCAAAAATGTCATTTTGATCTTTTTACTAATGTACTTTGGATTTCATTTTTTTACCTAAATTTACATAAAAGTTATCTATATACACTTCTGAGCTATAAATAAAATATTACCAATGTAAAGATAACATCTATTACTACTTTCAGTTCTGTTCTAATGTCCTATAACAGAGAATGCCACACCCCCAATACCAAAATTCTATTTAATCTTCATGAGAAATTAAAAAAAAAAATCTAAGCTATTACTTAGGGGAAATAAGTGGTTAAAATCCCATTCTATCATGTAGCCATTAAGTATACCAACAATTATAAGACATAATGAGAGTATGTAAAATTATTCAGGTACATTTCTAGCATCATCTGGACAAAAAGATGTTTTAAGGAATATATTTATTTTCACTTGTACTGTCATAAAGGAATTCTATAACTCACAGTATTTTATAATTTTTTTCCTCTTATTTACCTCAACTTTATCTTTCCCTATACCACTCTAGCAAAGGAAAGCATTCAAATAATTTTCAAGGTATAGCTCCGCAATGTTTTTGAGATATCATTCTATATGTACACATATGCTGCATAATTGCATATACCTCTCATGAGTTGCTGCTTGTTATTCAGGCACTCTCTCTCAATATTGGCTAACTCTGCCTTCTGCTGCTGGATGATCTTCTTCAGAGAGCCATCTAATTCTTGTTGTTGCTTCTGAACAAACTCTTGTTCCTATTAGACATAGTTAACCATCAGTTAAGAAGTATTTACTGAGCAAAACATCCATTTATCTGTATGACTGTATATATTAGTGGTTATCAAGATTTCTAAACTAAGTTTCTAAAGTTAGTGAAATTTTTAAAATACCAAGATTATATAGTGTATAAATAAATGTATTAGTCACCCAATTCAAGCCTAGGAAAAAAGTACTAGAATACATAATATTCTAAACTCATCATTAAGACTAACACATACAAAAGAAGTCTATTATCCACTCATAATTAAAATGCCCTGTTACACTGACATCTTTGGGAAAATAATAAATTTACATCTTCTAAAACTGACTATCCATTCCAGTATGGTGTGGATAAAACAAGAACAAACAAGAAATGCCTTTTGGAAAGAAAGGCCATGAACAGCAGATAAATAAAACAGATGTCAGAATTTTAAACACGATTTTTCTGACAAAGAGTTAGGAAGAAATACCATGCCTATACTAATAGAGAAAGATAGTTTCTGTGTCAACAGCCTGTGCTTAAAAAGAACAATAGTTTGAGGACTTAATAAGAAATAGTGCATTGCTAGAGAAATGTGAACTAGGAATAGGAAAGTGAGCTACATTTATAAATCTATAAACAAAATTCCTTATAATCAGAGAACTCTTCTAACATGTTTGGGATTCACTCACCCATCCAACAAATATTTACTGAGTACATACTGTATGTAAATACCAAATTTATGCTTTAAAAATACCCTTTGGTTACTGTGTAAGAAAGGATAAAGTGACTTATGATCTTTATGCTAGAACATACATTTACAGAAGAAAAGGAACAATATCCAAATTGAAGGAATGTAAATTTTGCCCAGGAAATGTTTGGATTTCTACCCCTCTCTTGGCAGTTAGAGCAGTTTGTGATTAGCTCAAGGGATATTCTGATCAATATGAGTGTAGATTTAAAAATTTAGTGTTGAAGCACCATTTCACCTATAATTCCTCCTCCTGCATATCCTAGAGAAGATAAAACCCTAACATCCTTTTGGAACTAATTTTTGGGCCTCAAACAGAGTCTCATAGATCTAAATCACAACCAGCCTGGCCTTCAATGCACAAAGAACAAGTCTAGCAGTGCTCCTCAAGTCCTTGCCTTACTACTGTCCCTGGAGGTGAGGATCAGGTCTTACCATTCATGACATCAAGTAATTCGGAGTCACAAAAGCTACTGTCTCATCTGCATCATAATTTGTATTTTAGCAAAAATACAAATATACAGTAGCAAAAAGGCTAATGAATTGCCTCTATAAATAAAATTGTCAACTTGACTACAGATACCTATATAACTTTATCACAGCAAAAAATAAATAAAACTAAATATTTAAATTCAACTATATAGAATAAGGTCTTTTGAGTTTTATTTAAAGAGATGCAAAATTTCTATGCCTATCTTTTAAGCAGTTACAACAAAGAAAGTTGTTCAAGCTTCTCTTTGTCCTACAGTAAATATCACTTGTAATAAAAATTAAATTGTTTCTCTAATTTCATTATAAAATTTCTATATGCAAACTTATTAAACCTGCATTAGCTGGCAGACATATCAAAGGGTTTTCTTTTGTTCAACATTATTTGTCATTGGTTTGCATAAAAAACTTTAAAAAAATGTGTGTGATCCTGGCCAGGTAGCTCAGTTGGTTGGAGCAACATCCCATACCAGGAGGCAACCGATCAATGTTTCAATCTCTCTCTCTCTCTCTCTCTCTCTCTCTCTCTCTCTCTCTCTCTCTCTTCCTCTCTAAAAATCAACAAAAAGACATATCCTCAGGTGAGGACAAAAAAAATATTTATGTGTGATGGGTCCAAATTAACTAGCATAAATATAAATATTACACTTAGGCTCAAAAATATCAAGTGCAAAAATACAAGATGGGGCAAATACATATTTATTTATACGCATTTATATTGAAAATTAAAAAGGTATATACAAATCAGTGCCACTCAAATGCAATTTCTTGTCAATGCCAATTTTGGTCACATTACTGTTATATATTTATGTCTAGATAAACAATATATGAATTCTATTAAAAGAAAACCTTTAAGTAAGCAGTGGGCCCCTTCTCTTAGTATTACACTTTCAAAAGTTCAATAGTAGCCTTAGCCAGTTTGGCTCAGTGGATAGAGTGTTGGCCCTCAAACTGAAGGGTCTCGGGTTCAATTCCAGTCAAGGGCATGTACCTGGGTTGCAGACTCGATCCCTGGCCCCAATCAGGAAACATGCAGGGGGCAACCAATTGATGTGTCTCTCTCACATCAATATTTCTCTCTGTGTGTCTCTCCCCCTCCCTTTCACGCTAAAAATCAATGGAAAAATATCCTCAGGTGAGGATTAACAACAACAAAAAGCAGGCAGAACTAGCATTGCTCTGCTCCAGAAGGTAAAATACAGGATCAACAGGAAAGAGTCATGGTAGGCAATATATGGCAGTGCTTCCTAACAACTAGTTAGCAAAAACACCAGCTGCCTTACAGAGCTATGAAACTGAATAATTAAGCAGAGTCTGAATGATTACACAGTCAAGAATAATGCTCGGATAATTGTTTATATTAAAGCTAAAAATTACCTGAAAGGTCTTTTACATACTAATTAATATATTTTATTACCTCAAAAGAAATGAAATTTTAATATTATTGAGCTTTCATTAAATTTCCTTACTCCACAAGCCAAGTACAATATGTTCACAATGGAATTTTTTAGTTAGAAATTACTCTTAGGCTCTAAATGAAAACTGATGTTATATTCCAAAAAGACTGTACAAATTACATTCATCCAATAAAAAAATTAAGAGATCAATCTGATCACTGGAAGTAAATACTTTTTAAAAGGACACATAAATTATAAAATGAGTGCCCATTAAATGTACAAGTTTGAATTTTGATAAGTAGTTTTAATTTTATCGTATTAATCAGATATCTATGAACATGAAAAATACAACTTTGTGTTTTAGAAAACTGTAAGAAAGGGTTATAATATATTGGGCTATTTGTACAGAATTTGATCATTTTAACTCAAAAGAAAAGCTAAAAATGGTAATGATCAGAAAAGTGATCGTAATTCATAATTTCTCCCTCTCGTTAAAAAAATTGTTTTGTTTACTCTTTTAGAAAACTATAGAGTCCAACAGCTACCAATAAAAAAAAATTAATCTAATTTCAGGAGAGGGGAAAGAGGGGGTTGAAATCAAGCTGTATTCTATCTACTCCAGTTGTATATATCAAATGTAACAAACAAAAATTAGAGTGTTAAATGAGCTAGTCACTCCCTATAGAAACTGTGAGAAAGAATACAGCCTAGAATTCCAGACTTAATTTAAAACTACAAGAAGAATAGCAATTCACTATTCATTATGGAAAATTGAATAGTGAAAACTAGAGTTAAATGGAACTACAATCACCACTTTTATTATGTCTTTTCTGACCATATCCATAATTAAAACAGCTACATAAACATATATGCAATCAAAATGTCACTTCACACAAAGATAAAAATCTAACCACAGCATTCAATTTCTCACATGTGCAAAGTTCATAAAATACTATTGGGAAGATATTTCTTAAAAATATGAAAATCTCAAATTAAAAATTGTGGTGGGGTAGATAGAAAAAGAACACTGTATTAGAAGTGTTCTAGTTCTAATCTCTTAGTGACTTTAGGCAGATCATTTAGACTTCTGAACCTTGATTTCTTCATCTGTAAAATGAATACACTCCATCCCTCCATTAGGGTGGTGGCAGTGAGAATAAAATGTGAAAACTCTGAAGAATACTGTACTAAAAAGGTCATGTCAAGTTATTAGTTATTGTCATTACTGACATTATCATCTATCAATCTTCTATGGTTTTAACAAATAAAGCTAACAATGAAAAGGCACATGTGAGCCAAAGAAAAAGCAGGTAAAACAGGATAAGGCATCCTCCTACAGGCACGCGGGACTTACGTCCTGCATTTGGGCGTTGAAGACTGCACAAGATGACAACTGAAAAGACTGAATCATGGCCTGAGCAAGACCCTGTGGATCAGAATACAATGCACCTCCCAGGTGAGAATATAGCTGAATGACTTTTTATAAATGGAAAAAAATAATTATACAAATGTTGAGTTTCTTGAGGCATGGAACAGAGGGGCCTCTTTCTCCTCTGTAAAATGAAGGATTTGAACTAGATCAATGGTTTCCAAACTCTTGCTGGCATTTTTTTTAAATCAGTCAAGCCCTCTTTTAAAAAATTCACCAAAAATACATAACATTTATAAAACAGATAAAAAGTGGTGCTGCATGAGTTGAAGTGGAAGCAGGGGCCGAGAGCCCCAAAGTCCTCACTTTTTGAAGGATTCTCAAGGTACTTCTTCTAAACTCAAGAGCTACTGGAGGCTCAATTTGAAAACCACTGGACCAGATGATCAAATACATTCTAGCTCCATGAATATATGGCTATTATTTATAAACACTCAAAAAGTTTAAAATAGACTCTGTAATCAAGTTTTAGCACCTTCATTAAAAGCAGTAGCTAAAGAGAAATACTTTTGAAATTTGTTTTACTAAATTCTTCATTAAATTTACAAAAATAATTATTACTTTCAGCTTTCATTGGAAAATATAGTCTAACACACAAAATTATATGAATAATCACCAACAAAGTTTTATTAAAGTATAGGATGATCTAATTCATTCAACACTAAATTCTCAATTTCAACTCTATAGTCTGATATATTATCCTTTGGAATTTAAAAAGTTTACATTCCTTTACAAGGCAAAAACTATATTATTATTATTATCTGATATAAAATCCAAATTACTCAAAAACATACGTACAACCAGCAAGGACTTCCCTTTCACCTAATAACAAGAAATGGCCAACAACCACTAAGCTAAGCTGCTAAGAGTTTATATTTGGCACAAAAAGGGTAGCTTAAATATGAGAGGCAGTATGTTATGGTGGTTCAATGTGGAACTAAACTTGGCTAGACAAGTATTCTGGTTCTACCATTAACCAGATGTGTGATCTTAGAAAAGTCACTCAACCTTCCTGTGCTTTTAGTTTCCTCACTGTAGGATGGAGGTAATAGGAGAAACTACTTCATATATTGTGAGGTGAAATGAGTTTATACAGGTAAAGCATTTAGAACAGTGCTTGATACATAGTAAATGCTATGTTTGCTATTTAGTGATCTCCATACCAGTCAAAAGAAAACTTTTCACTATTAAAATTTTTAATTCTGAGATATTTATTCTTTTTTATGGTATTAAAATAGTCTCTCCTTTGAAATGATGGTGACAGTTTTAAAATATCCTTACTTGGCAAAAATAAAATTTTAATGGCAATCCATTTGTCATGGTCCCTAATGTTTTTTGGTTATATTTTGTGTTCCTTTTCATGGGTCTATAAAGTTTAAAAGTCTGGGAACCACTTTTGAAATTACATAAGACCACATTTAAAAGATAATATAAAGCAACAGTTAATATATAATCCATATCTCTTCTTCCTTTCATTGACATATGTAACTATAAATTGAACTCACTTTTCTTTGCCTCCAAGCTGAGTGCAAACTTAATTTAAAAAAAGATGATTCCTTGTAGAGTCACATGAAATTCTATATAAGAATATATTGAAAATACTAATTTATCTAATTTAATAAAGAATTCACTCATCTTATTTGGCTCAGCCTTATAACCTAGAATCAAATTTATATGGGTAAAAATAGTCTATTTTTTTAACTGCTAGATTCTGAGTCAAAAAGAAAAACAACAGACTTATATTTAAAATTGGGCTCAGCCGGTGTGGCTCAGTAGTTGAACATAGACCTATGAACCAGGAGGTCACGGTTCGATTCCTGGTTAGGGCACATGCCCGGGTTGCGGGCTCGATCCCCAGCATGGAGCATATTAGCAACTTAAATGTCACCATTAGTGTGCCTTTAGTACTACATAAAGAATGCCCTGGGAACCTTTGTATGACATACAAAGTCAATAACATAACAATTACACTTAGAAATTACCCTTTCAACCATGGTTTACTGAGCTGTTAGAATAATGCCGCTTTCTGTTTTTAGTAGCATTAAGCTGCTGCTGTTACCTGAGCATGCTGGGTTTGTGCAAGCTCCTCTTTCCTGCGTTTCATGAGCTCTTTTCTCAGCTCTTTGGGTGCACTCTCCACTTCATTTATAACCTACAGTGTATAAGCATGCAGGAGGTGGGGAAATACTTTCTCCACAGCAAGCATTTATGTGAGCAAACTACAAGTCAAATATTAAAGCTGTTAGAAAGTTGAACATGCATTAGCATAGGTGTTAGTTTGGTGAAAAAGAATGAAAGGACAGAACATGCTTAATCTCAGTGCAGAAAAGGGACATTATGCCATGTAGAAGTTAATTAGTTGCTTAATTATCCCTATATATCATTCCCTCTAAAGACCCAAAGACAATCAATAAAGGATTACTTACAGTACTGATGCTAAACTATGATAATTAACTCAACTGACCTTCTTGAAAGATCATAAAATTATAAACATATCTATTGACACTGTTTGAAATATTGGGCATAAGGAAAGCTAATGCCCCTTATAAAAGTGAAACATTTCATAATTAGCTTGATAATTTTAAATAAAATCCACTAAATGAGATCAAAAGAACAACAGGGTAAGTAAGCCTTAGAACACACAAAGGAGCCGAAACCGGTTTGGCTCAGTGGATAGAGCGTCGGCCTGTGGACTGAAGGGTCCCAGGTTCGATTCCGGTCAAGGGCATGTACCTGGGTTGCGGGCACATCCCCAGTGGGAGGTGTGCAGGAGGCAGCTGATCGATGTTTCTCTCCCATCGATGTTTCTGACTATCTATCTCTCTCCCTTCCTCTCTGTAAAAAATCAATAAAATATATTTAAAAAAAAAAAAAAAAAAAAAGAACACACAAAGGAGAAATAAATGGATACTACACTTTCTTTTTTTATAAAACACACCATTTTATACACGGTGTGATAAAAATAAATATATCTGACACTTTTGAGTTGGATTAAAATAACATTCTCCTTTGCTGACAATTTAAGCCAAACTTAATTGTCAAGTTTAAAATCAGTAATATAAGCACTCATAAAATAAGTTTAATTTGCTATGATTATACCCAATAAAACATATCATAAAATGAAGTATAATTTAGAGTTCTTTTAAATCATTTCAAAATTCTAGATATGTATTCCACCTAAAAACAGACCTGTAATCCAACTATGAAAAATGATCATGTATTTACACAAGTAGAAGCACCAAAAGCAACCAGATTCCAAATCACCACATGCTGTTGATGGTTTGTGAAAGAGACTGATTTTGATTTAACAGGGTATTTAAAATTTCCCATCAGTAATTCCTCATGAAACCAAATCACCATTAAAGGAAGAGACTCCCCAAATGCAAGAAGTTTAGTGATAAGGAAAAAAATACATAATTATTTAAAATATGCATTATCATGATCTCAAACATATTCACTGGCTAAAATTCCCTTACCCAAAACAGTAACAATAACTAGAGACTCTTATGTATTTAGGATTAAATCACATTATTTACCTGTAAAATTTTATTTATTTAATTTGCTATTAAAAATAAACTCTCACCTAGCTGGTATGGCTCAGAGGTTGAGCATCTACCTATGAACCAGGAGGTCACGGTTTGATTCCTGGTCAGGATACATGCCCAGGTTGTGGGCTTGATACCCAGTAGGCAAGAGGCAGCTGATCAATGATTCTCTCTCATCATTGATGTTTCTATCTCCCTTTCCCTCTCCCTTCCTCTCTGAAATGAAAATATATATATATTTTAAATAACCTCTCAATGAAAACTACCCATGGTTTCAAGAGAATTAACATGTAGCCTCAGTAAAAGTCATACACCATGATATACAAAGCCATTTTATGTAAAATATGTGACAAAACAGTAATTTTTAGAAATGATAGCCACATCAAATAAAATTATATACCATTTCATTCATCTTTACCTAAAGAAATCATTGAACACACTATATTTATTAATGTTTGATTCTATCCTTTTTAAAGTAGATCCTCAAGTTCAGCAATATGATGTCCAATTTTCTGCATAATTTAAATATTAAAGTCAATGGAGCTGGGTATTTGAAACATACAAAAGTGAAAATGCATTCACTAGTTTGGTTGAGATGTTTTGGTTCCATTCTAATAGTATTGTTCCTGGGTCTTTTATAATCATGAAAAGGTACTTCTCCTCCTACACTAAAGGTACAGAATAAATCATAAAATTATCTCTTAAAGCTGCTAATATATAAAGCTCTCTTAGTTTGGGGAGAAAAAGACATACTAATCCAATATATAAGTCTTCTTTCTCAATCAATGACAATCTTACATACCACAAACAAGATTCTACCGCAATATGGAATAGTTTCAGGAAAAATGAAAAAATTCATCCTATTCAAATGACTTTACAGATGTTTTCTACCTTTGATTCTTCAAAGTATCTCACAATTTGATGAATTTGAATTTCAGATTATTTAGCTTTTGTTTTGGTACAATGTCAAAGAGAGGCAATTAACTTAATAAAAAGAATATTTTAAGTATGAATTAAATATATTATTGCCTCCTACAAACACAACACTAAGTTTTCTTGAAAAAAAACTTCTGTAATAGGCCTTAAATGTTGTATTAATAAAAGAGAAATGATAATTTGGAAGAAAAATGAAGACTTGGTTCAACGTGTAGCTGGATACTTACTGGCAGATTGTGAACTTGAATAGGCCATTAAAACCTCTTCTACTCCAGCCTCCTGAGCAGTAAAATGGGTTAACACCTGACCTTACTACTAACCTACATGACTGTTGGGAAGATAACAACCAAAAAAGAGTCCTATTTAACTAGTAAAAGTAGCTTTAATAATTAAAAACAGCAGTTACACTTACCTCCTTTTTTCGGTTCTTCAATATATTCTGAAATTTGGACAATTCTCTCTCTTGTTCTCCTTTAATGCGTTTGGCTTCATCTCGCAAGCGATTTGTGTGTTCTTGTTCTAGACGTTCAATAGTCTGTTTCTGCTGTTTTTCTAGATTCTCAATTTCTTGGTCATATTGTCGCTTTTTGCTCTGTAAAACAATGTAGCTCAAGATCATTTTATTTTTCTATCACTCATATTAACTATTATAATGAAGATGTTTACTAAGAGGACATAACTAGCATTTTAATTTAGATGTGAATATAACCTTTGTAGTACTGAACAAGTCAAATGAACTAAAATATATAATTTTTCAAAAAGTCATGCATTTCTTTTCTTCTAACATGGAAAATAAATACAGTTGACCCCTAAGTAGGTTTGAATTGTACAGGTCCACTTATATACAGATTCTTTTTTTCAATAAATATACAGTTGGCCCTCTGTATCCCTGGGTTTCACATCTGCACATTCAACCAATCACAAATTGAAAACAGTATTTTCGACCCATGGTTGGGAATCCGTGGATGCAGAGGGCCTATTGTATGCATTGTTCTATATCTTCATTTTTTGGGGGGGGGGGGGGGGGGGGGGGGTGCGGTCCTGAAACCAATCCTCCGCAGATACCCAGGGACAACTGTAGTTAGGTCCGACTGCCAGTTTAGGCCCCATCCCGGCAGTCGGACATCCCTCTTGCAATCTGGGACCACTGGCTCCTAACCGCTCACCTGCCTGCCTGCCTGCCTGATCACCCTTAACTGCCTCTGCTTGCCGGCCTGATCGCCCCCTAAATGCTCCCCTGCCAGCCTGATCACCCCTAACCACCTCTCCCTCGGCCCCACCACTGTGGCTTTGTCCAGAAGATGTCCGGTCGACCCAGTCTAATTAGCATAATACCCTTTTATTAGTATAACTAGAGGCTCGGTGCACAAAATTTGTGCACTTGGGGGGGGGTCCCTCAGCCTGGCCTGTGCCCTCTCGCAGTCTGGGACCCCTCGGGGGATGACCACCTGCTGGCTTAGGCCTGCTCCCCGGGGGATTGGGCCTAAGCTGGCAATCAGACATCCCTCTGGCAGCCCGGGAGCCCTCAGGGGATGTCCACTTGCCAGTGGGAGCAGGCCTAATCTGCAGTCTGACATCCTTAGTGCTGCTGAGGAGGCGGGAGAGGCTCCCACCACCACCGCTGTACTGGCAGCCGTCAGCCTGGCTTGTGGCTGAGCAGAGCTCCCCCTGTGGGAGCGCACTGACGACCAGGGGGCAGCTCCTGCATTGAGTGTCTGCCCCCTGGTGGTCAGTGTGTGTCATAGTGACCAGTGATTCCCAGTCTTTCTGCTGTTAGGGTCAGTTTACATATTACCCTTTTATTATATAGGATAGAGGCCTGGTGCATGGGTGGGGGCCGGCTGGTTTGCCCTTCAGGGTGGGGGTCCCCACTGGGGTGCCACTGGGGTGCCTGGCCAGCCTGGGTGAGGGGCTGATGGCTGTTTGCAGGCTGGTCAAGCCCCCCCAGTGGGGACCTCCACCCCATGGAGGTTTGGCCAGCCTGGGTGAGGGGCAGAGGGCTGTTTTCAGGCTGGCCACAGCCCCTTCAGGGTGAGGGGTCCTGCTGGGGTGCCTGGCCAGCCTGGGTGAGGGGCTGATGGCTGTTTGCAGGCTAGTCAAGCCCCCCTGGCGATGGAAGCTCCCAGCTTCTCCTTTTTTTCTTTTTTTTTCTGGGATTTATTTACCTTCTATAATTGAAACTTTGTAGCCTGGAGTGGAGCTCAGAGCTGGCCAGGGCTTGGCTTCCTCCATCGCCAGGGGCAACCCAAGGCTCCAGCTCCGTGGCCATGGCCGGCTGAAAGCAGGTATCTGGGGTTTATTTATCTTCTATAATTGAAACTTTGTTGCTTTGAGTGGAGCTCAGAGCCAGCCGCGGCCAGAAAGCTTGGCTTCCTCCATCATTGGGGCAACCAAGCCTCCTGTTTGCTCCAGCTCCGTGGCTGCCGGCCACCATCTTGGTTGGGTTAATTTGCATAGAGTTACTCTGATTGGCTGGTGGGCATGGCTTAAGGCATAGTGAAGGTATGGTCAATTTGCATGTTTGTCTTTTATTAGTGTAGATGTTTGATAAATCAAAGGTCTTATCTGAAATCTATTTTAATTATGTACCATTGTCATTTTCAAATTTACCCTCCTTCATTAATTTCTTAAAATAATCATCTTATATCATTGAAACAAATCTTTTGAAATTATAAATCTATGCTTTCAACAAAAGATTGTTGCTTATATAAAACTTGAGTAACATTGCAACTTTGGATAAGAGAGAGTTAAATATTTGTAAAGGGTGTTTTCTTTAACATATTAAAAAGCAAAACATTCTGAAAAATATCTGGGGGGAAAAAGAAACACAGCTTTTATAAGGTTCTGGAAAATAGAATATAAGTACTATAAAAATAGTAAGAAAAAAAGTTCATTATTTTCTTAGGAATTCTCAGTTATGATCCAACAAATGTAATCAATAATACTGCACTTCACACAAAACAATTCTTAGCACTTACAAAAACAGCAAAAGAACTATGTTTAAAGCATAAACACTGTAACATTTCAAATTATCCTTTTTCTAACCTACATTAAGCTAGATGTTCAACATAAGCTATCAAAATGTTTTACCGCATTACTAATTCCTTTTTTAACTTTGGGCACAAGGTAAAAACCAAGACTCAGTTACAATTACCCTTGACTAATCAGCACTAATTTATCTAGCAGCTGTGAATTGCCAGAGAAGTAAGTTTGTTTTGAAAAAGCCCCCAAGAAGTTCTAATACTCAGCAAGGTTTAAAGATAACTGTTCTAGACTGGCTTAAAATCTTGGATTCCAAATCTGAGGTCAAACTGTAACAATGAAAAATGATCCAGCAATAGGCACACCAAAGAACTTTGTAAACCATCTTCATGATTCCAGGTTTTCATGACGGATTTTAATCAAGGAAAAAATGAGGACACCGATTACACTCTAAGTCAGTGATAGGAAGACTAGAATGGACCCTTTTGGGCAAAAACACATCATAAAGCCAGAAAAATCTAGTCATCAGAGAACAAGATCTAAAACCACTAGTGGGTTTTTTCTTAAAGCATCAAATTTCATAATTAACAAAATGGTACAAGTATTTAAGATTTTACCATCATTTCTTGCTCAAAGCGCCGGAAGATTTGCTCTCGCTGTTGCTGCAGTTTGCTATTGAGCTGTTGTTGGGCTCTTTGCTCTTCTTTTTGAAGAAATCTTAATTCCCGAAGTTCCTGGCGTCTGAATAAAATGTCATAGTGATGACAGAGAAAGAAAACAAAAGTTACACCTTTGAAATAATGCTTTTAGAAAAAAAAAACTTTAAAAGTAAATTTTTTCAAACATAAAATAAAAGAATGGTCCAAAATTAGCCAAGTCTTTATTCCCTTCTCTAGTCTTCAGACTTTGCAGAGACTAAAAAGAAGTCACAAAACCAGTTTTAATTATGTTGTTCTCTACTCACCTAAGAAACCTCAATTCTTCAGTTTTGGAATCACTATCTGTAACTATCTTTGATGTTGTTACACTCACTTCTACACCATCAACAATAAATTTGCGTGTTTTCTTCAATGTTTTCTTTTGTCTTCTTGTTTCCTGAGTGAGATTTTATTTTAGTTAGGCTTTATATGAGCAATACGAGATAGAAAGCATTTTTCTTCTTTAAAAAAAAAAATTGAACAGCCATTAAGACTACACATATAAAGAATATAAAGCAGTAAGACTCACATGTAGAACCAGTTATATCATCTTATACCTCATCTGACTTTCACATGACTTTACAGATGAAATCTAAATTTTTTCAAGTGAAAGTATGACCTTTCATGATGTGCATGTATAATTTTTATGATACCACATCATAATCAGATAAGGATTCTTACAGTGGTAAGGATCAATTTATATAAATGACTAATTAGTGTAACTTTTACATGTTAACCATTATTTTGTCTTCCTCTTTTCACCTTGTAGGTTCTCAGATACCTCTGCTTTCAGTTCTAGAACCACTGACAAAACAAAATTGAATTCCTGGGGCTCAGTCCTTAAAGACTCTAAATCAATAGGGTTAAGGATAGCTGGGAATTTGTATTTTGAAAAGGCTCCCAGGTAATTTTTAAACACTGCCAGGACTAGGAATCAAAAGCTATTTCATCAGCAACAATATCAACAGCTCTGCTCTCCATTTCAGGGCTGGAAATGAATGTGTGATTTTAGAGTTACTAGCAAGATAGCACCCTCTACTGCACCTCAAAAGAACCATATTTGCCCACTAGCTATTGCCTACTATTCCTTTTTTTTTTTTCAAACTAAAAGAGAAAGTTTATTTAGAAAGTTACAAAGGTAGTAGAAGTGAGCCAGTGGGCTGCTAAGCTCAGGAAACAAGTTACAGAGGCAGAGGGCCCTTGGAGCTTAGGAGAGGGAAAGAGAAAGGTAACATGCCTGGAGGGAAACCCGAGAGGGAGAGCTGCCTACCACTCTTTATTAAGACCAAACTCTTGATTCCTCAACTGATATCCAAATGTTTTTTAAATGTAAACAAATAATAGAAGTATAACACTCCTACAAATACATAAACATGGTAAAAATATAAATATTGAGAGCAGATAATTACTAGGTTTTGATATGGGGGAAAGCTTAGAAAGCAGAGGGAGCAAAAGTAGAATGTGAAAATACTAAACTCAAAATGCATTAGAATTTTAAACTGTCTTTGTCACTTTCCAGTCACCTTTTTGCAATCTCTTTATTGTTCTATTCTCCAGGCTTCCAGTTTCCTCTCCTCCCCCTAAGCACCCTAATCAGGCTTCCTCTAAAATCTAAAGTGGGCTTGCCCCCAAAACAGATCTACATCCCCATAACCTCCAAACTTTCCATTTCTTCAGTTCCTACTAAAATATCCATAATTAACATGACCTTAATTCTCAAAGTATTTGCATTTTTAAAAAATTAGTATATTTTTATAGTGTAACTTAAAAAGTTACCATACATAGTTACATTACTCAGTAAGTCAGTGAATAGAATTTCAGTCAGTGAAACAAAATAAACTGAAGACAATCTAGACAAGGCGTAATAATCTGGGGCAGATAGGCAGGCTGATTAGTCATGCCCTAGTCTTGTCCCTAAGGTCGGTTTTTCTAAGTTGTTTCTGCTTTTCACAGTCTTGTCTTCTGCTACCTGTCAACCCAAACTTTGTCCACAGTTCACCTGCATCAAAATTCCATGGGGTCTTTTGTTACAAATACTGATTCTTGGGCCCCACTCCATACTCCTGCATAGCTCCCCCCTGCTAAGTCTTAAGCACACTAATATTTAGGAGCTGCAAGTGTTCTGGGTTTTAGTTTTGTTTGTTTTCCCACAGTGGTTCTCATGGCAGTAGTGATGGCTATGACTGAGGAAGAAGCAACAGTGGTCCTCTGTGTGAGCCAGTGGTAAATCAAGGACTGTTTACACCCTAAACGTGCTTTAAAAAAGGTCATTCTTTCTCAATTCTCTCATATACTATTGATTCTTGCTAAAATAGTATCTACCTATGTACAATAAGAGAACCCAAATCACACTAAGCAATAATATATACTGCTTATATCAAGTTGGCAAAAATAAGTAGGTACTACCGAAAAACTTAAAGGTCACATCCACAACTTCTCTCCTTGGTTCTGTTAATTGATTGCCTTTGTAGGCCTTAAGAATTTTATAGAAGTAATAAATACTACACTGATTTAGTGCTGCCTTATTTTCAAGACATTAGTTTCACATAAACTCTAAAACTGCCAAAATGACAAAGAAAAACCCAAACAAGGACCCATGTACACTTACTTGTAAAGATATTGATCCACTGTCTTTAGTTTTGCTTAGGAAGCTAGAGATGGACAAATTCAAGTCAATGCTGCTATTATCAGCAGTAGAACCAGTGCCTGAATCAGTATCATTTTCCTTTTGAATCTCAGATTCTGGTAGCAACGTGGTTTCAATTTTTGATAAAGCACCTATTTCCCCTTTATTTTCTGCACCATCAGAGTTGATATTAATACTAGGTATTGGAACAGGCTGTGAAGTGGCAGTAACGTCAGGTTCTGTTTTAATTGGCACTTCACATGGAATCTCTTTTTGCTCTGATTCTGTCAGAGTAGTGGCTTCATGAGCATCCTGTGTTTCACTTCCTGAAGCCTTTTCTTCAGTATGAATCACTGCACTTCTGACTTCTATTTCTTCAGTGCTACTTGACTCAGTAATTTCAACTTCATTTGTCCTGGGTTCCTCAGTGGTCTCCACTATGTTCTCGGAACTGCTGATTAACTGTTTCTCGCCTTTGCCTTCTATAGATTTTTGATCTATCTCATTAGTTTCAACTATTTCTCTAAGAGAAACTTCCTCAGTACCACCAACCTCAGGACCCTCAATGGGTTTACTTGCTAATTCCTGACCTGCTTCAACCATTTCTTTCCCATCATTACTCTGAGCGTCCTTAGCTTTGTTTTCAACTGCCTTCTGAGCAACATCTATGGCCTCACTTGTTCCTATTGCATTACTTGTATCACTGATCACATCTTTTTTCATTTTCTCATCTTTTCCCAAATTCTCTTGGGTGTCTTCTTTTGTAAGCTCAACTTCATTGTCAACTGTTTGAATATCTGCCTCTTTTTCTCCAGTCTCTTGAGAAACTAAATCCATTGTTTGAATAGTAATATCTTTAATTTCTTCTTCAGATTTTATAACCTTATTTTCAAATATCTGTTGCTTTTCCTGATCCCTTTCTTCCTCAGGTTTCAGACTCTGTTCAATATTTGTTTCTACAGTTATCATATTACTCTCTTTTCCTTCGTTGATTGACTTCATGTCTACTCTTTCTTGGTCTTCTGTGTCAGGCAGATTTTCAAGCTTGGGTCTCTTCTCCTCTTTCCCATTTTCCTTGATTATTATTGTTCTAGTATGGAGTTCATCCATAGCTCCTAAATGTTCATCAATACCCTCCACAGCTTTTCCAGGCTCTTCAGTAGTGGGTTTTTCATTAAGAACTCTGCTGTTAAATTTATCTTCAGGAGTATTACGTTCTGTTTTTTCTGAGACAGATTCCAAAATACAAGCATTTTGTGAAAGTTTATCTTCTTCAGAGCTGGCAATGCTGAGGTCAGAGGAGGCACGCTTACTTGCAGGTATTGGCTGAAAAAGATTTTATATATTTTTAGTGTTAAAACAAGATGGTGACCAAAACAACATTTTACTTTTTTTATGTATTTATATTTTAAAGTTATTTACTTCATATATGATTTAGTATATTTATCCAGTAAAACTGATGAAGTTATAAAAGTAGTTTAAAGAACTGACAAATCTTCACATAATACATATGACAAAGATGGATAGCAAGAGTAAACTTGCTATTAATCTTCACCTCTAAAATTAAAGGTTTGTACTGCTACTCATCAATTAATCCTTAAATACAGGTATAATCATACCTCAAAACCCAACTCTAAAAATTACCTAAATAAAATTTCCTTTCTATTATACTGACCAGAGAATTTTCTGTTTCTTCATCCTCCTCCTCCTCTTTACCATCTTCAACTTCTTCTGTTACTTCAGCCTTTGCCTCTGCAATCAATTCTCGGACTGGTTTGTTGGAATCCACAGTAACAAAAGGATGCTGTTAAATCATTAAAAAGAGCATGCTCAATAACATCTGAAATGCTTGCTCATAAAGTAAGTTTCAAAACATAAAACACATTATTATATGGTAAAAATATGAACACATAGGTAGGAAAAATACAAACACTATCAAGCAATATTACATTTAGGAAAGAAGAAGGTAAAGGGGATTGAACAGGGGCCCGCAACCCCTACTTGTACCTTTTTAAAGAATCTGAAGGAAATATGTCAAAAATAATGACATTATATCTGTAAGTACAGGTACTTTTGTGTATGTTTGAAAATCTTGTAATATAAAAATTAAATTAAAATTTAAAGTACATTCAAGTTAATTGTGCAATACCAGTTCTTAAAAAGTAGCAATACATATAAATCCAGTTTAAAGCCTCAGTAAAATAACAAAAATTTTAAAGTTAAAAGTGTCTACAAACACCTGCTTTTTTGACATGGTTCTAATATTCTTTTTTATTTATTTAAATTCTTTATTGTTTAAAGTATTACAAAAGTCCTCTTTTTCCCCCATTGACCTCTCCCCAGCCGCTCCCACTCCCCAGCACATGCCCTCACCCCAATACTGTCTGTGTCCATTGGTTATGCTCATGGTTCTAATATTCTTAAGAGTAAGAAGACACTTTATTATCTCTGTGTACTTGGCACTTAACAGTGTCTGTCACAGACTAAGGCTTTCAAATGTGGAGGTAGTAAAATAATAAAAGTAAGTGTGTCCCAGGGAATTCTTTTGCTTCCCCCCTCCCACCACATAAATACTTATAACTAACTTTTCCTATAACTCAACCTAACAGTACGTGCCTCAATATTTGCCATTCTTTTTGTTCACCTGTAATATTAATTATTTCACTAAGTTTTATTTCAATATTATAAACAGGTCCTGCTATAAATCAAAATTATCCAATCACTTTAACACTATTTTAACAACATTTACCCTCAAGAGAGATGAGAAACAAAATGGAAGCAACTAACAAAGCGGAAATAACTAACAAAATGAAAGAACACAAACTCAATCAAAAAAGCACAGAAGGAATGACTTATAAGTTAAATACCTTTTAGCAATGGCAGCACCTATATATTGGTAAAATAAATGTTAACTACTATAATGTATTTTGAGTTTCCACAAGGAAACTCAAGTGGAAAAAGAGCACAATGAATGAATCTTATCTTACCTGTAGTAGCTGAGATGTTGTCCACCTGGAATCCACATTTTTTTCCAAGCATTTCTTTAGAAAGTCCTTAAAATTCGAAGACCTTCAAAATAAAATTTTAACGACATTCTATTTTACTTTCGTGTTATTAAAATCAAACAAAACTCTAATAAATTAAGTTTCATTATGTATGCAATAGTATTCAACATAAAAAACTAGTTAATGAGAATATTAAGATTTTATTAGTTATCTATAATAAAAGCGTAATATGCTAATTAGACCAGACAGCCGAACGACCTTCTGGACGTCATTCCAGATGAAGCCGCATCAGCAGGGGACGAGGCAGAGGCAGTTAGGGACAATCAGGCCAGCAGGCAAGTGGTTAGGGGCTCTCAGGCAGGCAGGCAGAGTGGTTAGGGGCGATCAGGTAGGCAGGCAGGCGAGCGGTTAGGAGCCAGCAGTCCCGGATTGTCCGACTGCCAGTTTAGGCCCACAGAATCGGACATCCCCCAAGGGGTCCCAGAATGGAGAGGGTGCAGGCCAGGCTGAGGGAAACCACCCACCCTCACCCCGTGCATGATTTTCGTGCACTGGGCCTCTAGTTTATTTTTAAATACAATTTAGACATGTAAGTAAGTAGGTTCAAAGTTTTAACCAATGAGATATAACCATATATTCACAAGTATGCCAAGTCACAAAAATTCTTCTATATTAAATTCCACAAATATAGATCAAACAGATATATGCTTCACTTTCGCATAGTACAGAAAATACCATTTTCATGTAGAACTCAAGTCACTGGTATCTTCCAATTTATAGGAAAAGCCCTGGCCAGTGTGGTTCAACTGGTTGAAGAGTAGTCCTGGCAACTGAAGGTCATAGGTTTGATTCCTAACTTAGGTCATGGCACATACCTAAGTTGTGGGTTTGATCCACTGTCAATGTGTCTCTCTCACATCAATGTTTCTTTCTTTCTCTCTCCCTCTCTCTCATCTTCCTTCCCTCTCTAAAATTGATTTTTTTTTAAGTTATGGGACCCTAGCCAGTGGATAGAGCCAAAGGGTCCCAAGTTCGATTCCAGTCAAGGGCTCATACCTCAGCTGCAGGCACTCGCCCCACCTGGCCCACCTGGCCCATTCAGGGCATGTGCAATAGATGTGTTTCTCTGACAATGACATTTCTCTCTGTCTTTCCCTCTCTCTTTCACTCTCTCTAATAAATCAATGGAAAAATATCCTCAGGTGAGGATTAAAAAAAAAAGTTAAGGGAAAAGTCAGTTATAAGAGTTTAAATGGTCCTTAAGTCTTGAAACTATACCAAAAATCAGTTTTCTACTTCATATAGTCTTTGTACCATAAATTTAAATATTCTTAGAAAGTTGGAAGAATAAAGCGTCAAGTTTTGCTTCTTAAAAAACTTTGTTTAGAATATTTTACCATTTTGATGGTTGTGCTAATGTAGGAGGCTCAGATTTTGCTATTTTTAGCAGCACCCGCATTGGGTTTAATTCATGATGTGGTGGTTCTATCTCAGCCATTTCTATTAAAGTGATACCCAGGGACCAAACATCAGCTTTGTAGTCATAGGGTCTGTCCTTCGATGTTTCACACATGACTACCTCAGGAGCCATCCTATGAAAACAGAAAATTGAAAGTTAAGATGTTTAACTTAAGAATAGTGATTGCAACCCTCATAAAAGAGAGACAGGATCACTAATTACGTGAACAAATTAATGAGTATAATAACTGCTGACATAACTAATCTGTAAAGCCATAAAAATGAATACATACCAATATGGTGTGCCAATAAAGGAATCTCTTCTTTGAATTGTCCTTGTGTTTTTAGCTGATACTCCAAAATCCGCTTGAAATAAATAATTATACAGAAGTGTTAATGATAGTTGTTTAAGCAAAGTTCCCTGTAGTCAATGAAGTTTGGGAAAGCATATCAAGTCCTTCATAAGGCCATTCTTATTAAAGGGTAAGAAAAATAACTTCTCTACCATCCTAATTTTGACCACCCTCTTCCTATCACACCTACTCACCAAAAATGATGCAGAAAAGATTCCATCATTAACACACTTAATACCGCCATCTTTATACATCTTCAGATCACAAATTCTCCAGAATTGAAGAACAAGATTGTAACTTTAAAACAGACCAGTCTATCCACTTCAAAACAAATGTCAACTAGTGCTATATTATAATTGAATCAATAGATATAAACATTTTTCTATAGTGTGAAAAACAGAAATTATACCAAAGCAGCCTTTATGACAGCATATGGCTTGCTAACTTCCTCAGAAAATTATATTACAAAGAAAAAATTAGGAACCATGTTTTCTGATTTAAATTACAGAGCACAGAGGAGATTAAAAATGGCGGCGGAGTAAGTGGATGCTACTACACAGACATGTTCCAAGAACCAAACTAGAATTACAACTAAAATACAAAAAAAAAAAAAAAAAACCCTGAATAATCAACTGAAGACTAGCTGGAGAGAACCCTGATAACCAAGGACAGAAAGTGGAGACTGCATAGACTGAGAGAGAGGAAGGGATAGAGAGAGAAAAAAAAAACATCGAAATGAGAGTGTAACATCAATCAGCTGCCTCCTGCACGCTCCCTACAGGTGTTGAGCCAACAACCCAGGCATGTGCCCTGACCAGGAATCCAACCAGCAGCCTTTCAGGACATGCACAACCAACTGAGCCACACCAGCCAGAGCTGTATCTATAATTTTGGCAGATATTGCCAAATTGCTTGCCCCTTCCCTTGTGGTAGGCAAAATAATGGTCCCCAAAGATGTCCAAATCCTTATCCTCTGAACTGAGTACATCACAGCACTTTACATAAGGGACTTTGCAGATGTGATTAATCAAGACAGGGAAATTATCCTGAATTATCCAGGTGTGTCACTGTGATCCCAAGGTTCCTTATAAGAAGGAAAGGAGGTTCTGAATCAGAGAAAGAGAAGATGCTAGGTTTGAAGATGGAGGATGGACCATGAGCCAAAGAATGCAGGCAGCCTCCAGAAGCTTTTGCTAAAGAAATGGATTATCCCTTGGAGTCTCTAAAAGGAATGCAGCCCTGCCAACACCTTAACATTAGGACTTCTGACCTTCAGAACTGTAAGAGAATAAATCTGTATTGTTTTAAGCCACTCAAAAATAAAAAATAAAAAAAATTTTTAGAGAACAGCAACAATATAAAGCCATTGTTAAACACCATCTTTTAAGTTTACAGCTCAGACAACCATTAATAGTAACATAAAACTGCTATTGCTGCCTAAATTACCTCATTCCATACATATATCTATCTTTCAAGGTTTCATGTTTGACATGCCACAATTCTCAAAATTAAATATCAAAATCCAGCATTTAGTACTTATGCCCCAAGGCCTGGCACAGTAAATGGCAGCTACTATTATTAACCACTAGAGGCCCAGTGCACAAAATTCGTGCACAGAGGTGGGGGGGGTCCCCTCAGCCCAGCTTGCACCCTCTCCAATCCCAGACCCCTCAGGGGATGTCCAACCGCCGGTTTAGGCCCAATCCCGGATCAGGCCTAAACCAGCAGTCGGACATCCCTCTCACAATCCTGGACTGCTGGCTCCTAATCGCTCACCTGCCTGCCTGCCTGGTTGCCCCACGCAGCCTGCTTGTTCAGTCGTTTGGTCATCCCTCACTAACCCTCCTGCCGGCCTGGTCACCCCACGCAGCCTGCTTGTTCAGTCGTTTGGTCATCTCTCACTAATCCCCCTGCCGGCCTGGTCATAGGCAGCCATCTTGTGAGGGCATGACGATCAATTTGTATATTACCTATTTATTATATAGGATATCTATAATTCTAATTTTTGTGACATTTTGTTGATAGAACTTAAAACTCATTAAGTCCTGCTTTGTAATCTAATTATTTGTGTTTATTATATGGTTTTCTCTCTCTCTTTTTTTGACCATGTAGTTCTGCTTAAACATAAATAAGCAGCTACCTATTGCCTGTGGAATGAAGTTCAAGCTTCCTAATGTAGTGTACAAAATCTTTCATTACATTAGATATTTAATTAATGTTTTATAATTAAATTAATAAATGAATAAGCAAACAGAACATATTATACTTGGAATATATTATTTACAGAAGATACAATATAGAATTATTCAGAACTCCTCACCCCTATTACCACCCCCCACCTCCTCTACTTATAAGCTTCTCTTATATTCCTGGAGGAAGGAGTTGAGATCACAATATGAAATTCTGCCAGAAGAGGTTCTGGATTCAGGTAAAGTCAGCTCAGTAATTATTCCATTGTTTTCCTAGAACCTATTAACACTATTCTTTTTAACTCTCTCCCCTATGAACATGACTGAGGAAGGAGGTCCAGAAACAGGCCTAAACTACAACTGTTTACTGTCAACATTCATACCTCTCCAGGCACTCTAATGAACAGGAGGTACAAAAGACATCTTTGTTTTTTCTGTGCAAAGGGAAAAATTAAGTTTGCTATGTGCTTCGTATTTCTACTTATAATGATGTGGCATATACACACTAGTCTATTAAAACAGCATTTTACATACTTATTTTCATTTGCAATTATGTGTATCCAGTAAGATCATAAAAATTGGGGTATTGTAATATGGTCCTTGAGGATAGTATAATTCTATACTTCTTCATATATTGAACAGGGTATAAAAGAAATGGAAAGTTCTCTGTATTTTCAAATTAATTAAACAGAAATTGAAACTATTTTAAATGTCAACCAACTCAAAACTATTTGGCATTCCTAAATCTTCAAAAACATACTTATTTTTTAAAGTATACATTATTTTACACAACAGTATATTCTTATATTCAAATAAGGTTTTAATACATTTACAGAAAAACATTCACCAAAAATGAATCAAAATTATAACATAACTATTTCAAAACGAGCTGCGAGACTTCAAAAAATGATGTAAGACAATCCTAGCTGGGTGGCTCAATTGGTTGTTGTCCTGTACACCAAAAGGTTGTGAGTTCAATTCCCAGTCAGGGAACAGATTTGGTCCCTAGTTGGGGAGCATGTGGGAGGCAACCAATCAATGTTTCTCACATCAACATTTCTCTCTCTCTCTCTCTCTCTCTCTGTCCCTCTCTCTCTTCCCTCCCAATTCCTCTCTATTAAAAAAAAAAAAAAATCAAGCCCTAGACCAGTGATGGCAAACCTTTTGAGCTCAGCGTGTCAGCATTTTGAAAAACCCTAACTTAACTCTGGTGCCGTGTCACATATAGAAATTTTTTGATATTTGCAACCATAGTAAAACAAAGATTTATATTTTTGATATTTATTTAATATATTTAAATGCCATTTAACAAAGAAAAATCAACCAAAAAAATGAGTTCACGTGTCACCTCTGACACGCGTGTCATAGGTTCGCCATCACTGCCCTAGACGGTTTGGCTCTGTGGGTAGAGCGTTGGCCTGAGAACTGAAAGGTCCAAGGTTCGATTCTGGTCAAGGGGACATGCCCGGGTTGTGGGCTTGATCTCCAGTGGGGGACTTGTGGGAGGCAGCCGATCAATGATTCTCTCTCATCATGGATGTTTCTCTCTCTCTCTCTCTCTCCCTCTTCCTTCCTCTCTGAAATCAATAAAAATATATATTTTTTAAATCAATAAAATATATCCTTAAGTGAGGTAAGACATAAAAGAATAACATTAAGTCAGAATTACAAAAACTCAGAAATGAGGTGGCAAAACTTGAGAAAATTAGAAATAAAAAATCATTTAGAAAAAAAGACTAAATTAAGAGGAATGCAATAGCAGATAAACAAATTCATACCCTTTATCACTCCACACCCGTAACAAATATTAGCAAGGACGTGGAGAAATTGGAATCCTTGTGCATTGCTGATATGAACGTAAAATGGTGCTACTATGGAAAATTATATGGTAGTTCCTCAAAAAAATTAGCACAGAATCACCATATAATCCAGCAATTCCACTTTTGGAATACCCAAAGAATTGAAATCAAGGACTCAAACAGGTATTTGTACACCCATGTCCATAGTAGCATTATTCACAAGAGCCAAAAGGTAGAAGCAACCAAAGTGTCCATCAATGGATGAAAGGATAAACCAAATGTGGTATATACTAGTACATATAAGAAAATACTATTTAGCTTTTTAAAGGAAGGAAATTGACACACGCTACAAAATAGATGAACCTTGAAGATATGCTAAGTAAAATAAGCCAGACACGAAAGGACAAATATTGTCTGATTCCATTTATATGAGGTACCTAGAGTTGTCAAATTCATAGAAAGAAAAAGTTAACAGTGGTTGCCAGAGGTTGTTGGGGAGAGAGCAATGAGGAGCTAATGTTTAAAGAGTTTCAGTTGGAGAAGATGAAAAGTTTTAGATAGTGCTGATAGTTGTACAACAATGTGAATGAACTTAATGGTACAGAATTGTACACTTAAAAATGGTTAAATGGTAAATTTTGTTAAGTATATTTCACCATAATAAAAAAATGAAGAAAGATAAAAAGCACAAATTCAAATGTCTTATTTAAGGAAATAAACTTACCCAACTTAATATCTCCATCTAGGGTAAAAAGAATGTTGCCAGCCTTTAGATCTCTGTGGATGATTTTATTATCATGTAAGTAGTTCAATGCCTCTAAGGTCTGTTTACAAACTACTTGTATTTGGGACTCAGTTAATGGTCGCTCAAGTTCTGTAAGGAAAAAGTAAACAAATCTGCATTTTTACACAGTGAAAACATGTCAGCAGGCTCTTACTTTTACCATCATTGGCAAGGATCTTATACAGTGAATTTATTTTAGAAGAACTGAATTATCTACATTACTTTCCTCACATATTATACTCATTTAATTTTAGAATTTTATTACAATTGTCTAAGAATATAAAAATATAATTAAGCTGATTTCTTAACTGATTGAACTTCACCTAACAATAAGATATATGTATAAATGTTTGAAATCCATCAATTTTTATTAAGTATAATTTAAGATATGAACGTAAAGGAAAAAAGGTATTTACCAAGCATCACAGCATCCACTGCTCCACCTGCACAAAATTCAATGAGGATCTGCAGGCAAATAAACAAGCAGGTGTTTAATACAGCATTGAGTTTGAGTATTTTTTCTTCAATTTAGCAAAAGGGATAAAAAATAACTGTCAAATTAACTGGACTAGGGCAATATTCCTATGCTACCCCATAAAAGGGTTAAAAGTGTTGAGTTTTTGTCGACATACAACCTGGAAGCCCGGGGAGGGTTGGGGGCCAGGAGGGGGGGGGGGGTAAGAGATCAACCGAAGGACTTGTATGCATGCATATAAGCATAACCAATGGACATAAGACACTGGGGGGTAGGGGAGGCTGGGGGATTGTCAAGGGCGGGGAAAAAAAAAAAGGAGACATATGTAATACTCTTTGTAATACTTTAAGCAATAAAAAAAAAGTGTTGAGTCTTAATGATAACCATTTGAGAAAGCACAAAGAGAACACATTCTGAAAGTATGTGCTTTTTTGTTAATCACCATTTTTAGCGTGCCTGCTTCTCTAAAAGAACCAGGCATAGAATTTTTCATCAGGACAGTATTTTTTTAATTTATTGATTTGAGAGACAGAGAGAGAGAGAGAAACATGGACCCACTTTTCCACCCATTTATGCATTCATTGGTTGTCTTTTGTGTGTGCCTTGACTGGGGATCAAACCCGCTATCTTAATGTATAGGGACAATACTCTAACTGAGCAACCCAGCCAGGGCCAGGGTAGTATTATATATCCATTTCATCACTACTGAATGGTTTTATTATTTTCATTTTTAAGATAACTATTGTGATTTAAGTGATCAAATGTAGTATTTGTAGTATTATTAATAAATCTGGAAAAAATAGAGACTTCTTTAAGTTAAAAAACACACACACGATATACACAGAACCTTCAGATCCTAGCTCAATTATCACTTCCTGATGGATGCCTTCCCAGACCTCCCTGGTACATACCAACACATACCTTTCCTTCTTAACCCTTATCACAGTTGTAATTTTGACTATGTTGCTTTGGTTAATTAATGTCTACCTCTCCCACTAACCTGTCCCTTCACAGTTGTCCAACTTTTTATTTTATAATAGTGTTGAATAAATATCTTATCTCTTTCTTAAATTGTCTAGGAGTTCATTTTTATTATAATCTCTGGAAACATTTTTTAAGAGACCTGATCAGCTACATTAAAAGATATCACAGTAATAATAACTATAACTTTTTAAAATTACAAATATTAACAAATTACATACCTGTTTTGTTTTCCCTCTATATAACAACAATAACAATTTATTTTTCACAGATGCTTGCCAATTACAAATTGTTTTTAAATGCATTATATCATTTAAAAAATAATTTGGGGGGTAGGTCATTAACTCATCCTATAATGAGTACACAGACTCATAAAAGTTAATTGATTTTAAGCTCCTAGAAACACCAGGATCGAAAAATATAGGCCTTTGATTCCTAGTCAGGTATTACTTGTACTACCTACTCTTCTGTCATAACACTTTGCTTCTTCCTTCAAGGAGAAAAACTCCATTTCAAAAAGCCCTCTTGATTAAATTAGTGTTGGTGCAGAGCAAGAGACTGGTTACTATAATAAACATTAATTTTTATATCTATTTGTGTCTAATATTTTCTAAAAATGAACATAATTTATACATATAGCCTGAACCACTCATATCATGTACTAAAGCTGGGCCTGATTTTATAAGATAAATATTTAACATTTCTAGTAAGCATTTTATAATTTATTACATGATTTAGAAAAAAATTAGGGTAATAAAATTATAAACAAAAGAAGTTTTTAAAATTTTTAAGTAAATGCTAAGATTTAAAAAAATAAGAGAAGGCTAATTTCATAGTTTAGGAAATTTAATATTCTAACCAAGTTTCTCCATTTGAGTCCAATGTCAAACAATCATGAAATATGGTACAATCTGAAATACACATCTGAATACATGGGTGGGCAAAGTAGGTTTACAGTTGTGAGTCGCAAAACACAGAGTTAATAAAGTTATTGTAATAATCATAACTTGCATGTCTTTTTCCATATGAGTAAATGTAAACCTGCTTTTGCCCACCCCCGTATCTGTTGAAGCTAAGGGTAATTGTGTTGTCAATGACCCTCTCATCCGCAGATAACTCTCAACACAAGTAACTAAACAAAAGAGGTTATATACAAAATAGGCTTTCAAAACTTATAAACCTCTTTAGGACAATTAATTCATTTTGACTACTCCTACAGATCAACAGAAAATACTTACCCAAAGATTGTTCTCATAATAGAAGGCATCTAGAAGTTTGACTATATTTGGGTGATCACAAGATGCTAAAATATCAATTTCAACCATGTAATCTTCAAGTTCTTCTTCAGATTTGGTGTCAATCACCTTTGCAGCAGCTAAAACATTGGTCTCTTTATTCTGGGCCTAAAAATGTAAGATCAAAAATATCCCAATGCATATTTGTTTATTTTATTTTTAATAAACTTCATTTTTTAGAATAGTTTTAGGTTCACAGCAAAGTTGAGCAGAAAGTACAAAGTTTCCATATACTCCCTGCTTCTACACATGCAGAGCCTCCCCCACTATCAAGATTCTGCACCAGAATGGTACATCTGTTACAATTAATGGCCTCTTGACACATCATTATCACTTACGGACCACTGTTTACATTTGGTGTACAATCAATCGATTTTGACAAATGTATGACATGTGTCCACCACTATATTATACAAAATAGTTTCACTGCCTTAAAAATCCTCTATGCACTACCTATTCATCCCTCCCTTCTTCATAACCCCTGGCAGCCACTGATCTTTCACTCCATAGTTTTGCTTTTCCAGAATGTCATCTTGTTGGAATCACATAGTATATAGCCTTTCAGATTGGCTTCTTTCACTTAGTAACATACGTTTAAGGTTCCTCCATGTCTTTTCATGGTCTGACAACTCATTTCTTTTTTAGCACTAAATAACAGTTCATTACATAGATGTGCGAATTTATTTATCCATTCACCTACTGAAAGAATCTTGGTTGTTTCCAAGTTTCAGTAATTATGAATAAAGCTGCTACAAACATACATGTGCTGGTTTTTGTGTGGACATAAGTTTTCAACCCCTTTGGGTAAATACCAAGGAGCACAATTACTGGATCATATGGTAAAAATGTTTAGTTGTGTAAGAAACTGCCAAACTGTCTCCCATTTTTCACTCCCACCAGCAATGAATGAGAGTTCCTACTGTGCCACATTCTTGACAGCATTTGGTGTTGTCAATGTTTTGGATTTTCACCATTCTAACATGGGTGTATAGTGGTATCTACTTGTTTTAATGACATATGGTATTGAGCATCTTTTAATGTACTCACTGACCATCTGTAAATCTTTGGTGAGATGTCTGCCCAGATCTTTTGCCCTTTTTTAATCAGATTGTTGGTTTTCTAATAGTTAAGTTTTAAGAGTTCTTTATATATTTGAATAGTAGGTTATCAGATATATTTTGCAAATATTTTCTCCCATTAGTGGCTTGTCTCTATTTTTACCCTAGAGGCCCAGTGCATAAAATTCATGCACTTGGGGGTGGAGGGGGTTCCTCAGCCCAGCCTGTGCCCTCTCACAGTCTGAGAGCCCTCACTCTGAGGTTTAGAATAAAAAAACTCTTGCAAAAGAACAAGGAACCCAAACTATGGGTGAGAGCTTCCCTGGATCCATTGTGATTCCAAGAAGTAGAGGTGAAATCAGCGAGGAGGCGCACAGAGAAACACGCATCTGCAGGGACTGCCTCTGCGTGAGGAGAGAGGACAGACTCCTACTGTGAGGAGCCCCAGCAGCTCCTGTCTGGGCAGGTGCCACAGAGGTAGGAGAGGCTCCCACCACCACCGCTGCGCTCGCCAGCCGTGAGCCCAGCTTCTGGCTGAGTGGCGCTCCCCCTGTGGGAACGCACTGACCACCAGGAGGCAGCTCCTGCGTTGAGTATCTGCCCCCTGGTGGTCAGTGCTCATAATAGCGACCAGTCATTCCATTGTTTAGTCAATTTGCATATTAGCCTTTTATTATATAGGATGCTTATTTTGGAAAGATAGCCTAAACATAAATATTAATTAATGCATGCTATGCACCATGCTAAGTGCATATCTTAATCAGATCTTAAAATATTAATTAGGTTTTTTAAAAAACATTTCAATATTATATGTTATCATTTCAGCAAAACTAAATATATTACTTAAAAAAAAAAAAAAACAGAAAAAAATACCAAACTTTTAAAAGCTACTAATAAGTGTTTCAAATTATAAATAAAAGTCCAAATCCCACTTTTAAGAATTGATCATAAGGAGGTAATTTTATAAAATAAAAAATATGCATGTGTAAAAATATTCATCAAAGTACTATTTACAGTAAGAAAAATGAATCAACCTAAATGTCCATTCACAAGAACCTGCTTAAATTATTCAATATAACTCTACAATGAGACATTACACAGCCAAAATGAATTGACTAACCAATTAATATTTCTTAAGATGGAATAGTAGCCATAAGACATCAGTGACTGGGAAAAAACACAACTTATTAAACACGAGAGATATGTAATTTTACAGAAACTACACATCTATTTTCACATATGGATAGCTTCATAAATATCTAGAAAGACTTCATTAGTGAGGATGGTGGAATTTCAGGTGCTTTTGACTTTTTCTGTATTTCATACCATATTGTTTGAACTTTTAAAAATGAACATGTATTATTTTTACAGAAGCCATAAAGCATTTTAAAATCAGTATGTGGGAGATTTCTTAGTGATCTATTATCTAACCTTGGCAATAATGAAGAAAAGAATAAGCAAAACAGGTATCAGCCTGTATATGGGAATTTTTTGTCAAAAGAAAAATTCTGTATGTCCTAAATTAAATTACAGTGGACAGGAGAGTCAGAGAAAGAAATTGGAACAATTAACCAGTTAATAGTTGTGGGCCAACTAACTAAAGAGTGCTCTCACTCCTGAATATGTGTTGGAGCTCTAAATCAATCTCCAGAGTCTACTAGACAACCACTAGACAAGTATGCATGAACTTTCAGGACTGCTGCCAGTAACTAAACAACACTAGTAAATATTTCTTCCTTATAGATTGTGTAACTATCACAAAATTGCCCCCAGTTCACCTTTTCCCACCCTCCCTTACCTGTAGCCAATGTATATTCTTTCAAAACAACTTACATCTTTCTTCCCCAAAACAGAATGTACATAAGCGCCCATCAATGCCAGTACTAACATGCTAACTTTTCCATCTAGCCACATTACCGGTGGTTTAGACTTCATGCCTCAAGGCCTGATCCTTTCCAGGCTAGCACTTGGCTCATTAAAACCTTTCTTTCAAGTAACTTTTAGCTGTGAACTCTTTTGTTTAACATTTTCTAAGTACATTATTGCTATGTTTTACTTCCTTAGAAAAAAATAGGGGCAAAAATACTACTTACTAATTAAGTAACCCTAATGTTTAGGATTCAAATAATATGTTTTGTACAAAAGACTTCAGCCCTAGCCCTAGCCAGCTTGGCTCAATGGATAAAGTGTCAGCCTGCGGACTGAAGGGTCTCAGGTTTGATTCCAGCCAAGGGCACATGCCTGGGTTGCGGGCTCGATCCCTAGTAGGGAGGTGCAGGAGGCAGCCGATCAATGATTCTCTCTCATCATTGATGTTTCTATCTCTCTCTCCTTCTCCCTTTCTGAAATCAATAAAGAAATATATTTTAAAAAAAAAAAGTCTTCAGCCCTAGCTGGTTTGACTCAGCCATAGCTGGATTGGCTCAGTGGATAGAGAGCTGGCCTGCGGACTAAAGGGTCCTGGGTTCGATTCCAGTCAAGGGCACATGCGGGGGTTGCAAGCTCGATCCCCAGTGGGGGTGTGCAGAAAGCAGCCAATCAATGATTCTCTCTCATCATTGATGTTGCTCTCTCTCTCTCCCCTCTCCCTTCCTCTCTGAAATCAATAAAAATATTTCTTTTTAAAAAAGACTTCATACTGATTTACAATCTAGAAGAATATTCTCAGCTATCATATTTTAACAAATCTCCAATGTCTTTTAAGATATCTTATATTTCACTAAGGAAGAAAAACTTCCAATTAAACTATATCAACACTTTTTCATTTAGAATTTTTATATACCTTTTTTAAGAACTTTTGGACATATTTAGACAAAAATTGTTATTGTATATCTATTATTCTGGTTCATATATAATTAAATACTTCATATATTGAAGTTTTACTCTTTTGAATCACTTATTCACTGAGTTATCTAATGTCCACACAACATCATTCTCTGGCCATTAAATTAACTACTATCTCCAAAATTTTATTTGAAGTCACTGTCTCCCATTTTGCAATTATAATGATACTACTTTGTTTATCTTACCACAGGTGCTAAAAGATTTTTAGGTAACAACCAGGATTTTTTCTTCAAAAGGTCCTTAAATAGTTTATTAATTGAACATCAAGGGATTGCAACTAACACCAGTGATACAACTAAGTTCAATGACAGATATAACATGACCCCTACCCGGCCAACAATAATACCAAGGCATCAATCAATAAAGGACATATTCCAATTTCAGAGATGTTAAAATCAAGAAATCTGTCATAACTGGTGAAAATACAACATTAAGTTGTATCTCTAAGAAAGATACTACAGTTGAGCCAATAATAATTAGAACTCACCACCTCCCTAAGTCAGAAGAAATAAGCCAGTGAAACATAAGCCCTTCTCTCATCATTTTAATACTAGAGGCCCAGTGCACGAAATTCATGCACAGGAGGGGGGCGACCCCTCAGCCCAGCCTGCACCCTCTCCAATCCGGGAACCCTCAGGGAAGGTTCTGCAGAGCTGAAACTCAGATCCCTGGGGAGAGTGCTGCTCAGCTGCTGCTGGCCTCTCTGAACTTGGAAGAGGGGTCTTATGGAATTTTTGAGGAAGAGGGGGCCAGCCAACTGGAGCTGGTGTTATGAAAGGTTATGATGAGGCTAGCTCTGTGAGTGTTGCAAAAACTACAAACTGGATTCCACTCCTGTCGCTGGGTGAAGAATTTCCACTAGGATGATGGTTATAGAAACAGGAAAACAGACAGGAAGCCCACAGAAAAAGAAAAAGGTGAAAGTTCTTTCTTCATCCACCTCCTTACAGCCTTCCTCTAGTGCTCCATTATTGTTAAAACTACAAGTGAGTAGCTGGCAAGGTAGAAAAGTGATTTACAAAATGGTTAAAATCCACAATACACAAATAAACAAGAGAAAGACATCTAATAGGAACATGAACAAGAGAACTGAACCCAAAAGAAGAAATTCAATCTGCCAATAAAGCTATGAAAAGAATTACTTATTAGTAATTAGTAGTCGGAGGAAGATGAATTAAAACCACCAAAAAAATATATATATATATA